GAGACGCGTGCAGCGGAGTATCTACAGTACGCCAGAGGTTCAGCATTGAAATACAACGGGGGACGCGGAATCCATTCTGGGCCGGAACGGCGCCAGCCTCGGCTAATCTACTCGGGTATGTAGATCAAATTAATGTTCTCTATAGTTCGGCTGCATTTTTCCGCTGCTTGTTAATTCTGTGCGATGTTTCTATCCCGAGAGTTGGGTTGATAACCGTGTATCAGTACCTAAATTCTTATAAAAGTACTGCATATCTACATAATTTTCACAGAATGGACAACGATATGATTTCCAACATCAGTAACAAGCCTAACAGGTAAGGAAGCAAATTTTCTTTTAGAAAAGTATGAAATATTGGATTTTAAAAGTGCTAAAGCACATATGGCGTTATGTTGGCTTTAAGGTAATAGATATTGTACAATTCGCTCAAAAAATTTATACGAGTACATAGTTTAGTTGCAACCTGCCACTCAGGTAACATTGTTGTAAGCTAGAAGTACCGCTTTGAAGAGAATAAGAGTTATCCACTGCGCATTTATCCCATGCACATTGCGTGGGGTCATCCGCATAAAGACCGCAAAGAGTGCCCGTTTGCGGGTGACGTACGACGGCGCGCAACGCCACATCGTTTACGCGTTACAGGAATTAGGAAAGGATGGTGCACCCCAGATATTTTTAAATTCATATTCATTTATTTATTTTTATTATTTAATAGCAGCCGCGGGAATTTCTAGACGCGTTGTCAGGAGGGTGTTTACAGTATTTATTCGTTAAACGCACAATAACTTTCCTACAACAAAATTAATAATATCTGAACTGAAGCTTTTCATAACTGAAGCTTTCCATAAACTAGTGGATAATAATTTGCATAGCCATGTATCCATCGCATGCACACTGCCTTGAAAACATAGTTATTGAAAATTGTAATAAAGTGAGCAAGGGTTGTGGGTGCTAGAATAATTAACGCACAGTAACTAAACAATTATTGGCGGCAAGTTTCCGGGCGCATATCATAAAAAGCAAGCATCGGGAATTTTTCGCGCGAGCTGTAATGAGAAATTTCTTTTACTTTCAGCAGTCTCACGGAGTTTCGTGAATTCTTGAAGACCAGGTCTTGAAGACCAGGTCTTCAAGAATTCACGAAACTAGTCCTAGGCAATGAGACATTCAATTCCATTCCTCTGTCGACGAAGAAGCACATCAGTTATATCTTGCTAAATTATCCCAGGTCAATTAATTTATCGACTTATTAGCTAACTAGCAAGACTCCAGCCCCTTCTGACAATGTTTCATTTGTGATTTTTTATTTTATTGCCGAGGGTGACGTTTTTGGTCATTGATGGTAAACATCTGCTTCGGTAAAACGAGATTCTCCCTAGGTTTAACTGCTATCGACATTCATGATCAAAATTTGAGGGAGATCGGTCCATAATGAGACTTTTGGTACACCGGAATGCTTTTAAACTTTTTGGATTTTTCTAACAGCCATAACTCCCGAACCGGATGTTGCGCGCACAAACGGTTTTCACGCAAGTGCATACAAATCATCTGGCTATAGAATGTCATAAAACGAAACAAAAATGCGTTTGGAATTACGCGGAAGTGAAAGATTTCGTGCATGTACACGAATTTGGTGCCATGTACCGGGCCACTTCCCTTAAAAGATGCAGGTGCTGGTACCGTAAACGACTCAATAGCCGAAAATTAAAACATTAAAAAACCCCAAAGTTGAAAGCTTCCGCGAAGACGGGCTGATGATTATCGACCCCGCCTGCCTGGAGTACGGCCGCAAACTGGTCACGGGTAATTTCGGGACGGTGTAAGAACTTCGTACGAACTTCGAACACGGTCCCGAAATTGCCCGCGAAACTGTACTACGACGGACTCTATGATTCGGAGAATAGCGAGCCGGCAGCAGGGGCCCGGCGGCGGGTGGCCATCAAGACCATTCAAGGTGCGTCACATCGGCGTTTTTAGCATTGTACCTAATAATACATCGGTGCACTGTACGTCTTACCATCCATCACTGTAGCTGCGCTAGACCTGCCAACGCCTAGCAGTCTGAAGGAATCCCTGTGTCCCGACGTGGAGCGTCGTGCTCTTTAATAACTACTCAACTAAATACGTAAACTAACAAATGTAACAAGGAATTAATGTACCATTGCACTGGTACATGTTGCCATGCATCACATCCTGCTGAAGGAAGGCTTCGTGATGAAGGACCTGCAGCACAACATTATGATCCTTTTAGGGATCTGCGACAGCTCGCCGGACGGCACGCTGACCAGTCCGGGCCTTGTGATGCTCTTCATGAGCAACGGCGATCTGCACACCTATATCCGCAAGAATGTAAACACCACGATAATCAAATACTACCGTTAACAATGTTAAACTAAAGCTTAACATGAAATTCGAATTAATCGAAATGAAATCCTTCAGATTTTACGCGGCATTAGCCAAGTAGCAACAAAATCTTGTGCGCGGCCTTTCTCACGTTGAACGTGTTAGTGCGCGCAAATTGGCCGTCGCATTTCCCTTAACAACAGCCACACTAAAATTATATTTAATTTCCAACAAAATTTGAATTTTAACTTTCTGTTATTTTTTTTATTAAATTTTTATATTTTTTTTAACTTTTCAAAATTTTTTAACATGGTTTTTGCTTTATTTGGAGGAAGTGAGAAGGACATATTAGGCTTCTCGGTGTTGCAGATCGCCGAAGGCATGACCTACCTTTCCAGCCAGAAGATTGTCCACCGTGATCTGGACGCGCGTAACTGCTCGTCTGCTTGTAATCCTGCTTTTTGCTTGGTCCCAAATAACGCGTGACAACGCAATTTATAAGACGGTTGTTTTAGGCTGGATGATGCCCGAAATCCGCGATGTGCACATCGAGTTGGGAGTGCCCGAAATCAGCGATGTGCACATCGAGTGCATCGATGTACATATCGCGGATTTTGGGCACTCCCGCGACCTGTCCGAGTCAAACTTCTACTGCCACCTCCCATCGAAGACGCGTCTCCCCTACCGCTCGAACGTCGGATTCGGTGGAGTAAGGACTGCGGCGGAATGCTTCCGCCGCCGTCCTTACTCCACTGAATCCGACGTGGTCAGTTCAGCGAGTGTAGCTTGATCAGGCGCAAGCCGAACCGCCAATTTTCTGTTATGTACTGGTAAACTGTCCTGTGTTGCAGACTTGCAGTGGAGCTTCGGCGTGGTGGTGTGCAAGAAGTTCCAGAAGGGTGACAACCCTACGGCGACCTGAACGCCAGGGCGCTGGTGGATGCCCTTGAGGATGGCTTGCATCTCCAGCACCCGCAAAATTGTCCCGAAGCAGTATACGTTCACCTGTATTTTTTCATTACAATTAGGAAGATAGCATATTTTTATGGCAGATTTTGTTAGGATTTTATCGAACATTTTCCTTTTCTACCGCTATCTATATTTCGGTATAAGTTTTTTAGGGGAAATAATATGCAACTAATAATGTAATGTTTGTTTTACCGGAGAATATAGGCAAACACTGACAAATTCTTTACAAACATTCCTGTATCTGTACAGCAACAGATTATTTCCTGCCTTCGAAAGGAATATTTATATAGCAATTTAGTGAGCAATTTGATAAACGTTTTATACATCTTCCAAAACGAAAGACATTTAATTATTTACGTGCCATATTTATTGAAATCTTAGTAAACATGTTGGTTTCCAAGAAAATGCTGGAATAAGTACGAGTCGCTCCTGACTCCAGCACTCCTTCATTAGGTCGTACCGTACGACCTGATGAAGGAGTGCTGGTGTCAGGAGCCGGACAGCCGGCCGGATCTCCAGAGTCTCTGCGACAGGCTGCGCGCCTTCCAGAGCGCCCCACAGTTGAACGGCAGTGCGCCGCGCTACGAGAGCGTCTGCTGTTTGTAGCTCAGAACGCGCCGGCGGACAGCAACTACCTGAACAGGGGCTACTTCGCCGCGCAGCAGAATTGAGCAGCCGCTGCAGTTACACGGAGCGCGGCTTCAACGAAGTCCGCCGTGCCCGCCGTACTTCTTTCCCATTTATCTTACACAGCGGATTCTGCTGACGCTGGCGCTGATTCTGTTTTTCCTATGAGGCGCATCGCGGGTTTTTCCATCCGCCTTCCTGCGCGCCGGTATTTTTTCGGGGGACGTTGGCGGAATATTTTGTTCAGTTGTTGCGTCATCTTACGTGTACAAACACATACACCACAGAAATAAAAACTTGTACTCAAAGTGAGCTGAATATGAAAATACGTAACTAAATCCGAAGTAGTACTGATGGCTCTTTCTTGCAGTGTTCCCCATGCTCACTGTAAAACAATTTTGGTTTTTTAACTACTAATTGACTAAACTGTCAGAAACTGCAGCGCTCAAAGGTTCGTCTATAGCTGGCGGAAGGACAACGTCGTATGTTGCTGGAAAAGTGTGATTATTATGCTCTATGTTACTGTTATGGTAATGAATGCCACGAACGTGATGGCTTCCGTGGCGGTGAATATCGGTTGGCGCGCGCTGTCGTCACGCCTGACTGGCCAAACTACGGACATGACATAAACGCTGCTGACCACCACAACGCCAGCTATACAGCGATATTATGGGCAAGTGCAGCGTCCAACCATACGAGTGCAGATACACCGGTAAGCTGCGGCTTATTAATAAACCGACTTTTTAGCGGAATAAAACGCGTTGGCTCGTGCATTATAACGGTTTTACGACACCGTGTACCGCTAGAAAAACCACACCGCAGCGCTACCACGCACCGGCGTAATGCGCTTTTTCACAGCCGACTAATTGACGGCCAGAACGTGCGTCTGTACTCAAACTGTAGCGGCTATTCGCCGGTCCGCACAGCTGATGGTCAGCAATCAGTGCGGGGATTATTGACTGCCACTGCAGTTAACCTCCCCTTAACACCGCCGTAATATAACCTTAGACCTTCTCCTCGACAACATGATTTTCATAAACGCGGCATTAGAATAAAAATTATTCAGCAAACTGCACAGTCTGACTTTTGAACTTGCACCGCATAAACAGTATTGTACCATGGAACGGTAGTTTTTTTCCTACACTTCTCCGCGGTTATGCCCTGACCTTCATCTACATTTCACGCACCCAACGGGAATAAATGCCCACGCTTATTAGCAATGGAATGGATGAAGCCCAGTAACTGGAATTCCTAACTGGATTAAACGCGGTTAATTGGCGTTCACTATTAAATTTTATTACCGGTATTATGGACTTTTTATTCTTGATGGTTTGCTGTGGAATGGCCAGTCTCCCGGGCGTAAGTACATTGTACACTGAACAGCTTTGCCCGTTTGCCGGCATGCTACATACAAAGCTATCTGTATATAGCATTTGTTTTTACGAGCATATAGCATTTGTTTTGTCTCGTACTTTCCAATACCTGATAAATTTCTCACTACTTATTATAAAAAACTCTTACTTTTTATTTTTTCGTTAGAGCGCTTTGTTTGTACACTTTCCCTTTACAATGATAATCATCGTAACTGAATAAACTATAACAAAAAATCAGTTAGTTAATTTTACGTGGAATTTTGCCTGCTGCAACAGCAAATGTCGCAACGCGCGTAAATAAAATTGGAATTCGTAACTGGATTTTTTTAGCAGAGCAGTATTTTTACGATTTTGTTATTGTCACTGGTTCTTGACATAGTTGTTAGTTGTTACCATTCTTGTAAAACCGCGAGCAGGCTTTAAGGAAAATCCAGAACGGGACCGTCACCCGCCCACTAACGACCCCGTCCCCGGAATCCCTCCTGGAAGCCTCCAGACTAATCCGCCGCGGCCGAAAGTCCAAACGGGAATTCTTCCACAAACCCGAATTCAACATCCAGACCTACAGCAACTCCCTCTCCATCGAACTCCAACCGGAAATCGCTCCCGCGGAACTGCAGAAGATCAAAGACCAGGACACCCCGCCCAAACAGGACCCGCCCGTGTGGGACGCCCTCAAGGACCTCCAGCGGCACTCCACCCAGGAATCGCAGGAGCTGCTGCGCTCGGCCATCCCGGGCGTGGACTTCCCGACGCTGGCCAGCATCCCCAACACCAGTTTCTCTTGTGATGAGGCCGGGCAGCCGGGGTTCTATGCCGACGCGGAGACCGGGTGTCAGGTGTTCCGGCGCTGTGATTTCCGCGGGCTGAAGTGGAGCTATTTGTGTCCCAACGCCACGCTATTCAACCAGATCACGCTGGTATGGTACGTGTGGTGATGACGTTGCGCTGACGCCGGTAACAGGAAGAATGCGTCAATAAAGTGTTCTGTTTTGCAGTGACTGGTTTTTTAATGTGGATTGCTCCAAGTAAGTGCAACTCAATAATACTGAACAAACAGTGAATTTATTCTTGCGTTTCGACATAATATTTAACTAAACTTTAAATTATCACTGTATCTGTCTGTCTCTGTACACGGCATTTTTGATTAATTTCTCTTATGTGGATTTATAATATTTTTTATTACGCTAACTTTTATTTACATCAGATTCTGGTAGTTGTTGAAAATATACAGAGCTGACCGGTTACATACCGGAAAGACGATTTTACCGCAATAAGTATACAGTGTAAAACCATTCCTCCACACATAGTACAAAAACTTTCACAAATGCAATCTGAATCGGATGTAAATAATATTTAATATAATAAATATTATTATAACACAAAAAGAAAAAAAATTTGCTATCTCCATAATAAAATCTATAATTCCTGATGTCTCGGCTGTTTTTTGTTAGACATAATAATGTTCTTGGGAACAGTATTTTGACCGCAACGCAATCATGGTAAGCAGAAGCAGTCCAAATATTACCGGGAAGCGTAGTGTAAAGGCTTATGACTGCCAAAACTGCTGCGAAATATCAAGAAGCTTATTGTTAGCAACTTAGCAGCATGCTGACAGAGATCACCGGATTTGTGTACTGTAGTCTTAACAGCTTTTTTATTTGGCACTTATTTCGAAGTTTAAACTAATGGCTTTTATTTTACGCACTTGTGGACATTTGTAATTACCGTATACGTGTTCAGATTACGTGTTTCTTACAATCTGTAATTAAAGTATTTGCAATTAAGCTCGAGAAATGTAAGTATTTGTAAGCTCGAGAAATGTATTTCCTGCGACCGAATAAATCACTAATTTGTATGTTTGCAGAACGAAACTATTTTATCATTACTCCAACTCCCGGTTATACCATCCCAACTGGCCGTTGCTGGATGACCAGAGTGTGCCGTATCCCGTGGCGGACGCCAGCGGACAGCTCAATGCCGACGACACCGACGAACGGCTGGTCCGCCGGAAGAACGGCCGCCGCACACTGGCCACTACCGCACAGCCCACGCGATCCACAACGACCACAATAGCGTCCACTATCAGCACACCCACGCAGCCGGCAATAACCATGACCTCGACGGCGCGGAAGGCCGTTAGCCATCTGGCAGTGGAGCATTTGCGGAAACGGACCACCACCGCCCCCGTCGCCACGACCGCCGACCCCGACGCGTGGCGCCACCGGCCGTTCAGGCTGGTGTGGGGCGGCAGTTACGTTTCCTAAGCTAGTGGACGTCCTGGCAAAGATTCTTTGATTTAAATTTATTTTGTTGAATTCAATCAAGTTTTTGTTATATACTGTAAACAAGATTAGGAAAATACGAAAATAACGAAGTTCTGGATGAGAAGAGTTTTTTTTCGTGTCATTCTTGTCGGTAAAGTGACGAGGAGCGAAAGCAGATGTGAGAGTGTTCGCGATCATAAAGTTTGTTGGTTACATCGTAACATAGAATTTTCATAACAGTTCAAGTTGAGCGTGTTTACGTAACTGTTCAAGCAGAATTATTGCGGCATTTTGCTGTGAATGCCACGCATGACTGCATCGCACGGCACCTTCACAATTAGCCGTAATGAACGCGCCAAAGGAAGACGTACAGTATAACGCGCTACCGCGTAGGCGTGTACAGATACATAGTTTTATCTGTATATTAATTTCATTTCCAAACACCATAGATTATGCATAATAATAAAATATTCAAAACGCTTGCTTTTTACAATATTATAACAGTACGATATGAACAAAAAACCAGGCGCAATTTCATCGACAAAAAATATAAATAAGTAAAGGATACCGGTACATACATTCTGTACTTATACTCCACCAGCAAATTTTGGTTGCGTCTTACGCCAAAAAAAGAACATCGCACGCGGTTAGGCTATTTGTGCTGCGTGTGTAGTGGTCGGCATCGTCCGGTTGTGTACGGCATGTGGCGTGGAATGTGCATTGGTCGTCCGTTTATCCCCCGGCCGCTTCCTGTCCGCGCTGGTTAAGACCACTTTCGGGTGGATGCATTTGCGGCTGCTGCTCGTCAGCACCGGTGCAGCCGTAGTCACCAGGAATTTCTTCGTCAATCCAGGCTCGCTTTTTCCCGGCTTTTCACGGACGCAATCCAGCTTCTTTTCGTCGAAGACAGTGTCACCTACAAACGCACAGGAACAGGTACTCCGAATTCTTTCCACGTCATCCTTAACGCCCAATAACACTGCGGCATGGTGCCTAACTGTTTCTCAACGGCGTTGAAATGCGCAAATTAATCACACAACAGCGCAGTAATTAACGCGCGCCGGTGCAGAAAAGTAAGAAACTTGGCTTAACGTTTGATTAAGCAACAATACGCTGTTACAGGACATTTCACCGGCTCCCGTCAAATGCTGCATATCCTTGACTAAGACCGGCAAAAAGCCCAGAGGCGATTTACGCGCAACGCCCCGGTTTGACGCACGTAAGAGTCGCGTTATTGGCCGTTAACCTTTCTTCCGGTACCTGGACACTGGGTCAGTGCTTTTGTTCGCCAGTCGGCTATACAGCTCTTCCCGGTATCAGTTAGTTTGCGTGGATGCAGCAAGAGCACAAACGGTATAAAAGAGCCATGCGCCCTCTCCGTAAACTCCATTCCGATTACTCCCAGTTTTAGTATGTACAGATACATTAAGATTACATTATCATCAAAGAAACTCAAAATGCGTTTTGTGGTGCTTATTAGTCTGGACGCTGCGGTGATCCTATGTGTGCTGAGTCCGTCGTACAGTGCGCCGGTGGCGCCGACTGTACAGACTGTACAGTCTGGAACGGAGACGACCACGTATATGCCCATCTATCGTGAGTTATTATTCGCACATTAATTAGTTTGTCGATTTTCTAATCAACAATGTCATTTTTTAACCCCTTCTTATGCGGTAATTTTGACCTTTCACCTTTTGATTTAACATTATTCGGAAGCAGTAATAATGTCTAAAACGTAACAGAGTATACCTGTAAAAAAACACAAATGTTTATATCGTCCTCAGGGCGCCTTACAGTTAATTTCAGTTACGCTTAGTTTTTTATTCGCGTAATGCGTAATTTTATGTGGAATATGTGTTGACAGGGAAGCTGCAGATGCAGTGTAAATTCTGCAATACGGGCCTGCTGCAGACCATCTATGATCGCGAGACCGGTCAGCCCAACGCCACGGCCGGCCTGAGCGCGGAGGAGCAGGAGCTGCAGGAAGAAGCCCACCCCGACCCCCACAAGAGCTACGGCATCGACACCTGGGCCACGTGGTACGTGGGCCGTCGCAAGCGCCAGCAGGCCCTGCCAGTGCCGCCCTTGATGATCATCGCACAGTAACCAACCGCTTGCTGCCTGCGCGTGTACATAGGCCAGGCAGCGAAATTCATAATTATTACTAATTACGGTTAATTACCTATGCGCACATTGTTCACGTATTGTGTCTTATGGCTTTAATAGCAGTGTACTGTAGATAAAGTGGCTGCTTCGTTTTTAACGCATACTGCGCTAACAAGCGCTTACCGTGAGCTGGCAATTTATGCGCATTGCATGTGTTCCTGTTGCACACTGTTGGTATGGAGCTTTCTTACTAAATTTATTTGTGTTAACTGTTCACTACCATATACAACGATATGATATCTTCTGCTGTAATATACTGCTATACTGTATTAAACGCTTCTAATCTGATACTCCGTCCGATAATAAATCAATAAAATTATCTTAGTATTAATATCAAATTCAGCAATAAATATAAAATAAATATTAGTGCCTTACAAAGCAAAGTTATGATGCTCGTTACAGTGCGGTACCACTCTGCTGCTGATGTTCAGTGTTATTACGTACCGGGACAGACCATCGAGAACTTTAGTCCACTGCTGGTGCATAAGTAGAACACTGTGAAGAGGAAAGGTCCTGTTGTACCGACCAGACGTTGAAGTCCCGTTAAACGGGTTGTCTGCTCTTGATGTAATAATAATAATTATAATAATAATACTATGCTGTAGTTGGTGTCTGGCGCGATTCCAGTGCGTTCATTGCACCAGTATATGGGTTCACTAAAGGAACACCACGGTTCTCCTTACCGTGACCACCCCGCAAGCGGTCAGCGTACAGGCCCGCGGGACGTGTGGAACAGTTGAAGATGGTCCAGTCCGGGATGACGTGGGGTCCGGGCAGCGCGTTGGTCTCGTTGACAGCGTAACTGAACTGTCCATCCACCAGCGCCACGCCCGATATCGAGAGCTGCAACAGCATGCGACTGATTATTAACGATAGTGTTGACACCTTCTCTGCCGAAACATACATGTCGTCCACGCGAAACAACTGTACGCAGCTCCAGTATACTACATTAACTCTAATCATTATAAGCGTGTTGTATAGAACCAGATTTTCCAGGAAGAATACTTCAAGTATGTTAAAAAAAAATTATATTTTTTATTCAACAGTGAACTGCCTAACGTGTGTTAGCTTAATTTAACTACAAATTACGTAAAAATTCCCCTTGATGAGAGGAACTCAACTATCGCCAACTCTGGCATGTACAGATCCGCAGAATATCACCAGAGAGTGCTGCCAGCCAAATCTACGTACAGAAATTGTGTTTTTTATGTGCATCATATTACGTATGTTATAAAATTTGGCAACGGTAAGTGCAGCAGGTTTTAGTGACCGCTGGCAAAAATTTCTCGAAAAATGAAATTACTATTATGCGCTAAAGCCGTCATATTCTGCATACCTCGACGGTTTATATGGAAACCTGGGAGCATCGAGCTGACTTGGGAGTCATTACACTGCGAAAGCTATTAGTGAAAGCGGCTACGGCTTCTCACGCTTCTGTTTGCACATCGTGCCGCAGCAAAGCATGTAATTTAAAATCACGTCCATCAACCGTGATTCTATATCTATCTTTACCGACTTCCCAAGCTCCCAAAACCAATATATAGCAAATATTAAGCAATGTACTCACAAAAAATAAGGACAGAAAGATGCACCAGACAAATTCCATTGGCAGGAAATTCGTCGCGTAAAAATAGAGCTGAATTAACTACCGTCTGGTTGGACGGCGGTAGGATAATTATTAACAGGGTGAATAATTACCATACTTTCCCTTATTCCACCAAGTATACGATAAAGCGATCGAGTTTAAAATCCCCAAATAAACGGGATGGTTGAATTAAAGGATCTTGTAAATAAGGCATTTCCAGAAATGTACAAACATTGTTGGTGTATTGTAGTCAAAAGCTGCTGGCGTATACAACGAGCAAACAAAAAACCGTCGACGCTGCAATTTCACCGTTTACCATTCGGCTTCCCTTTAATTATGCATAACGCATACAAAAACCAGTGTGTAATTGCCGGGCGGAAGAAAAGAGGAATACATTACATTACATCACCCTGTATTTTTCCGGCACTGGCAAATATTACTCAGAATGCAATATATCATATAGAGCTATGTAAGACTAGCTAGAAAATACCAGTACCGATTGCTCACAACCAAAACACAATGCTAAACAGCACTAAACCGAGGTGTACAAAAAACCCCGCAAATATTCGCTGCCCGCCGCCCCGCTGGTGCTGCGGCATGGGGACCCCTTCGCCCTCCCCGCCCCCGGGCAGATGACTCTCCCCGCCCTCCTCCTGCTGCACCTGATCACAGTGGTCGTAGTACAGCAGGAATCCCGACTGCCAGTAGCACTCCCCGCCTTTTTGACACAGATACATCAGCCCGTTGTTGTCCAGCACCAGCTGCGAGTTGCCGTACTTCCGGCCGACCTTCCAGGGCTCGGCGAACCACAGAGCGCGGTCGGTGGAGACGTAGACGGTCCCGTACACCACCAGGCTGCCGTTGCGCTCCAGGGTGACGTTGCCGGCGGTGCCGGGATAGCTGTAGCTGCTGAACACCGGGGTTTCGTCGCATTTGCGCAGGACCAGGAAGTTCCCGTCGGGTTGCAGGCGCGCCTTGTACTCTCCGTTGGCCGACTCCACCGTGTCGCCGACTTTGAGGGATTCACCGACGCGTAACACCACTGCAACGTTGCGTTGTTATGCTTGTTTATAAAACACGGAATTAAACAAACAAAAACTGTTAATAGGTGGCTGTATGCAGGTATAATTTTATTTTGGTATACACATACTTTTAATTGATGGGATAGTTTTTAGCATAATCGTGGTAATATTATTTTATAATGGATTTAAGATAATATGAACAACCGATGTACTTCTACTTGATTTTATGAACGTATACACTGCATAAGGAAAGTATACACTGCATCTTCTTTACGGATTTATACGGTACATACAAAATTTTCAGCTTTGTATGTTTCCGTTTTTACAGACCATGTTTTGCTCATATGTATTACTGTCATCGAACAAAGGATGGACTATATCTAAACTGAAAACAGACAGGCATTTTAGTTCTTTGTTTGTGTATTGACGTTTGCAATGGTACCGAATAAAGAGTCGAATCGTAGTATAGTGGCACTAGACAAAATAAATACAACTTCAGCTTGTCTGGTTTGCTCGTTGATTTGACTGTTGTTAAAAAGTTTTGGTTATGCCAGGTCTTTTTTTCGAAACACGAAGTAGATTTCAAAGTATGCATTTTCGAATAACCAAAACTGGAGCTCTACAAACGTTAATTTACCAGGACACCACATAGGTCCCCTCCAAATTCAGAAAACTTTCGTTTTTTTTGTAAAATGGTAGCGCAATATCGTAGTATGCTTAAAAAAATAGTTTCATCTGCCATGGTCAAGGGGGCGTGGCCAGTCAACAATTTAAAGTTTGCATTTATCACATACTAATAATGATACTATGCAATGCAATGAGTACAAGTTATTCGTATTTATTTTTATAATAAGTAATTTTTTACTGCAGCACCGTGGACTTTTGCAGGTGTCAAGTGGTAAGTCCACTTGGTGCAGTAGTAATACAAGTCGAATGGGATGGTAACACAAATCAGAATGTTAAAATTAGCGGGCCATGAGTGATAGCTTTTACGTTTCTACTTTTCCGGCTTGTCGTTACTTCCCCTGTACAGTTTACTGACAGCTTATCAGCAAAGATTATAGTTTATTTTAAAAAATATAAAAAAACTCGAAATTGCTTCTACAGGTTTAAAATTTGTATTATTTTAATTAGTTATCCCCGGCGCAGACATTTTTCTACTGTACACAATTAAAATGGTGCCTATACCTTGGGAGGCGTTGCCGTAGTCGTTCTCGCAGGTGCGCACCCGCACCCCGCTGGACTGCCAGTAGCAGCGCGCCTTGGCCCTGGCACACAGCTCCAGGAAGCCGTTATCCGTAAGTCGCAGCTCGGCATCGGAATAATCCGTGATGGCCGGACTGGAGCCGGAGCTCCACAGCACCGCGTTACGCCGACTGCCGTGACTGCCGGTCATAATCAGCTGGCCGTTGGTGGCGTCCAGCTCCAGCCGGCTGACGGTGGTGCTGGAGTCGTTGAAGGTGGCGAAGGTCGGCTTCCCGCTGCACTGGTCGTACACCGCTAGCCGGCCGCTCTCCAGGGCGAAACGGTAGCCGCTGTTCGGGGAGTACTTGTCGGCCGGTTTGTCGCTGCGCGCGTTGATCGACAGCGATTCACCCGGCTCCATAATCACTGTATGTAATAATATAATTACACTCGCATATACAAATAACCATAATACTAACAAAAAATGAGGAAAAAAGCATATGACATCATAGTTCAATTTTTTACTTCCTCACTTTTTGTTTTTATTATGGTTATTCGCTCGTGTTGGTTCATTTGCTCATGAGTCTGATAAGATGTTTGCTGCGGAAAACTGGCCTTCTAACATTGGGGTGCGTGAGTGGCTGTTTACCCCCAAAGATGCGCAGTAATTCCGAACCTGGAATGCGGTTTCTTTAACTACACTAATAACTCTGTCTTGACTGGCTTGTGCTAATAAATACCGTTATTAACTTTTTGTTATTATTATTATTATAGCGTGTAAACCATGTACCGAATGTTGCAGTTTGATTTTATAGTTTCATGGAATATGCGCATAATTTCACCTTTGTCTTAACCAAAACCGTTCTTCTTTTTATAATTTTTTTTGGAGATTTTCAACGTTATAATGCATTAGACAATTACTAAATAATTTTTCGATTTACACAAAAAAATTTAATAAATAAACAGCAACATTAATCAACAAGTACAACTAAATTTTTAGAGCTTAGGCAAAAAGATCAATAAATAAGCAGAGTAATTATTATACAAGCACTGAGCTAATTTTTTAATATTCAGATAGTGAAAAATAGACCAATGGACAAGAATCAATAAGTACTTTTACTTCTATTTGGCTCACATATACAGGGCTGGCTGTCGTTTTTACCTGAAAATTTCTTAGGTTCGGCGACATAAACCGAATGTACAATCCCCGCGAGGAATAGGCTACATATTAACGTAATAGTTGCGAAGAACCGAAACGTCGACATTTTTTCGCCTGCTCAAATTCTCTTCAGGAATAATAAGATATGAAGCAATTTAACGAAAGCATGCACCTGTGCTGTACGTAGATAAATCACTAAAATTTTGATGCATGAATTTTTACGGAAAGACGATGGGCGCAAGAGCGAGAGCAAGTGTTGTGGTTTATTTGGTTAGCATACAGTATTATCGTTTGATCGTTATCGCACGACTAGATGTCAGAAATCAAAAAGACAAATCAAGCATCCTGCCACATAAAAACCGGCAGCGGCGCAACCACGTTCGGCGGACAGCTGGCGCAATTATGCAAGAGCACTTGGAACAGTGTTAAGATCATGCGTGACCTTTGGCCGCTGTTACGGGTACAGCCCATAAGCGGCTCGGTGTGCATGCAGTAATACTCTGTAATGTACTTAAATTTTTTCGAAACAGCACGATAATATAGTCAACAGATGTTGATTTCCGCCCCGCTCAGTATCCACCGCCCTGGAGGAACGGAGCCGGCTCCAAAGGTCGCCGATGGCGATCGCGTCCGCGCTGCGGAAAATTCACTTCCTGGACGGTTCCCTCGTTCGTGCCGATCTCGCCAATATCGGCCAACGCTACAGTAGCGCAAAAAATAAAAAACAAACAGAGAATTTTTTAGCGGTAGAATTAATGTCATTCTTGCGTTTGCGCCACACCGATAATCAAATCGTCGACGAAGAGCGGCGTATTAATAGGCGTTCTGGTTGAACGGTTAGACACTGAGGCGGTATTTTCAGTTTTTTTACATACGAGTACTGTATCGATGCGATCGCAGTTACTACTGATTTAATGCCGGTTAAACAGTCTTTCAATACGAGCCTGCAACATTGTGTATCATGTAGAAGACCGTAGTGACGTGGTATGGCTTGGCTTCCCTGAATCTGGTCCACCAAATATCAGCTCACTATAGACATGCTTGGTATATGTAGGTTTGTCTCGAAATTCTTTTTTAGTTCCCGCTATAGCACGCAGTGAAAAAGGCAAAGCAGAGCACTAAAAGGTGACGTACCTCCTAAGATTAGGAGTGACACTAAGGATTGTGGATGCTTTCTGCAGCGTTTTACAGTTAATCAGGAAATAAATTACCGGGCTGTACAAACGGAGATACAGGGCGCACAGTACAGGGTAGATGGTCCAAAAAAGTCCAGCAAGAAGTCATTTTTACTGTTTAAGTACAATCAGGGCAGGGTTGCAGGGACGCGTACCGAACTCGATATCTAATTTGTATCGGTTATACGTACGAAAAATACATTTTTCTCGAATAAGCCTCACCTGCAGCCTGATCGTCATCGCGGTAGAATCGGGAGGGCCGGTTATAATCCCCATATGGCCGGAAGCGATTGTGTGGGGACACCTGGAACGTTACCGACTGGATGTTGCCTTCGTTCTCGCCCAGATAGTCGATATCGTTGAGGTCCATGCTCAACGGCGAACTGCTACTACCACCGGCAGCGCCGGGCGTCGGAAAGTACGGCAAAATCAGCGTCACTACAACCGTATATTTCATTTTATATATGTACCATACGTCTATTCACAAAACTACCAGCGACCGTTCAAATGAAAGTCAGCTAACCGAAGCGTCGTCCGGCATCGATGCCAATCTGCCCGATGCCCGGCGTCGCGGGCGGCTGCCCGATGTAGTTCTGCGAGATATCGCCGGTGTTGACGCCGATGGCTCCGATATCGGCCAGCGCTGCTGCAAAATGCACCGATGTGAACAGTAAAAAAATAGTATAACTGATAATTATGCGATGAAAATTATTTCCATTTCCACGTACGTATTCTCTAGTGTTGGGTAGTAAAAGTCCTTGCCAATATACTTATTTTTACTATCTGCTTTTGGAAGTTTACTTATTTTTACTTACTATTTAAAATTTCTCGGGACTTTTACTTACTTTTACTTACTATTTCAATTTTTCCAAGGACATTTACTTACTAAATTAAAGTAAATTTACTAAATAAATGTAATTAGGACTGAAAGTGTCGAATTGCGTTAGTTTCAAAGCGCTGAAAAGTACTGAAAATGGCGCAGAAAATTTTCTTATGCATTAATAGAGCTATACAGCCATGCAGGCGCATACTGAAAAGTAAATACTGCTGCTTTTTAGGGCGGTAGGCTGTCAGCCAACTACTGCGCACACTCACTTTACCTGCGAGAGGCGGCGGCTAACACGCCAATTTTACATAACGCTTGATAAAACGAATTAGTAAATAATTTAGTAATTGATTTTTATTTAGTCAACGCTAAACCTTAATATTTACTTACTTTTTACTATTCCGGCAGCACATTTACTTACTTTTACTTATTTTGTTTCCAAAACCTTACTATTTGCTAGACTTTTAATATTAGGCGGACTTTTACTAAGTAAATGGCCGTTATTTAATTTTATTTAGTAGCACAACACTAGTATTCTCATAAAATTAAAAGTTTAATGTCAAATTCTGAAGCACCAATTTATTAAACAAATAATGAAATATCAAAATTCTAAAAAATTATATAAAAACAAAATAAAAATATATAAAATATAAAAAAGTAAATAATATTATTAAATATAAATTCAGCCAGAATATTTGTGACCTATTTGCTGTGCCATGCTGCTGCATCAAAATCGTCTTGTCACGAAAATCTGCGCACAGTCAGATAATGAAAGCGATGTGTGCCATTGTTTCTAATATTTGCCGAATCATTTTTTTGGCTGTGCCGGGATCGTTTTAACGTTTTAAGATAAGTAAAAGAATACCATCGCTGGGTATGTCGGCATCGTCCAGCACCCCCACGGCGTCTTCATCCCGGAAACGGCCGCGACCGCGCTCGGGGAATTTGACCATCTGCAGACAGCCGGTGCGCTGGCGATCCACGAAGTTGACGGTGTTGTACCGTCCACTGCCGTCCTTGAAGTTGACATCCTGAATACAGCCGCCCGGAGGGTTCTCCGGCAAAAAGGCAATATCGCCGCCTGCGTCGCGGAGAAATCACAAAATAATTAATCAGCCTCATGCTATACAGGTGTTTAATTTTCCACAATTTTATTTAATTCAAATATGATATTTAATTTTTTGCTCACGTATTTATATGCAGCTCACTTTAAATAAAACCACGTCTTTTAATAAAAAATAGTATTTAATAATAAATAATATTTATTAACGAAATAACAATTATTATTTTAATAAAAGTAAAATTAATAATTAATTACGAGAAGACTAATTAGTTTTTGTCAAAAGCGATTTCAATAAATATGCACTTTAATTTTTTACTGAGGAATAATTCATTCTAAATTAATAAATATCAGGTGAAACATAATATGCATGCAGTGTTTCACACTTCACGATACAAGCCAGAAAGAACACCAGCAAAAATTATTGGAAAAATACCGTTTACAGCAGCACTTGCCGTTGCTTACCCGCGATGGCGCGACCGTCACCCACGGCGAACAGCCAACCTAATACACCGGTGATAAATAACGCTCGCATCTTTCCGGCGCCGACGTCTAAAAATCTCAGGAATCTTTAAAGAAAATCAAGGGCTTTATTAGAGCATTATTAAACTGATAAACTACTTTTGTGGTTGTACAAGTTACAAATCGGTGACTGACGACCGACCAAAAAATAAAATATAAATCAAGAGTTGCGCTACCAGGGCAATTTTTTGTACAGCATCCGGCTTTCCCTGTGTGCACTGTGCATTTGTATATCGCAACCGAAGTGTATCCGCAACTCGCACTGATGTAACAAGTCGCAAGGTCATCGGGTCACACACGCTCATGATCCGTTTTGCAGTACGGTTTTCCAGATGACCCTGATATGGTTTTTCTCCACAGTGCAATCTCATTCAGCGCCGATTCCATCCGGAATCGATCAAATCTTCTGTCCTGATTTCGTGTTATTTTTAATTTGTTAATTTTGGTGACCTTTGCTAATTTGAATTTACCGGTAATGTGGAACGCAGAATCACGAATCAGTCATGATCTTCTTTTTCTTCTGCATTTCCCTGACAAACAAACGCTTGCGCTTTGCATTTTCGTTGCTGCTCATATACGCTTTAATATAACATCATTTTTATATAAGTATTACTAATAAAAGTTTTGGGAAAACTTCCGAGACCAGACAATCAAGGCTTAAAAGCCGCTTAATGCTTAATAAGTTAATATAGTCCCAAACAAATAAACGGCGAATTCTTGTGGATCGCGTTGCCAGTGCCGCGGAGCAGTCCGTGGTGGAGACGCGCGATCACCAAATGGGATAGCGATGACGGCGATGGCCGTATCGCTGCTTGAAGTTGTACTCCGTGATCTGGCCGTTGTTAATCCCGATCTCCCCGATGTCGTTCTGCTGAGCGGGCTGGTCGTCGCTGCTAGCTACAAAAGATATCGTAAAGATCACACCGGCATTTCTTAAGCACAGACTGTATATTGCTAGAATTATGTTCGAATTTTCATGATCTTTATGGCAGACAACTTTACAGTAATAATCTGATTGTATGGGTAGTTATTCCGTTCTCGTTAAATCGTAATGTGAGTGTTGTATAAAGCAGTTGGCTTACCGGCCACGTCATCGGCGTCGTAATAGGGCCGCGGACCGTAGATGCCGGGATAGCCGGCGCTGCGGTATTTCTGCTTGTAGTTGTACTCCTTGATCAGACCGTTGTTAATCCCGATCGTCCCGATATCGTCCACTGCAGTTAAATACATACGCTTTTAATTAACCGGCACAGAATCAATTGATACTGATGGCAGGCGTTGGATAATTAATTATCGGTAATGCGTAATTGAAAAATTTGTGGTTATTATTTCAAATATGTATCTGATGTATATTATGTACTTGTCAAATTAATAGCATTATATATATAAAAATCTACTCATGTTTAACTAATGTTAAAGATGTTTAACGCATCAACTAACCCATCGAATTTTCATCCGCTTGGTTACCATCCCCGGAAACGCTTTCATCATCTGCAAATAAAAGAAATTATTCTTACGCATGCGCTGCAGCATTTCGAGCTGAAACTCATGTTAATTTAAATGGCACTTTCGTTGACGATACACTTTGTGGTAAACAGGTACACGTGTAAACAGCGGTATTATTTCAACTCCTTTTTTATTTCCGTTTTTTGGGTTTTTAAATTTGTTATAATTTTTTTTAATTTTTTAATGCCGGCTAGTTATTTTGAATTTAGTGAATTTAGTTATGTTGAATTTAGTGGCTTACTTTGTGTCACGATGAGAATTCGTGGTCTATCCGCCACATCAGTATTGCTATCAATGTCAATACCTGCAAACACCATACAGAAAAATTATGTTAAATTCGGATCTCTTTATAGTCGGATCTTTTAAACGAGATACGATTTTTTTTTTTATATGTATCAAAGTTTTATATTAGAAAAATTACGATATGAAGAGATCTTTGAATTTGCAGCAAAACAGACAACACGCTAGAAACGAAGACGAAACAACACTTGCAACAATTCACTGACCGGCGTCTCCCGGGAGGAAAGTCTGCGAAACACGGCCGGGATTGAAACCGATCACGCCGATCTCGGCGCTGACGCCGACCAACACCATCAAACACGCTAAAGACCCCAACATAGTGATGACCTTTTGATAAATCTGCAGTAAAATTAGTCAGAATATTCTGCGTAAGAAAATGCAGTTAAAGGAACGCATTTGCTCTGCTGCAAGAAGGATTTATAGGCTACTTCACCAGGATGCACAACGCTTTTTCTGTGCGACTGTCAGTATATACGAGGATTCTACTCTGTATGGCGGCATCAAACTGTTATCAAGGTCAACGTATCCTATTGCGCAAATCAACGTATTGCGCAAATTAACAGGAGACTGAAAATCAATGCTGTATTAAAACAGAAAATAATTCTTTAATATATAATATGGTTTTGCGACTTACGCTGGAAATTAAGAATTATTGGTTCCTTTGCTTGGCTTTGTTAGTAATACGTTTTACACTATCCGGCGACAATGGTCAGTTACAAATGACTGTACGGAAGAAAACAAATTAGACGAAAATTATTGCGATTTAGAACGATAAATTTTCTTACGATCCGAATAATAATTTTATTCGTGTTGATATTTTTTTATCTGAAATTCTTGTAAACAATATTCCAGAAACGTTGTCAGATGTTCTAAAGACAAAAAAGTTGCTTAATAATTTATCAAAGCCTTATCAAACGGGAACAGCAAGTATGTTATTCATCGGCATGAATGCCACGCGGCGGGAACTGCAGGTACATTTTGTTGACAAGACACACAAGAGGCCAACGGCGCCATTAGCATAAACAAACAGCGCTCCATCCTCCGTCGATTGTCACCCGATCCGCAGACTTCATCTGCGCATGCCGACAGCGCAGGAGCCGGTGATTTCCGGTTGTGACAGGTTCAATGCTATCAACCGGCGATCAAATTTCTCCCGGTCACTTAGTAAAGACTCTGTCGGCTGAAGAAGCGGAAGATACGTGATCATATTGCATCAGTTCCCTTTACTTATGTCGCATAGAACGAAGCCTCATGATTTCAAGGTTGCATCACACTCTTTATGTATGAATATGTACATGTCATAATGTACTAAATTCTTCCCACTTTTTTGGGATATGTCCAAGTCATAAAAATTTGAAATTATAACATATATTTTCTAAGTAGAACCTTTACGTAATACTTATATGGTTGTGCAGAAATTCGGCATTCTGTTAGCGAAAAAATGAATTCTTCCTATTTATTTTCGGTCCAATATCTCAACGTCACCATCGAAGACCCGGAATTTCTCGGCTGGACATTCTACCCGGCCGCTAAACTCTTCCTCCTAATCACCGGGATTATTTTCAACGCCGCGTGCCTCTTCCTCTCCCTGACCACCCCCTCCTTCCGCAACGCCTTCGCAGTGTACCTCCTGGCGGTGTTATCCAGCAATTTATTAACCCTCTTAATCTACTATCCTTTATCCATCATCCAGGACCTGTACTCCCAATGGCCTCTTAACCACGCCCTCTGCGGCGTGCTCCTCTACGGAAATCTGGTGAGCCGCAGTCTCTGTCTCCATTTTCACGGTTTAATTACCCTCAACCGCTACTGGGCGATCCTGGCGCCCTTATCCTACCGCGTCCACCACGCCCCGGCCACCGCCGTGACCTTTTGTGGGGTGAGCGCCCTGTACCTCCACGCCACCGAGGTCACGGCTATCGTTTTGGATTTCCGACTGCGGCGCTGGAGTATCGAGCAGGTGACGAAAAACCCAGTACGATAGGAATAATTACCGTAATAATCTGTTCTACCGACCTTGCTCAACGACAGAGTATGAGCTAATAATCTCAATAGGGCTTATACTGTGTATACTTGTATAGCTAACAATTGTAGGTCTACGAATCTACGCAAACGAGAATTTGCAGCTCCGAAGCCGATTTTTAACCGAGACCGCAAATATCAGATGAGACGCAGAACGTGTAGAAAGTTTAGAAAACAAAAACACAACCCAAAATAACAGAGAACATTCTAGAACGCACACTAAAGTAAGTACGAGTAAAAAAGCCGTAGAGTACGTACTAACTGGCTCCAGTATGCAACATTTTACAGCACGGAGGAAGTGTTGTTATAAATTATTCCTGGTACTAAGTTTGCTTGTCCCGTGATGCTAGTTAATAAGGGATAGAAAATTATTTTTTCGTCGCAGGCGAATTGCTATCTGGACGTGATGGCGCAGCGCGTGTACATCGGGGTGATCTACGCGGTGAACTACGGCGTGGCGCTGCTGGTCATTGCGGCGTACCCCTACGTGTTGTGGACGCATGTCCGCCAGAAGCGGAAGGTCGTCGGGGCGGAGGTGCAGCGCGGTGCCGGGTGGGGCTTAGCCATTACCTTGCTAACGGGGAGCGTACTGGTGTGTTGGGTGCCCCACGGGATCATGATGTTCGTGCTGTTTGTGCGGGAGGAGTCGGCGCAGTTGACGGGCTGGGAGGTGGCCTGGCTGCTAAATATGCTGCAGCCGCTGCTGGATCCGTTGATCTTTTTTGGGACGGTGGAGCCGGTCCGGGAGAATTTGTTGGGGAGATGGCGCAGGTTGAGAAAGGCCTTGGCTGCTTAATTCTTTGCAAAAACGGTATTTATCCGAGATACCTTTTAATTATCGTTATTTCGTTTTCATGCTACTACTGTACATGTGTTGTTTCTCATTTTTTCGATTACATTTTTAGTTTTCTTCTTTTTTTGCAATCTATGTACAATAATTTCTCCATTTTGATCTCTCTTTTCCTTATTTTTTCGTTATTTTTCATCAGTTCCACTTTCTGTTATTTTTAAATTTTCATTCATTTTACGTTTCAACTATGGCTTTATATTTCTTCGAAGCCATTATTCTTTCGTAATAGTAAAAATAATTGTTCTGCCAAACTGAAGTGGCAACTGAATTTCCGGTTATGTACAGATTTGTATAGTACTCACAGTCAGTACGTACTCTGTTTTTGTGCTTTGCTTCAAAACTATTTTGGCTAAATCCCTCTCCGGAAATATTTAAATTAGATGCATTCCATTCCGATGTTGTTTTGCTCGAATATTTGCCAGTTTTTTATCGTGATCGAGTGAAATAAGTACAAGCATAAAAGCGCCGCCAAAAATATGTTTTGTACATACTTAGGTACCTTGTACATACATAATTATGCAGGTACCTCATACATGTAACGAACACGTAGATACATACATAAGCCGATAAATGCAAAGGGTGTGTTTTGCACATTTTGTCGGTATTCGGTGCTCACGTGAGCATAATACACGCATCGGTTTACTGCATCCAAAAGCCGGTACACGACAGCAGCCGACGGAAGGCAGCCTAACCCAACCGGAAATCCAGCAGGGCAACTTTACTGCTTACGTTACTGTACCGCTGAAATCTTGCTTGGGCTGGATGCGCAGTATACTCGCCATACTGCAGCGTCTGTGCATCGTTTCGCTGTTTATTTATTTTCCCGGCGACAATCAGCTGAATAGCGTGGGAAGAGCGCGACGGTGAATGGCGGACTGCTGCGTGAGCAGTCTCAACATCCTCGCCAGACTGCCGCGATCTATGGGCTTGTTGATTTACACGTTTCGTATGCAAATCGCCGGAATGCGACGAGCGCAGCGCCGTGGTCCAGGAAATAACTTGCCTGTACATGACGACATAATACATCAAAATCATTCGCCAGTGCGTTGTTTCTGTCCAGGGTGACTATTATTTCCGCTAGCTACTGATACCGGATTATCAAGTATAACACCACTATGTTCCTTTTACGGTTGATTCGGCAATTTTGCTAGCCATCGTCCTCTCTTTATAACCAGCAACGGACACACCATCTGCGACATGTCGGAATCACCGCCGTTGCAGATGCGGGAAACCCCGGCACGGGATGGCACCCCGTCGCAGATGTCCGGTGAGTATCATCACATGATACTTGTATTGATGATGCCGGCGGTGCGTAATTTGCTGGGTTAGTGATTGCGTTCGTCCTAGAGCACGGCGAGAATCCGGGCCCGGCGCAGTCGACCAGCAGTGATTCGGCGCACCGGGCCAGTCTGACCTCGTCGGTACTGGAGATCTACGGGGAATACGGCCGGCCCATCAAGATGACCCGCCAGATGCTGCTCTCCAAAATTAGGTCCATGTTCTTTGCGTATAATTAACTCTACAGCCTTGTTTCAGATTATACGAAGGCTTTTACATTATTTATTACGGCACGTACAGTATTAATTAAGTTTCGAATAAGGTAAGGGTTTATTTATGTGGACGCCAACTTTTACGGAATACATTAACTGTGGTGTCCTGATTAATAAGGAGTACATTTGCTGTAACATGTTCGGCACTGATTAAACAATGACGATTCTGCTGCGTGGTGTGCACTGTGCAGACGCTTCCTGCACCAGCGTGTGTACGGATTCAGTGTCCCGCTGGGCCGACGCTACACGGCCTTCTTCCCGCTGGTCGCGCAGCTGCAGCATTACGAGTGGTCGTGGTTAATGTGGGATGTCCTGGCTGGGATCATCGTCGGCATGATACAGTTTACGCAAGGTATACGACCACCCAGTACATATGTCTAATATTATGGAATATTATACATTACAAGTAGTACAACCTATATTTATAATAAAGACATCACATTTTTGTACTTGCCTGTAGGTAATTAGCTGTTAATTACAGGCAGCTCTAAATGGGACCTTTATGGCATGAATTATTTCCAGTTATTTTGATAGGTTTATATCAATAATTATTATACATATTATCATATACAGTAACTGTATGTCCACATTGTCCAGCAATGCTTGACGTGAATCGTACAGCAAACTCCAAATACTCGTAGTTTGCAGGCCGTGTACATCTGTACGACAGCAAGACGACACTGGACAGTTTGTGTTATGCTTTCTGCAGTGTTCGGTAACTCGCAGACGGCGCTGATCCGGCAGTGGCACGGCACGTACATCCTGCTGTTCCCCGGCCTGATCTACGCCTTCATGGCCTCCTCGCCGCACAACTCCGTCGGCGGCATGAGCATCGTGGTGGCCACGCTCAGCGTCTCCTTCATGCAGATCCAGGACGCCTACTACCCCAACGAGATGCGCGACGGCCGCAAGATGACGGCCGCCGAGCAGTTCGACCTCCATCTCAGCATGGGACCCGGCATCGCCCTTGTGGCCGGCTGCTTCCAGGTACGAGGACAAGTGCGTATGGATAAGTGGAAAATTAGTTTATCAAGTTAATTTATCCATTTTATAATTTAACGGGCACATCTAGAAATTAGTTACGTGCAGGTTTTATAACACTGTACTACAGTGTACAGTGTTATAAAATATACCTCCTAACCATAAGCGCATTTACCAATGCACGCACCAGTAAAAGAATTGCCCGGTTTTTCCCATGCATCGAAATTGTTTTGCAATGGTTTGCCTGCCTCGGCATATCCTAAACGTGTGTAACTAACTGCACGGGAAAGCAGGATACCCTATTATGAAAGCGATGCAGAGTAAACCGAGGCGAATTGGCCGTTTCGCCTAAACGGTTAATCCAGTTATTGCTCCAAGTGTGTGTATCCAAATTCAAAGTGCCGCTAAAGAACATGATTACTAGACATGAAATATTGTAGAGTGATGGCTTCACGTACGGGATATGTGCAGACTACCATATTTGCCTTAACGGCCAGTCGTACATACAGTTTTCTTAGATTTGTCAGTTGTTCGAAACAGCTACTATAAGATTTTTTTTATTGAAAAGTTGCAAGTTTAGTAATTTTTTATTGAATTTTATTTCATAAAATAAAGGTACATCACAGACCAAAAATAGTTAGTCACGATTCACAACCAGCTATCACGTGAACGGTGTTTGCAAAATTTTTGTCATGTGGACCAGCGCAGAGAATACCGTGTTTCTGATTTCCGGTATACAAATCCGCCGTTCGAAAACTGCCCCAAACGTGAACAGCGCCGAAGAATGCATTGTGCCCTGAGTGTCTTCTGAATTTCTGCCGGTTAATTAGGTGGTGCTGGGCATGTTCAAGCTGGGCTTCCTCTCGGCCATCCTCTCGCCCAACGTCATCCAGCCCTTCTCCATCGCCTGCTTCCTGCAGTCCATCTGCTCCAAGATCCTCACCTCCTTCGGCCTGCCGCGGCTCATCCACTTCGGCTACGCCAAACACTTTAGAGTATGTTTTCCATCGCAAATAAACATCTCATTAAGCGGCTTTTTACAAACGTCCGTCTAACCAACAGGACATCATCTACTTCCTGAAGAACCTGGACAACATCAACGGCTACGCGGTGCTCCTCTCCCTGTCCATGGCCTCCATCGTCCTGTGCTTCCGGGAATTCCTCCAGCCCCGCCTGTACACCGCCTACCGCGTAGTAGTCCCCATTGAGTTCATCCTCTTCGTCATCTACTGCGGCCTGAGCTACTGCTTCGACTTTGAGAAGCGCTACAACATCTCGGTGGTGGGCAACTACAGCTACGGCTTCCTGCAGCCGGCCGTGCCCGACTTCACCTATGGCTGGGATATGCTCTTCGCCGGCATCGTCATGGCTATCGTCTCCTACACGGTGACGCTGGAGTCGGCCAACGTGCTGGCGCAGAAGAACGGCGACCAGATCTCGCCCAATCAGGAGCTGCTTGCGCTGGGGTCCGCCCACATTTTCGGCTCATTCTTTACGTGTATCCCGGTGGCGGCATCCGTGGGGCGGGGCCAGGTTAATCAGGCCATTGGCAGTCATTCGCAGATTTCGACGCTGGTGGCCTGTCTTTTTGCTTTCTTCCTCGTGGAGTTTGCCGGACCGGGGATTGCTTATCTGCCGACAGTACGTTATATACTGCAGTGTTATTACCTTCAGGATTTTTTTAAAAGTCTCGTTTTTTTGCAAAAAGGGTAGTCTGGTTAAACACACTATCATGCACTATCAAAATTCGAGAGCCTGCGATCTGCCCTAATGTCAACACCGTAGAGGTGCCTAACGTACTCTGAAATCAGAGTATTGCGCCTCGTTTTTAATTTGACCTTTGCAAATTTTAAATTACAGTTCGTATTAGATTTCATGAGTCATTGAGCAAACTGTTAAAATACTGATGCATTGTGGATTATGTGCAGTGTATCATTTCCGTCAACATGATCCTCTTCCTGTCCATGTCCATGGGCGCCTTCCTGGACGTCCCGCGTCTCTGGCGCAACAACAAAATGGATGCCGTAAGTACACGAGATTAATACAATATTAGCGTGTGTCCGATGCCAGCACGGTTGCTTGTGGTTAGTGCATCTGGATGATCACCTTCATCGTCTGCATTAGCACCACAGTGCAAATGGGACTCTTCATCGGCAGCGGCCTCTCCATCATTAGCCTGTTGGTGCGCAGTCAAAGGTATCGCACGTGGAAAACATTCGCCTTGCGATAAAATTCAAAATAAATTGGTTCCGATAAAGTTTATATTCACTGCAGGCCAAAGGTCAGGGTGATGGGCATCTTGCGGAACACCAACTGGGGATTCGTGGCGCTGAAGCACTACGAAACGGTAAGCACCCATCCGCTGTACCACTTCCGCGACCTTTGTAATAGCGTCTAGATTTGCAGGCGCGCGAACTGCCAGGCATCCGGGTGTTGCAGATCCAGAGCCCGATGAGCTACGCCAACTCGGAGTTTTTGGTCAAGCAAGTGACCAATCTGGCCTGGGAAGAGTATGCGGCCGCCGCCGAGTTCCCCGTCATCTCCGAGCCCAAAGAGGAGACACCGCTGCGTCGGCACGCCTCCCTCAACTTCCTCACCGGGCGGCAGGTATGCGACACCCAACGGTTCCTCGAAATATTGTTTGCTAGACGCTAAGTACAGTATCAATTTCTTGACGGTATCGTGCAGAACCCAGCGATTCGCGCACTGGTCGCCTCCAATATCCTGGGCAGTCTGGACAGCGCCGTGGGGACCTCGGCGTCCCTGCTGCGGCAGCGCGCGGCAGAGAAAAGCGGCCTGAGCGCCTCGATGAGTGACCTTTCCCAAAGATCAGCGTCAGACGGGACGAATCTGTCGGAGGAGACAGAGATGTCGACGGCCACGCGGATCATCCTGGATCTGGGCGGTGTCGGGTATATCGACTCGGTGGGCATTCGGGCGCTGGAGCAGATTGCCAGCGATCTCAAGCGTCTGGGTATCGAGACGATCCTGGCGCAATGTACCGGTACGTTAAAATTAACTCATCTCAACTCGAACACCAAACAGGGCAATTAATTTCGTCGTTTTACCGGATGATAATTTTATTCGACATCAGTCAGTTCACAGACCATATGGGCTAGCACAGGTTTACACTACTTAAAATGATCAAAATTTAAACATTGGAAAAACATCCAAAATCGTTAGTCCCATTAGTGATCTTAGGGCGTGCAGTCAGTGTACCCAAAACCGCAGCTGCGTTTCCTCGGACTACTGCAAGGCTTAAGCGCTGCCTTAAGAAGGCCGTAGATCGTGGTTCTCCGGTGACTTTGCGGATCTTACGGCCGGCGAAACGGATGAGCTCAGCAAAAGCCACTCCAAACGTACCGAACGTCTCGACCGCCAGAGGGTAGAAAAAATATCCCAGATCTTCGACGAAATCATATTTGTTGCGCTTACTGTTTTCAGCCAACTGGGCTACGCTTCCGGCCCAGTTTTACCAGATTACTTATATTAGCGTGCATACCTTCGGATTGTAATACAAACAACTGATGCCGCTAAATAATTTCCTGGTTTGTGGATAGCAAACTTACCGCCCCTCAGAGCAAGGTGATCTCTTCTGCTGCGCAGTAATGAAAACCGCGTAAAACGTTTTGGTTTATAAAAGTTTGTGGGATGCCTACTACTGCTTGTGTACGATTTTTTTCTTAAGAAGTATTTCACATCAGCAGGTAGACAGTTGAATTCTGTATCGATTTTTGCATAGGTTATTGTAAAAAGATGGCCAGCCAGTCCGCGGTTAAAAAAACTTAATCAAATCAGCAAACGGAGGGCAACAGGAACACCGCTAATGCGTTTAGCTACGTAAATACACTGAAGCTCGTGCTACTGTTTTTGATGGCGTAGTAGGTGTACTTCCGCGTGAATATAAATTACCGATAAAAGCGGTTATAAATATTGCAGGACAGATCCTAAAGCAGCTGAAGCGGCTGGAGATCCACAAGATCATCCCGGAGGCCAACATCTTCCCCAGCGTGGTGGACGCCGTGGAGGAGGCCATCCGGCGTATCCGCAGCCATAAGGAGCCCAGCGGCGAGGGCGAGGTGGTCGGCGAGTACGAGGACGACCGCTTCTGGGACGTCCCGGTCGTCCCGGTGGAAGGTCTGCCCGTGGTCGACCTCGATAAGGTCAGGTTCACTGACGACTGACCCGAACAGTGAACTAACTTACACGACGCGCATCCGCCAAACGAACGCGGATAAAATGGTTTTAAAATCAGTGCTGTCTGAAAGTGCTTGCCATATAAGCTGGCAGTTTATTCTGTTACTGCATGCGCCCTGTATCGTTATCAGAATAAAATTGGAGAAATTTTATGGTAGTCCTTTATACACTGATTGTCTTAATCGTTTCTCGTACATAATTTGGCGCGAGTGCTGTCCACACTGTCCACACAAAACAAACCACAGTACGGTCATCGTGGAAACAAAATACAAAAACAACAAGACGCATTCTTTGCGGACACTATCCTCCCGGAGGTAATTCCTCCCGCGTCGCGTCCAGATTATGGTAAGCAGCGTTATGTTTTGGGTGGTGGTGGTGGTGCGGGAGCCGGTGTGGCGGGTGGAGCTACAAAGAAAGCGCGAATGAAAGCTTGACGCTGTCTTTCGCAGCCGCTACGCTAACACCGCTAACACCGTTAGCGTTAATGCCGCTACGCTAACACAGAATGCGTAGTGAACTCACTGAGTAGCTGATGGAGAATGTAGCCCCACAAAAAGCCGGTCACATCCCCGCCGATGCCCCAACCGCCGCTCGTTCCCGGGAACTGCCGTTTGGCGCGACTCAAGATGGACTCTGCCGACAATATGTACAACTTTATCTGACCATGTTTTTCGCAATGATTCACTGCACAAATGTCACGCGAAACAAGGAGAAATCTATTTATAATAACTTCATGAGAATTACGTTGAGAAATGATTGCCGCTTACCTGAAGCAGCGGGCGCCACTGCCGCATAACTATCAGCAGCCGCTGCCGTCGCGGTATTTTCACCGAGCAACAGCAGGCATAACACCGTACTCAGTAAACATAACCACGATAACCACGAAGTCCTTCGTAAGCCGTAACAATCCATGGTAATTAGAACTTCTCGAAAGATAGTGCAACCATAATGTGATACTCTTAGTGCGCGGCCTGACGCGGGGCTTCTTATATCCGATGGGTAATGCAGATTTTCGATGTTTTTGGTTATGTATGCATCTTGTGGTGGGTTCTTGTGGAGCGGAAGCGCTGCAGTGTCCATGTCATAACGTCAGTGATGTAAAATGTAAATATGCGTGTCTGGCGCTATTTCTGACAACGCTGGACAATGGGGCAGGCCGTAGCCACTTCACCCGTGTTTGTCAGCGGCTGAATGTGTTTTTAAACGGCGGCCAAGTGCGCGCTCACATCTTTGTTTGCCGGTAAGCAGGCTAACCACAATACACAGTCATAGTCAGTTAACTGTTGTCGAGTGGTTTTGTGTATGTTTATCGACTGCTCTGCACAGATATGTGTAAACTGTAAACACAGTCGAACGCATTAATAAAGGTCACTTTTATGCGCCCCAAATGTCGGGGCGCACAAATTAATGATAGGATTAAGCAGTTTACTGGAAACTTTACGGCTCGTATCAGATCAACTATGCGCTCCGTAGCAGTTTCCCTGAAAATTAAAAGATAACAGCAAGGTTTATAATAGACAGAGTCTCTGTGTATCTGGAGAATCCTATGTACCTTGATAACAATGTCTATTTATCATGAAAACAACAAAATGAAATACGACTAAGTACTCGACTGATGTTCGTGTGATACGTGCAGACACGTGATATGTCCGTCGTACACTAAGCCAGTCACGTACCGGAAGTGCAACGTAATCAACTTCAGTGTATGTTGGTTTTTTTATATTAGCCATAAAACGTCTGTATGCATCTGCAGCAGCTACTGATGTAATCGTAGTCGGCCGCCGAGATTGTGGGGCAGTGTAGGCTAATTAACCGTTGTGTGTATTAGCGGCCAGGCAACTTCCGCGATGCGCTAGCTAGCGAAGATTTTATTGCCGGCAGAGAGCCCGCGGTCATGAGCATCTTCGTACTGTATACTGCAGTACTGATGCAGCGTTGTTTGCACCATCACATGATGCCGCACGTCTGCCGCTTTCTGTGTCAAGATCAACGCCGAAATAACAACCGGATCCATCACATAAACACTGTTGTGACAAGCTGCATTTAGCTGATACGTTAATATATAAGTGCTGCGTTTCCTGGATCGGGAATGTGGACAACAATCTACGGTTCCTTGTTCTCCACGCTTCTCTTGCTATTCCATCCAGGTAGGTTGTCGCTTCATCTCCAGACAATATTCGGCATTACTGAACTGCATAGGATTTAATTTGTGCGCTAATAATTCTTGTTATTCGTTAATCATTCCTTAACCGTGGATGCAGGTGGCGCTCGGGCACAAAATGAGACAGCGGCAGCAACGGAGAATTTTCCCCTCCCGACCCAGCTCAACGCCACCGCCAATGTGACGCTCCCGACGGAGCACAGCGCGCCGGTCATCGCGGTCGATGGCACCGTGCAAAACGTGCAGAACGCCTCCATTCCCGATGTCGTCATTATGACGGTAGGGTGGCTTTTGGCAAAAACAGCTATTCGCATACTTAGATATTTGTAAATATACCTTGTTTACCTGATAAAAGAATGTAACAGCAACAACTCGTGATTAATTTCCTAAATTCAAAAAAGCATAAACCTGCCTAAAATAAATGTAAATTTTATGAGCGTACCTACGTTTATGTTTTCAATTCATTTACTTTTATTAGTTTTTAATATTTTTATTAGTTAGTATTTTTTTAGGTCTATTTATTTCAACTTATTTTCATTTTGTTGTTAAATAAGTTCATTATTTTGCTTATTTATTTGTTCTGCCTCGTTATTTGTTTCATTTTCTCATATATTCTGTTCGCTTATTTATTTGTTATTATTTTTGTTTTGCCCACCTGGGTAACTTGACTAATTTTTATATATTCTTAAAATCATTCTTACGTACTGAGAATTTATACTGTAAGTGCGTTTCAGTAAAGAAATCAAGAGAAAAATCGTACCAACCCATATACTGTATCAACTGTGTTTTCTTCCAGCGGTCGACCCTGTTGGGAAGCGTAGCGCAGTGGCTGCAAGCCGTGATGACGGTGGTGTGCGGCGGGGAGTCTGCCCCGGCGGTGGCCTTCTTCCACTGCATCAACCACGCCCCCTCCATCCCGGCGCTGTGGGCGGCCATGGGGCTCAACAGCACCTCCATCCAGGTGCAGACCATCCAGACCACGCAGATCTCGGGACAGAACGCCTCGGTGGACGCTAATTCCCTGCTGACCCTCCTCAGCAGCAACGTCACGCAGCTCAACGACCTCCTGCAGCAGATCACCGCCCATCTCGGAGATTTCTGCCTCAACGTCCCGCCGCTGATGCAGTGCGTTAGACCGTTCTTGCAGGCATGTATTACCAGCACCGGATTGCGGGTGGACCAGTTCGCGCGGAATGGGCTAATGAACGGAAAGGTGCCGGCGCCGGAAGTGGTCAATAAGGAAATCGCTAGTGTTACCAATGAAACGGTGGTTGCAAACACTGGTAGCATGAATGTTACCGAAGTAAGTGCCGGTAATGCTAACGTTACCGAAGCAAGTACCGTTACTGCCAACGTTACCGAGGTAACCACCGGTAACACCACCGTTACTGAGGTAACCGCCGCTAACGCCAACGTTACCGAAGCCCCACAGCTGCAGAATGCCACCGCTGTCCAAGCCAACGTTGCAGTGAACAGCAGCGCCCAGGAAATAGCCGGTAACAGCAACGCGACGATCAATGCCGATCCGGTGTTCAACCAGATCAATGTAACCGAAACGAATATCACCGGTCAAGCTCGAGGTATTTTGCAAAAAGTTATTAAGTTTACCATGTGACCTTTCACTTCCGGTTGCAGAATTGGATGTGGAAACTATTAAGCTGATTCAGGCTCAAGCGGCCGGTAAAAATTAACCTTCTTTTCTATTAATTCACCTTTTTATTTAATGGCAAAAATTAATAAAATTGATGTTGTTAGCGCCGGTTTCGAAAGTGTGGTTCAACGCCAATTTCCCGCTGTCTCATTCGGCCGACGACGTCGCCCAGTTCGTGCAGGCCTCATTGGAGCACCTGTGCCAGAACCAATCGGAGAAACTGACCAGTAAAGCCGGGTCACGTGTCCGCGCAAGAAAGTTGCTGTAATTTAGTTTAAATTTTATAATTGCAGCGGTTGTGTCCAACGTGGCGTGTATCTTCAACGCCATCAGCATGCCGTCATGCAGCAACGAGATCCTCGATTTGAATCAAGCGCAGGCCAGCCAGGAAAACGTCTGCAAGTATGCCGAACTCACGCTTCAATTCCAAATTAAACAAAACAAATCAAATGAAACTAAACAGAATTTTTATCAATTTTAAAAAAATTCAGAATAAATAAATAATTACCGGTAATCGTTTAGTACAGTATCGCTGTATCTGTATATGGTTGTACCCAATCAGTATGCAGATACACACATTGCTTCGGAAATTTCTGCTATCTGCTGAAACTTTAATTAAGCTTTGCTGTTTTAATTTTCCTTTTTTTAAAACTTAATACGTCTATTTGTTTTTATAATAATTTTTTATTTTTGCGTCTATTTTTTTACAGAGCGGCGATGGAGTACGGATCGTGCTACCTGTCTTCCATCAACAGCGTCTGCAACAATCCCGCCCTGACCGGCATCTTCACCGACCTGGGCGTGGCCTACTTTGGCGCCACCGAATGCGCCAAAAATCACACCACCCACTAAGTGACGATTGTTTTCCCCAGTTTCTCACCAGAACAGCAACAAATGCTCTCCTAACAAGAGTTTGGCGAACTGTGCTGACACCCGCCATTTCCGGTTTCCAGGAATTTTTGTACGCATTTGTATGAACGTTTTTGCTGGTTGGCTTTTTAGCTGTTTAATGTTTTTTTTATGACGGCCACCACTTCGTTTGTTGATATCTTTAACCGGTGATACATTACACTCGTTGTTCCGTTGAATTAGTTGTTGTTAAAATAAAGTAAATTATATACTACATGTTTCTTAATTACTGTTTTTTTTAAATTTTATTTATGTATATTGTATAATTGCATTATAAGATAATATTATACTGGTATTAAATTTTAGGCATTTAAAAATGCAAATACTCGGCAGTCGGCAATATTTACAAACCGCCATTTGCGTACGGAGTGCATTTTCGTGGCGATTAGAAGAACGAATTATGTACTTCGTACCGAGAAGGAAGCCGGTTCACGGTGATAAGTCATAACAGCGGCGTATCCGCTTATCCCAGCATATTTCTCAAGTATCGGCAAATGTTCTCAAGTAGACACATCGTTATGCATTTGTTTCCGAAGCACTGCCCCTATCACTTACTTACATGCATACCGAATCATGCTAATACTCTGGGCTTCTCTCGTAATCGTTCAAGCGAGGACCGGGTAAGAATGTGCCGTTGACTAATACATGAATCTCGTAATCTGCCGGAAGTAATGACTGTGTAAAAACACACATGCGGGTACCTGCCTTGCAGTTGGGGGGAAATCCCGCCGGCCGGCACGGTGCCCATCAGCGGGGAGGCGGCGCGGGAGCTGCCGCAGTTCGAAGCCACGCCCAAGCACCGCAGTATCCTCCTCATCCCGGAGTGCTTCGATGCGCGCCAGAAATGGGCGGGCTGCCAGAGTATCGGGGATATCCGGCACCAGGGCCTGTGCGGCACCTGCTGGGTAAGTGAGCCTTCGAATAAAACCCGTGCGCCGGGAATTTTCCTTGCGCTAATCGTTCCTAATGAGATATCAGCTAAATCACGCTTTTATTAAATTTTGTTTCAGCGTTTAAGTTTGGAGATTGTGCGTGGTAATGCTATGAGTGTATGATACACAGTCCCTTCAAAGTTCTCATGTAAACTGGGACAAACTTTTATTTGATGGTGTTTACTGAGGGGTACTCGCTGATGTACATATTATTGTGAATAAAGTAGGAAGGATTACATTTATTTCCTGATTTATTTCGTTAATTTTAATTATATATTGTACATACGGACAATATTTGTAGACGAGTTATATCCTTCGCTGATAGCAACCATTTTTTATAGCATTGATAGTCAGTCGCACAGTGCGCTAAAATCTTAAGAAGATTTAATAATGCAGCCGGTGTAGATCAGTGGTAAGACGGACGGCTACAGACGCAGCTGCCACGGGTCCCAGTATGCTTGAGCAGAAACGAATTGGTTCGAGTCCCGTCATCGGCAGAATTTATATTTCTTCAGTATCTTCGGTACATTCAGAAATTCATATTTATATTCCAGTTATAAAATCAGCAGTGTTCTCCTGTCGCAGGCGTCCGCCCTTTTAAGAGCATCGATTTTCATTATATAAACGAATATTTTACGGGGTTGCCGGTTGCAGGCGGTCGCCGCGGCCAGCGTCATCTCCGACCGGATCTGCATCACTTCCGGTCAGCGTAACCAAACCTACGTCTCGGCCATCAACCTGGCATCGTGCACGGTAGCGGGACGGAGTCCGCAGCAAAAGTACGCGTTACCTTCGCTTCCATAATACGTATCGATACAGCTAACTGGCGTCGTAGTTGCATCGGCGGTGATGATGCGGCCAACGCGTACAAACAAGCGACACTGTACGGCGCGGTGACCGGCGGGAACTACCAGAGCAGCTACGGATGCCAGCCGTACTCCCTCTCGCCCACCGACCAACTGGGGTTGTCCTGCCAGAAAACCTGCAGCAACGCCGGATACGATAGACCCTACGACGACGATCTGATCTTTGGTAGGCAGACTGTATTTTTAAAAAATTAATTTGAACGTTTCATTAAGCATTACTACTTTATTATACGGACGACAGTGGACACGTTCTGGACGACGTACAGCAACACGCTCTCACAGGAGCAGAACGCGGCCAATGTCCACCAGATGCAGATGGACATTATCGCCAACGGGCCCATCACGGCGGCCATTACGGCCTTCAGCGATCTGGAAACCTGGACCAGCGATAAAGGTGCCCTGGTTTTGTACAAAAACTAACTCAAAATACATATACGAACTATTGGTCCATTATTTCAAAAACTTGTATGAGTAAAAGAACTAAACATAAAAATTTTAAAGCATATATATTGTATGCTTATATAAAAATTTATTTTGGGAAAATTAGGAGCTTATCGTGGACCCTCCCCGGAGGCGCTGAACAAAGCCGGCCACGCCATCCGCATCATCGGCTGGTGCAAAGACCAGCAGCGCGTCCCCTACTGGCTGGTGGCCAATTCCTGGGGCACCGAGAAGGGCGACCGGGGCTTCTTCTGGATCGAGCGCGGCCGCAACGTCATCGGCATCGAGGACCACATCTCGGCGCCCATCATCCGGCAGCCCAACAACTGCCCTTCCCTGTGCGATCAACCTCTGGACCAGCTGATCCGCCTGCATCCCTACGACCGGCAATCGCCGGTCTACGCCTTCCAGGGCACCTGCGTGACGGAGGTGCGGGTGGAAGGTGGACGGATCGTGCCGGTGGCGGCGCCGGCGCCCATTGGGACGGTGCTGGTGGGCGGGCCCCGGGCGCCGGTGACGCACTGGGCGGAGGCGAAGAATCAGGGCGAGTTGTGGTTTATCGGGGTGCGTTAGTTGCTTTATTTATTCTTATATTTTATAATCATTTTAATACCAATGCTATTCAGTTATTTCGATGTTTTTGCGCAAATTTGCAATTGTCCTCCTGTTTATTTATATAAAGTATGCCAGTTTTTTCTTAGTTTCCATTTTATTGTTTTCCTGATTTGTACTTAAACAATCCATTACAGTTATTTCCTAGTTTTTTTTATATTTAATTCATTTTGTTCCTTTGGCTAATTTTTCGTAATTGTATTAAAATACTCCTATTGAATTTTCCAATAACATCGTTATGTTTATTTTCAGTGTATGTATAGCCTTTTTAAAATATTATTAAAATTAGAGACAATCTCTGGAAAAATTATTTAAAAACGTTTCTTTCCGGAAATAAAAAATTAAAATTTTTCGGATAGTTTTTTTAATCTGTTCTTGTTTAGCCGAGCGGATTTGCCAGCGTCTGCGGTGACACGCCGGGTTCCAGCAAGAAAAGCTGCCGCGCCGGCAACGTCCATCCGGACGCCACCGCCGGCCCGCAGACCCTCAACATGGCCACACGCGACAAATACGTCTATTGTAAGTTTCCGCATCCACCCTTTCTTTTCTACAAAAACAGGTCAGGAAAATACCGGTGTAATTGCAGATACGGATGAAGCCAGGCGCCAGCAGATCTACCAGTTCATGGGCGGCATGTACCGGCCGCAGGCCATCAACATCAAGGATGCTTTGGCGAATAACTTCCAAAAGGTCACGGCGCTGCTGGACCTCGACGGGAAGAGTATGCTGGTGTGCGGCGTGGCCAAGGATGGGCAAGGTGCTTGCGGGACACTATCCTACGGGTCCTGGAAGGTACGCTCAGAAAAATATCAATTTAAAAATAATAATTTACTAGCAAATTTTTTTATTTTGTAGCTAACTGGACAAGCCACCATGGACAAGATTGTTACGCAGTGTTAATTTATCAAAAATAATTTTTACTTTTTATTACGTGGATTTGGAATATCGTTACTTATTTTCAGCACTGGCTTAAAACTGTTAACATGGATATATAAGCGCCAAATAAATGCGGTGGAAAAGGTCACGGAAATAATTATACGCACTAAAATTTTGATGAAAGTTAAATCAGTAATTATTGCCTCGCGTTACTGAATTTCTTAGAACATACAACAAATATGCTTATTTGTAGCTTTGGCTGAACTAGCAAGGATAAAAATACGCCCAAAAATTCGGCCAAAAAGGTTACTCAAAAATAGATAATACGCATTAAAATTCAGGTGAATGCTGTGCTGGCGATCATCCACTTTTATATGGGAAATTTCCAGTGGGTCGAAGAAATAAAAATGCTGCGGCATCCCACGTGTTGTCCACACTCTATTAAGCGAAAGTTCGTGACTTTCGCGGTTGTTTTGCCCAAACCGTTCCCTTGCCAAACTGCTGACCGGCAATTGTTAGTCGACGCATCAGCAAGTGCACTTGATCACTTCTTTGTCAAATTGTCGCTATATTAACGGCTGTTTGCCGGGGCTGGCCGGCTTCATTAGGAACGTACAAGTCAGTCCGTCGTGCTGCTTTCCGGGAATAACCATCTGCTTGTCTCCATCGTTCGCCATGGCACCGGTAGTGAAGTGTTTACTCTTCGCCGTAATTGCGGTGAATTACGTGTACGTGGAATTAATTGATGCTGTTGATCACAAGAAGGGATATGATGGTTAAATGAAGTGTTTTGCATCTGCAGTGTCGCCAAGATTCCTCCGCCGGGTATCAAGAAACTGAGCGATACGCAGTATGAGAGCCTGCCGAAGTTCGAGCCGAACAGCCGGCATCGCGCCGTCAAAGCGATACCTGATTGTTTCGACGCGCGGAAACGCTGGCCGAAGTGCAAGAGTATCGGGGATATCCGCAATCAGGGAATGTGCGGTACCTGTTGGGTAAGCAGTGCATAACATCCTGATTCTTCCTAATTTAGCGGCCCGCCCCGAACCTCACAAAGCAGACTGTTACAGCAATACTACATAGATAAAAATTTCATTGTTATGTTATTCGAAATACCAATTATTGTAACAAGTAAGAGTGAAGAACCAGCAAGCTACCCAACCTCGGCAGTATTTCTTTACTTCGCTATTTATGGAAATACAGATAGCGCAGAGTTCCATTAGCAGAGGATCATGACCGCCATTGAGCCATAATCAGAATGCGCGTTGTCTTGCAGGCGGTAGCCAGTTCCGCCGTCCTCTCGGATCGCATCTGTATCGCCTCGGGAGAAAAGGATCAGACGTACATTTCCGCTGAGCACATTGCCGGCTGTACAGATCTGAAGCGCAATGGATACGAAAAGTGCGGGCCGAGTACTGAAATATTATAGTATTCGACAACAGCATGCTGACCTTAAAATAAGGACGCTATGCCGCTGCCGATCACTGTTATGATAAGGCTAGCTGCCAATTATTGGCGGATACCAGGCGCTGTTTACTATTGGCAATTTCTCTTTACTTCAAAGTTAACTGCGACACTGGCCACATTAAATGCGCTTTATTTAGCTGTCAGGGAGGCAACGACAACGCCAACGCCTACCGGCAGGTAGCCACCTTCGGCGTGGTCAGCGGTGGCAACTACAACAGCAAATCGGGATGCATGCCGTATCCGCTGCGCCCGCTGCCCGACTCGGAGGCCATCGACATCACCTGCCGCGATCAGTGCACCAACACCGGCTTCAAGCAGAGCTTCGAGAAGGACAAACACTACAGTAAACATTATTGATATTAAAATTATAATTTACGTTTCCTAGCGTAGCATTTAAATAAATTTTGTATCATGTAGTCGATGCATTCTGGGCGTCGTACATCGGGCAGACGCCGCTGAACGGCATGCAGAACACCCCGGCCGCGGAGACCGCCAAGAACGTGGAGCTGATGAAGATGGACATTATGACCAACGGACCCATCACCGCTGCCATCGTCATGTACACCGACTTCGAACCCTGGAAGCCCGAACAAGGTGCGGTTACTTATCAGTTATCACACTAAAGGTGATGTTACTATGAGTGGTCTTACCCGGTTAGTACTTAGTTTGCTTTAAAGAAGAGTAAATCTGCACCAATAACGTTGCAGTCTAGTAGCATTTCCTTAAATACTCAGTAAACAGTCAGGTGACTAAATTTCTGAGTAAGAACTTCTCCTCCAATGTTGGTGTCAGACAAGAGGCTGGGTGTTCAACATGAACTCATTAATTTCTACAGGTTACTCTTCCCTTAATGAGACAGCCACAATATAGCGAACTTCATCCGCATTAATATACCGGCTGTCTTGGCCAAATAAAATTGACCAAATTTTTAATCGACCGTTGCAGGTGCTTACCGAGGCCCGGGTGCCGGCGCCCAAGGCCCCATCGGCGGACACGCCGTCCGCATCATCGGTTGGTGCAAGGACCCCAACGGCGTGCCCTACTGGCTGATCGCCAACTCCTGGGGCACCGACAAGGGCGACAAGGGTACCTACTGGATCGAGATGGGGAAGAACGTCATCGGGGTGGAGGACATGGTGTCGGCGCCCATCATTAAGCAGCCCAACACCTGCCCGACGTCCCTCTGCGAGCAGGCCTTCGACCAGGTCATCCGGCTGCATCCCAACGACCCCAGTTCTGCCGTGTTCGTCTTCCAGGGCAACTGCACCCAGGAGGTCAAGGTCAGCGCCGACGGGAAGATCACGCCGGTCGGGGCACCGGGACCCATTGCCAGTACGTTCATGGGGGGTCCGAATTACGGGCCGATCCGCTTCTGGGTGGAGGCGCAGAACCCGGCTGAATTGTGGATCGCCAGTGTATGAGTATATTGCAACGAATGAATGATTTTTCAGGCGGATTGTAATAGATTTTTGCGCGATAGGATAACGGAAAAGCCGGAGTGTGCTTCGACACGCCACGCGCCGGTAAAAAAGGCTGCCGTGTGGGTAAATTCAACGTCAACACCATGGACCAGAACGCTGGACCGATGACCATCACCGCTGGCGGCGACAAATATATTTATTGTAATTATGATTTACTTATAAATAAAAAAACTTTTCTAATAATTATATACACTTTCTGGATGCATCTTCATTAGTTTTGTCGTATAAGTAAATGTTGACCCCTTTATATAAGAATACAAGTATGTGCAGGAGATTTACAGATATTGGTGCGAAGAAAACTGGATTGTAACGCATGGGTAAAATGTATCATAAAACATACGCAACGTTTATTTTTTAAAAGTTTTTATTGAATTTATTTATTTGTTATGTACGTCAGCTGGTTTGTCGTTGCAGATACGGATGCCGGTCGCGCCAAGCAGATCTACAAATTCCCGGGACGCAGTCCGAGCGGTCAGGGCATCGACATCGGCGACGCCGTCAGCAGTAAATTCAAAAAGGTCACGTCCATCCTGGACATCGACGGCAGCAAGATGCTGGTGTGCGGTGTCGGCATCAAGGGACAGCCGGCCTGCGCCACGCTGGCTTACGATACGTGGAAGGTAAACGTACGACCTTTATTTCGCGCATACCCACTGACAAGTGGTTTGTTATTGCAGTTGTCGAATCACAACACGCTGAAGAAAATCGTGACCAAGTGCTGAAGGAAGGCTGGCATCGTTTCGGGGAAAGGCCTGGTTGTTGCCACTGAACGACTGATTACTGTGAAAGATGGTTGTAACAATCAACTGAAGTATTCTTTTCCGCGTGCCGCGTAATGGGGTATTTTAAATTAAGGGATGGTTTGGGTTCCATAGTCACGTTGGTTCTACCTAATTGTACGCTGGCGACTACGAGATGCAATAAAATTTTTTTTGTTTAAGTGAAACTGACTCTCGATATTGTAATCGCGTTATTGGAAATAAATCAGTTCTGCATAAAAATCTGGATCGGCTTGCTGCACTGCACTCGCCGCCATTTATAAACGTGCTGAATAATGCCGCATTCAATCTGAACATGACGGTCACTATTCAATGTACTCCGTGATGTCCAGGTTATAGATTTATATTTATTTAACTGCGTTTACGCAATAAGCACAACTTTAAAAGACTGATAATTAAACCATGCTTGCGATTCTCTTAACATAGAGGCTTAAAAAGCAAAGCGTACGACATGAACTATGAAGGTACCGTAGTGTAGTGGCATATGCAGGCTCCATTTCCGCTGGTTGTCGCGATTATTAACAACTATTAGTATTGACTGATTACATGGTTCATTTGCTTTAGTATCAATGCGAGAAATTTTTCCCTAATACTGTATTTCAGCAATAAATTATGTTTTATTTTAGGTGACCACTCCGTACACACCCTTTTACTCCGTACACAACCTTTCGCACTCCCTTTCATTCCGTGCACAACCTTTTAATTTTTTTTAATTTTTTCACAGCAGAGTTATTTCTGGAATAAAAAAAAACGCGCAATCTCGACCGTTTTTTGGATTTTGAACAGCAACGTTTTTCACCCTAATCTCCGCAAGATCTGCTCCGTAACACTTGTATATTCAATCTTCGCTTGCCACGTGAGTTATTTGTCGACGCTGCCATACACCAGGACGTCTTCGTCGGAACGGTCCCATGATGTTGCAAAAACGTAGTAATATTTTTTTTGTAGTTTTGCTTTTCTGTAGTAATATACTGTAGATTACAAGTATTTAAGTATAATACCTATATATAAATATATATAAAAGTTTGGTAGTGCACCGAGTGAATGGTAGTGCGCAAAAAGGTTGTGCACGGAATGAAAGGGAGTGCAAAAGGTTGTGTACGGAGTGAAAGGGTGTGAAAGGGTGTGTACGGAGTGGTCACCTTTATTTTATGCCTAAGTCCGTATCTTAAGTACACCGAAGAGAGTTAGCTTGTAACAGAAATTTGCGCATGCTAGACCGCAGCCAAATACATACAAATACTTATCTGTACTGCCTGAGAATTATTTCACTATTGCACAAATACAGTAATCAAAGCGAATTTCTTATTTATTTTATTTTATTAGTTTTTATGCATCATTGGTTTACCGTTTATGCTTGGGGTAAAACTTGAAACTGTATAATTTTATGCTGGTTTTACGGCTAGTTTTTATGTGTTCTTCCCTTTATTAAATTTTCGGTATTAATTTTCTTAAAATTCCCAACAATCACTAGAAATTTCAAATGGCATTTCAATTTCAAACGAGTTTAACATAGTAGCAATACCAATTAAAAAAATCCAATTGGAAAAATCCCGGAACTCAAAATGGATGCTTCCTAGTTTCTATTTGTATTTGTATTTCAGCGTTAAAATATGCACGTCAACAGTCAACTAATACTATAAACCGTGCTGCGGTTTTCACGTGTTGTCCTGCTTGCCCAGCTCAGCCTACACAGCCGCGACGCGAAGTAGAACGTTCGTGACATTTCCACTGGCAGTGTGGAGACCGTACCCGGGAAACCGCTGACGGTCAGCGCTTATGGCCATCCACTTAACAGGCACACATTTCCGGTGTAATAATATAAGGAACGCCACCAAAATGTTCATCCATTGTACCCGGCAAATTATTTCGCGGTGTTGGTTAGGCGCGGACAACACCAGGGAACATTTATCCAACAGAGGATTATCGGCTGAACCATGCGATCGGCAATCAGCATACTGGGACTGACCGTCATCGCCGCTACACTGGTGTAATCATCACGCATCGTTTTATGTCATTATCCTGTATTCTTTGATTAGTTTATTACGTTATTGATTTTTCTCAGATTATTTATTAACTGGGGTGGCTTGTAGTGCGGCCAAAATTCCGCCACCGGGTCTGAAGAAGCTCAGCGATGCGACGCTGGAAAATCTGCCCAAATTCGAGCCCAACATCCGGCACCGCGCGGTGAAAGCCATCCCTGACTGTTTCGACGCGCGGACGAAATGGCCCAAGTGTAAGAGTATCTCCGACGTCCGTGATCAAGGCATGTGCGGCACGTGCTGGGTGAGAATTCTCCGTTTAAATAAGCTGTCTCGCTAAGGACTAAATGGCAGTAGATTAGATGGTGTTCTGTATCAGGCCGTCGCCAGTGCTGCCGTCCTGTCAGATCGCTTTTGCATCGCTTCCGGTGAGAAGGATCAGACGTACATCTCCGCCGAACATCTGGCCGGATGCACGGATCTCAAACGCAACGGATACGAAAAGTATAATTAGATGCTGTTGTCATTAGAGCCTAACGTATTCCCACGCACGTACTCTGTACATAGGTAAAAAATAACTACTTTGCCGTCTTTTCTTAAAATTTGTTGCAAAATCTTTCCCTTGATTTTTAACCCATTTGTAATTTGCACTGTACGTAAATTTTTTTATTTTTAGCAAATTATTCTTATAGTTAATTTTCATTGTAACTACGGTATGTGCAGCGAATGTCGGTGCCATTAGATTCGCCATTACACTAACGTACGTCATGTCGCAATTTATAGTTGTCAAGGCGGCAACGACAACGCCAACGCCTACCGGCAAGCGGCCGTTTACGGTGTGGTCAGTGGCGGTAACTACAACAGCAAATCGGGTTGCATGCCGTACCCGCTGCGTCCGCTGCCTGACTCGGAGGCCATCGACATCACCTGCCGCGATCAGTGCACCAATACCGGCTTCAAGCAGAGCTTCGAAAAGGACAAACACTACAGTAAGCTTACAGTCTCGGTCTCGGTACAAGTTTTTTTTGTCAAAACAACATCCGTTAGTCGATGCTTTTTGGACCTCCTACATCGGATCCAAGCCCCTAAACGGCATTCAGAACACCCCTCCTGACCAGACCGCCAAGAATGTGGAGCTAATGAAGCTGGAGATCATGACCAACGGCCCCATCACCGCCGCCATCGTCATGTACACTGATTTCGAACCCTGGAAACCCGAACAAGGTACCCTCGAACCCGCATTCCCTGTTCGCTCACAAAATAAACAGGAGACCGGTTATTAAAGGAGCCTACCGGGGTCCGGGTCCGGAAGCCCAAGGTCCCATCGGCGGGCACGCCGTCCGCATCATCGGGTGGTGCAAGGACCCCAACGGGGTTCCCTACTGGCTGATCTCCAACTCGTGGGGCGCCGCCCGCGGAGACAAGGGCTACTACTGGGTGGAGATGGGGCAGAACGTCATCGGGATCGAGGATATGATAGCCGCGCCCATCATGAACCAGCCCAACAGCTGCCCGGCCAGTTTGTGCGATAAGCCCCTCGACCAGATGATCCGGCTGCGGCCCACGGAGCCCCAGTCGCCGGTGTACGTCTTCCAGGGCAACTGCACACAAGAGGTGCAGATCAGCGCTGACGGGAAGATCACACCGGTGGGAAAGCCGACGCCCATCGCCAGTACCTTCATGGGCGGACCCAACTCCGGTCCGATCAAGACCTGGGTGGAGGCGCAGAATCCCCAGGAAGTCTGGATCGCTAACGTACGTACAATGCAAGTTTTTGCAGCAAATAAATGCGGATCAGTTGGCTGTTTATTAGGCTAGAGTCTCATTCATTATCGGAATTAACCAGATAAATCGCACCACCAACTAAGAACAGGACCGGCGATTGTTAGCTAAAAAACATTCACTAAGCTTCCGCTGCCAAATTAATAAACCCATTCGCGATGGTACTGCTTTCTAATTGAAAGATCGTTAAAAAAAACGTAAAACCAAAACTGGAAATTGATTGTTGTATGATTTTGTCGTTACAGGAAAATGGAAGAGCCGGTGTCTGTTTCGACACGCCGCGCGCCGGAAAGAAAGGCTGTCGCGTTGGACGGTTCAACTCGATCGATAAAAACGCCGGGCCAATGACCATCACTGCTAGCCGCGACAAATATATCTACTGTAAACTTTATAAATCCCGCATTCAAGCAATAACAAAATATTATTACTGATTACTAAATTAATAAATATTACTAATAATTAAGTAATTTTTAATATTATTGTCGGCTGTAATTTTCACCTGCGTAATGTTACGGGTAATTTACGTTTTACGCCAGCATTCCTACGTAGTTTATTGCAGATACCGATGCGACTCGTGCCCGGCAGATCTTCAAATTCCCCGGCGGCGGCACGAGCGGCCACGCCATCGATATCGCCGACACGTTCAGCAGTAAGTTCCAGAAGGTCAACTCGCTCCTGGACATTGACGGCAGCAAGATGCTGGTGTGCGGCGTGGGCATTAAGGGACTGCCGGCCTGCGCCACCTTCGACTACGCCACCGAGAAGGTATGTCGCTTCTTGACCTTTGGCCGTGCGTGTTCGTCCTTGTACAAGTGGTTTGTTGTTGCAGCTGTCCAATCACAACACGCTCAAGAAATACGTGACCAAGTGCTGAAGGCAGGGATTCTGTAGAAGCTTGTTTTTAACGCTGATCAGCAATGGTTCGGTAAAGACGTGTCAAGTTTGGCGCCCGTGCCGAAGTAATCTGTACACCTGCTTGATCGGCTATCTGCATACCGTTCACACTCTTGTTGATGACAGAATGCATGTAACTGTGTAAAACGTTTTACCGACTGGCTGATCCGTAAAACGATTTACCAATCAACCCGAAGTTCTGTTGTTGAAAAAAAAAACTAAAAAACTAATTGGAACAGGCGAATCCCTGTGGTACTCAAAAGTCACCGTATACATACATACTTACGTTTTCCTACGCTTAAAACCAATTAGAAACATTTTCTCCAGAATGTTGTAAATAAAATCAAAAATCAGCTCGTAAAGATAGGGAAATTTGGAAAATATAGCGGTTTTCCAGACCAAACGTGGTTAATTCACCTGACCACGCGTTGACAAGTCCATAAAGACCAAAATAAGCTTCGTTTTGTACGGTAAGATTGTGTGGATATAAAGATACAGTCAATTTTATAATATGATGCAACTCTTGGTTCCCTATCACCTTCTACAAGCCAAATACTGTTTTAATGTAGTCGCGAATTATGGTCGAAATTAACAAGTCAAAGCATCCATTTTGGTAATTGCCACTTATATTGTGCGATATCAGGTAATTGTTTAAGTAGTTTTGACTTTAGCACAGTTAAGTTACTCAATCAGAGTTTGGTTATTAAAGCAATTAAAGCACAGCATCTGCTTCATTTTGTTTCGACGAGCCGGTTTCTAGATTGCTTAAAACGTATATATTTTCATAAGCATTGAATTTTTTGCAAGTTGCACGGCATATGAACAATTTCAGTGTCGTACGCCGGTACAGCATCATGTGTACCAACTTCTGGGTATTATAAAATGTGACACTGCCAAAATAAAAATAAAAATTACTGCTGTCACAATCGTTTCACGCATTTTACACACTTATATCCAAGAAAGTTCTAACTTTTACCGAAGCGAATATAGTAAACAAAAGCCACCGCACTACACAATTTCTTGTTTCACAAGTATCTCTGAACTGTCGAGTGTCGACAGTGTCGACTGGTCTTGAAATAAATAATTAACATTTTTTGCTTCAGTGTTTTGAGATTTGGCTGTGCCTTGCACACCTAGGTTTGCTAACTGTTCTATCATGAGTAAATTGGAGCCGATTTTTTATTTAATTTTGGGCAAAATATTTTTATTACGCTGTCAATTGTAGCCATATGATCAATAAAGCATAACGGCGCTGGAGATATTATGCGTTATGCAAAAACAAACTTCGAAAGCATAGGTAAATTAAAAATATTATGTCGAGCCTATAATAGCATTGCTGTTATGTACACACGAGCGTCGAACTAAAAAATTTGCAAAATTTATTCGAAAAACATTGGTGTTGGCCGTCTACTGCATAATTTACAAATACTACGCTGTTATGATGACCATGGTCCATGGAAGATAGACGAGAATGAAGCTGAAGCCACCACTCTACAACATTCCTGGTTTGGAGGGTATGTTGTCGGCTGGGGTTTGAAAATAAAGATTGCCAAATGCAAGCGTGTACAATAAAACGAATCTAGAAGCGAAATTCGAACTTTGCTGCTATGGGATCTGATAAGATGTGCTGAATTCTTCCACGTACACTACAAGACGCCAACATGTTTGAAGATTCTTGAAGGTCGGTCGGTGGTCGAGGACTCCGGCGACAAAGCGAGGCAAGCAAATTTCCCAATGCAACACAACACACACACTGTCAGTGGGAATTCTGTCTGCTCCAATTTGTCGCGCGTCAACACGAACCCCTCTTCGATCGTGACCTTTATGCTGCGCAGCGGATCCTTCACAACACCAGCAAACTCCAAGATTAGATTAACGGTCATAACAGGTTGGAACAGAGACATGTGGTATGGGTGCTCTTTTACGGAAACCGCTTTTATTTGGAGACGATCGAATGACGCTTGGCTTACAAGCCAATGACTGTGGGCGCTTGTTTTACCGTCAATTGACGGTGTCGACAGGAAGAAGCGTCGTACGTCGTGGTTAGTAGACGTACACCTTGCAGCGGGATTGGCTGGTGGAGGTGGAGCGTTTATGCGGGGTGGGCAGCGACGCGGGAGAGGACGTGTTCACGCGGGCGCGGCCTTTCAGCCGGAAACACAGTCGACTGGAGGGAAGATGTAGGCTCAGGCGCTCCAGCAAAGAGCGCAGAGCGAAGCGGTGTTCACGGCTCATACTCAGCAAAATCACCTGTAACCAAACACCAAAATCAGCGCAATCAAGGAACAAATTTTTGAAACAGCAAAGCATATGTACTGATGTACATATATTAATGTACGTATACTAATGCACATAATATAGAATATTATGTACTAATGTACATATAAGATATCATGTACCAATGTACATATGCTAATAAATGAATCGCTTGAAACTTGTACGTGTACTATAACCACGCGCTACGAAGACGACACTTCGGTTTTTACCAAACTCGAGCTTTGGAAAAAACTCGAACTAGTAAAACAATTATTACGCTTCTGGCTTGAACGAGACGATGTGTAACAGTTAAAAAGCACCCAGGCTGTGCGAAAATAAGGTTTAACATAGGTTTTTATAAAATCTGCAATATCATCCTTGCGTTTGTAACAGAAACACAACACCGCTTCAACACAAGTAGCAAACAAAGAACCAGGACAAGCAGTTTGGCACGACACCCCTATAAATAATTTACCGGCGTTCCCGCACTGCCGCAGATCATCACCGTCCGCAGCCAGACAAAGAGCGTGTAGTTGTCCTTCCAGTAGTGATAAAAGTAGGTGGTAATCACGGGAATGGGCAGGTAGCACGCCAGATACCACACATACACCACCAACAACACCACGCTGATCGCGCGCTGTCGGCGCTGTTTACGCTGCTCCGCAAAGTTCTGCGTGTCGGCCACTTGCACGGCGCGCCGCAGCGCCCCCACCACCAACGTATAGCACACCGCCTGGATAATCATCGTACCCGTGAAACTAACATGCGTGTACATCGAAAAAAAGACACCACGCGTTGGTTGGACGCCGCAATGACCCAGCGGGTTGAACCGGTTCAACGTTCCCCCGACGCCGAATAGCAACGGCACCGTGGTGGCTAACCCGAGGATCCAGATAACGATGATAGACAAAACTAGCGGCCGGTGGCGAGTGTAGCGCGCGTAGTGATGCGGGAAGACCACGGCGATCATGCGGTTAATGGCTAATAACACCAGCGACCAGTTGGAGAGGACGGTTAGCAGGATCTGGAAGAAAGCCACCGGGACGCAGTTTATGTGGAACGGGTGGCCGGTCTGGTGCGCCCAGATGGCCGTGTTGGAGAGCGGGGTTAAGATAGCCATATTGGTGACCTCGACGGTTAGTGCGTGGATGACCAGGAGGTTGGCGCTGTTGCGGTAACGCCGGCGGACGCTCAGCGACACGATTAATAACGTGCTTAAAATTGACCCGACGGCCAGGATGACGCTGGTCAGGATGAACCAGGTCGAGACGAAGGAGTTGGATAGTACGGGCGCAACGCTAACGTTGGAGATATTATGCGACATTTTTACAAAATATTACGGGATTGTGCGGAAACCGGAGTTGTTGGCGTTTGAAGAATAATAAATACAGTAATCAGGATAAAACGAGGAAAATAGGTTGGAAGAAGGAAAGGTCGCGTATGAAACGCAGCTCAGCCGGTGAGCGAAACTGAATGGCTGCGCCACGCAGCCCGCCGACTGCTCGTGCGGCGTAATTTGCGTATAGTGCTCTCCACTTAATTGGCATCGTTCCTTACAGGATAAGGCTGACTGCGTCAACAGACCCGCGGAGTTGTATTGACGCGCTGATTGTTAGTCTAATTAACGCAGCACTGTGCTTGTGCTGCTTATACCGTAGCGGCTAGCTGTGGGGAAAGAACGAGGCGTCTTCCGGTTTGATTGTTAGAAGCCGTAATGATGTGTTGTGCCGAGAATTATGTGCATGAAAACGAATACGTTTTCGGGGCGGTATTGAAGCATACATAACATGCAAGCGCAGTTCGCGCAATCCTTAGCAGTTTTTGCATTTGTTTCATGGCCTTGTGTCGTCAAATTGTTTGTCTACATTGACGTGAAAAGCGTTTAATGTACGCCCAACACACTGTAGGCGAGTTACGTGCGAAATAAAAATTTTACCACACTTTAACGCAAACTAATGTACGGCGTATCAAATGCCTCATTATCTACTGATTTCCTTCGAGTTTTACTGACTAATGCGTATAGGTACTCGTAAAGGCGAATATGACGCGGAACCACGTTTTTTTCATCGGAACCAGAAACCACGTTCGAAATTTTTATGATAAATTGTAAAAAATTCTGTTGCGATTTAAAATTTGCAAAAATTCTAAAAAATACATTTTTCAGAGTGAATAATCTCCTATTTTCGCGATGCATGCGCCGATAATCTCCCATGAAGAAATGACCTGTTAACATAAGCACCGGTTTCAACTTTCCACACATAAATATTCTGCAGATTATTAAATTCCTGCTGATTGTGAGTGTTTTGTTAATCCGAAGAAAAATAGAGGCGCATTGATCCACCAACAGAAATCTTGATGACGACAGGAATGTCTCGTAAAGACGAAACCGGATTACGGCCGCTACTATACGTACTTCGCCGCGGTTTCCTGGTTATTTACCGCGACCAGCTAAATAATTCCTTAAACCGCGCGACAATTTTAAAACACTCGTTTCCACCTCCAAACGAATGTCAAGGAAATTTTTCGGCTATTAGTGAGCTTTTAGATTTTCTAAAATTTCGTTACATACGTCGATGTACCGTACCGAAAGCGACTGCAGCTGCCGGACACCATAGGTTACGTAAACTGTGTACTGCATTCCTGGATTGTCCTGGTCGTGTCCTACTTAGATTAAATTATCAATACACCACTGCCGCAGATCGATAAGTATAATCAATTCAAAACCCTTCCTAGAACTCCAGCCATGACCTCCTCGTTGCTGTCTTGTATCCTGTTTGGCGCTGCTTATCATGTGAGCATCGAATATCTCTGAAGAACATTTCACGCGAATTATCACTGTGTTTTCTAAATTAATCCACGTTATTCCACTGATTTTGTGTCACCATGTCATGGCTATAATTATTTTAATATTTTTTGCGCATCAAAATTATTAATAACTGTTTACTCCATCTTCTAAGCAGTATCATCATTGTTAGCAGTATCTTCAGTAACCAATAATCATTTTGGTTAAGTATTTTGTAACTGCCGTAAAGCAGAAGTTTTGCAGTAAAGTAAAAAATTATTTTACGTAACGCAATTATTTTTGCAAAACAGGAAGAACAGATACAGCGGTTATACAGGATGGTAATTTCTACGGCTCTTTAGGTTTTGATGAGCAACGTCGAAGCCGCCGGAAAGCTTGTGAGTGCTCAGTGAAAATTCTTTACGGATACATTCGGCTTTTTGTGTATTTGAAGAAAAATAAGACTTATTTAGATTTATATTAGAGCAACTATGAAATCGGCCGGATAAGAGACCTGTACAAAACTGGGAAATCTGCCAGCGAAATCAGCAAGTCCGTCAATGTGCCCAAAGACAAAGTGGAAGCGGTCATCAAAATGCAGGTAAATTGTACACAAAAACGTTATAATTAAACGAAAAAAATAAAGAAAATACTAGAAAAATGCACACTGGAATGCATTAGCAGACCGGAGCTTTGCTAAGGCGTAAATTGTCTTATTGTTTTATTGTTACTTCCGTAACGAACTTCCGCAACGGACACAGATACATTTTTGCATTAATGCTGAAATAAGAGGACCTTCGCTATGTAACGCTCCGGTCGATCATGCGTATACCCTACATGTACATGTACATGTATATGTACATGTATATATACTTACATGTATATAAACGTAAATGAATGTACCGTATATATTACATCTGAATGGCGGTGTCTATCTACGAACCTTAATTAAATTTGCAAGTAAAATCTTGTGCTGCAGAATCTGTCGTCCAGCCAAACCCTGCAGATAGCGCAACTCCTGCAAGCCGGCAAACCGATATCGGAAATCAGCCGGACCACCCGTCAAACGGCGGATGCTATCAACGCGGTCAAGCTGGTTTACGCAATACGCTGATTAAATAATTCTGCAATAATATTATGCATTTCCCTCAAAAAAATCGCAGGTTTTACGCAGGTTACGTACCTCGCTGACAGCATTACTGTGTTCATAAATGCCACTATAATGTCTGCAGTCTACATTATTATAAGTTTCTTTAGATCAGAACGATGCAGACTGTGACGAAATAAATGAAAGCTAAATCTATCAAGTACCAGTTCCCAGTCTACGTGCACGTTTTAATGGACAATATGTGCCATACATCGGCTGCGAAATCATAAAAAATTAATTTTATTTTAAACCAACATGATAAATTATATTTAACGATTTTATTTGACATCAGGTAAGCGAAAGCCGTGTACAAAATTAATGTAGTATTGCTATCCGGAAGAAAGTCCCCCGCTATACCGCAGCAGAGCAAATCTGGGGGGATGTATTGTACGGCAGCTCATAATACCTCGTATTATACTAATTATACGTACATACCACGCATCACGGCATCCGTACGCTAAGCAGTATGCGGTGTATCAAGTACCTACTTAAGTTTATTGGCAATAGCCGCCCAAATGGCAATAATTGCAAGCGCTGGTACACTACTTAATAGTTAAAAATTAAACATTAAAAAAACAACCAAAATCCTTATCCTCTCTCGGATTAAGAGGCAGTGTACTCAAAACAGCCGTAGCATTTCCTTTAACAACAGCTAAACTAAAACGCTGCTTGAGAAAAGCAGTAGAACGCGCTTCGCCCGTTATGTCCCGAATCTTTCGGCCCATGAAATGCAACATTTCACTGAAAGCAGGGCCAAAAACTCCCAGTGTCTCAATAACCAGCGGATAAAAGAGGTAACCGCATTCCAAAAAAGAATACGTCCGGCGCTTGGAATTTTCTGCCACTTACTTACTTATCGTTAGTACCTACTTACTTATCGTTAGTTGTAAACGTTAGCGACGTGTATATTGGAGATTTTCACTACGGCCGTAGTTCCGCATTCTACATTGAATAAAATAGTATAGATATAAACTTAATTCAAGTTAAATCGTATTCACAATTTCGGATAGAGAAATGGTCAGCTCCTTGGAGGGAGAACCAAGGAGATATCCGGAGAAGCCCGATCCACGGCTCTTTTAAAGCAGCGTACTAGCCTCGCAATTATTAAAGGAAACGCGGCGGCTGTTTTGAGAACTTTACCGGGCAAGAATAAACTGGCTGAAAATACTGATTTTGGTTGTTTTTTTTAATTCTTAATTGTGCAATGCTGGCCGTAGTGATACGAATTACGACTGTTATGTCGCGGCATGATCATCAGTAAAGAAGGTTCTCTGTTTCGGATTCATTTCCATGGCATTAATGCGATCTTGTACAAAATTATAGTGCATGTTAATCATTATTTACACTATCATTTATAACCACATAATTGCTCGTAATCTGCCGTATCAAGTCATCGTTTTGACTTTACATAATAAGCTTTCCTTTTATTTCAAACTTGTGCAAGCAATGCCATTATACCATTTACACTAAAACCAAAATCTTGACCTGATTATTTTTATGCAAAGGTGCTTCCAGCACGCAAAGTGCGCACAATATTGCAGAAAAAGTATTCGTTCGTAGTATTTTTAATGCATATTTAATGTTTCACCAAAATCACTCTCACAATCTCAACACTTCCGGTTAGATACTTAATAAGATACCTCATAAATGATCCGTTTTTTATTTGGTTTTTCTTCGTGTTCAACAAGAATGATTACCTCATAAATGTGCAGATAACATATCTTTAGAGTAGGTTTTTGTTTTGTTAGAAAAATTGTGACTTTTGTACCGCCAGTCTGGATTGAAAAGGGCTGTCATATTCTTCATAGCACATTATGTTGCAAACCCAGAACACATACGAATGGCAGATGTTTTGTTCAAACAGAACCCATTTCCTGTTGTACAAATTAATAGATAAAAACTAACAAGTTAGCAGTACCTATTCTGTCACGAGATTCTGTACGAGCGGTTGCAGATACTTGGTAGTCCGGCCGCTGCGTAAGCTAAAGTTGTCCTACCTGGTAAAATGGTACTCGTAATGGTAGTTATAATGCATTACACAGAAAACCAACGGGTTCCGACACGGCCCGAGACAGTTAACCAGCACGTAATACCTGGAGTCCAACAACAGAAAATCGAAAATTCGCCGGATCTGCGAAAGCACACAGCTGGCAAAATGATGACTACGTGGACAATTAGCGCGATCCAGTGGTCGATCGTACAAAACTCCAAAATACTTGAAACCTATGTACAGCGTGATATACTATATACACTCGTATTATACTATAGTAATATATATGTAATAACTGATATACTATATAATAACACTCGTATTATACTATAGACATGGGTGTTTGGTTTTTACTGGCTAATTTTATTAATACAATTTTGTCATTACCGACGGGAAACCAGGCGCGCTGTCGTCCATCTTCCCGTCCATAACAACCGCCGACAAAGGCTGGTAGTTCCCGATATATGCAGGCCGTTGTCAGCGGTTGTTATGGACGGCGTTGATCCAGCACAGGCGTTGACATATTCCGGAATCGTACACGGACCTAGTTCTCAGTTTGACAACGAGGCCGGTATACGATTCCGGCTTGTCAACGGCTGGTTGTGGGCAGTGGATTCATCAATGGATTTCTTCTACAAGGCAACATTGGAATGCCTCACTTATTTTCCTCCTTTTCTCCGGCATGGCGGATGCACCGCGGTGGATCTCTGAGAAAGGTCGTCAAAATCAACGAAACCCACACTAACAACGGGATGCAGAGCGCGGGAACATCCCGGTTGAGGAATTCCCTGTATGGCGGCCCGGATCCACCGGGGTGGACGCAGATCAAAGATCCCAGGAGCGATATATATCCGGCCATCAGTCGATATATCCGCCTGAACAATGATACTGGAAATAGGGAGTAACGGCACGGCACGCTAAATGGACATGTTTTATGATCGTAAATGGTATAAAAACGCGGAAATGTTTTATGATGGTGATCCGCTGCTTGAATTCGATCATCAAAGTGATCAAACATAATCCGCGTATCTCGTTGATAAGGCTTCTTGGCAGCCATTCGGCTTCACGTTGACATCGTTCATTTGTAAATGTAAATTTTGTTATCATACTAACCGAGTTTTTCTCTAAGAGCTAGCACATTAACGGTGCACTTTCATTTTTTATTTAGTGTGTACAAGCGCTGGTATTTTATTCGATCTGCGAAGTGGCCAATGGCCATTGCCGAATGCAGCATTGTAATTATAGTATAATTATACAGTATGTCAGTTTACAAGTATGTAGTATTCTTTTGCTTTTACACATATGTTTCTTTCCCTATAATTTTACCGGTGGGCGGTAAGCGGTGAAACCGTGTTCATCACTCGCAGAGGCATTATGTTGTTATGTTTTCTATAGAATCTGATATGAATATGTTGATTTCGTTGATTAATGAGCACTCATAGGATTCGCAATAAAAACAAGCTCTCATTCCTTAAACCGCTAACACTGATTGAATCTTCATTAATGACGCACCTAATCTAAAGCAGCTAAAATGTTTAATTTATGCTATATTATATTTATATCATTTATATATTATATTATGCATTATTTATAATATAAAGCTGAAACATTTAGTTTTTCGACAGACTTTTACAAGTGCTGATTGGTAATCATGTTTATAAGAAGACAGACAAACATATTTTGCACGAAATCAGCTGGCGATTAATCTCTATGATTTCGCGCAATTGTTTCTTAATTTTAACAGCAGCCGGCGAAGACATCATTTCCGCTAACCCACACCTCACACTTCCAGCAAGTATTTATCACGATTTTATCATCCCCACAAAATGCGCAGTCAGCAGTTTGAAATGTTTATCCTTGTGTGGAACACGCATGACTCATCTTGATAAACCTGAGCCGCGTTCTGCATTGTTTGCCGCACACTCTTCATTTACTCAGTCCGTGGCGGAACGAATGGAGCCGTGCTGATTAGCTGCATATAACGTCCGGTTGCCGGTCTACCGTGAAACGGAAAAATCCCCATCTATGCTTCGTCACGCATTGACAATCGCGCAGCAGCACTTATCGGATACGTTACAGCAACGGTTTTCTGTAGCGGCAGAGCCCAAGCACCGGAAATGTTGTTAGTGAGACTGCCAACCTGAGAGCGTTATCGCCGGTGTCAGCATACACACAGCCGCGGACGAACCAGATTCAGCTGCTCTTGATTACCGTCCAATCGAGCCAGCCGTTGCAGCCTCACTGGCCGCGGCATCGATCTGCTCTTCGCTGAATCTGTACTTGTTCAATTTCTCCCCACAGGTTTCTACCCAGTGGAAAGTCGATAAAGCGCTACCGCGTAAACACCGCCTCGACCCTATATAAAGCCGCGCTGGTGCTGTCTACCTGTATCAATACAAATCAAAGCAATTTTTTCTCAATTCTTGAAAGCAAATTACTTGTGAAGATTTTTTCTGACTTTTGAGTTACGAGTTTTCAACGACTTACTGCAATCATGTCCAATCAACAGAATCAGGTAAGCCGCGATGTGCTCGCTACAATAATTTGCCGCTAATTTTGTGTGTGTCGGTTGTGCTTCCGCAGCGGAGTGCAGCTACGTAACCGTTAATTAAAGCACAAGCTGATCGCAAGATAATATGTGTTTACTGCAACAGGCTCAGTGTGAACTATAATTATGTGAAGTATGAATTTGAGGATTCTCTTTAACTACTTGACTTGCCGTTAAATATCTGTAAATTTAATTACCGACCTTTTATTACAAATAAATAAATTATTACCTAGTTTATTGTTATTAAATAAATGCATAAACTTATTGCAAAGCGCTTAGAAGATTTAAGCAATCATGAATATACAAGTTATACATGGACCGTTTTTTGCTTGTGTAGAACCAACAGCAACAGCGCCAACAGGATCAGCAGCAGCTGAACCAGGATCGCAATCAGCAACAACAGCAACAGGATCGCAATCAGCAGCAGCGCGACCAGGACAAACAGAACCAGCAACAGCAGGGCCAGCAACGCGATCAACAACAACAGCAACGCGAGCAACAACAACAGCAACGCGAACAACAACAAAACCAACAACAACGTCAACAACAGCAGAACGGTCAGAACCAACAACAACGCGACCAGCAGCGTGACCAACAGCAGCAGAACCAGGCCGGTCAACAGAACCAGCAGCGTGACCAGCAAAACCAGCAGCGTGACCAGCGTGACCAACAGAACCAGGGCCAACAGTGGGAACAGCGCCAGGATCGCCAGGACCAACAGCAACAGGACCGTCTGCAGCGCGAACAGAAGGAACAACAGCAGCGTGAACAGGAGCACCGCCAGGAACAGCAACAGGCGCACCAACAGAAAGGTCAAGGTCAACAACAGGATCAGCAACGTAACCAGCTGCAACAAGGAAATCAGCAACAGCGCAATCAGCAACAGGAGCAGCAGCGCAATCAACAACAACAGGGCCAGCAGCGCGACCAGAGCAAGGAGGAGTTCAAATCCATGCAGGACCAGACCCAGGACTGGCAGAACTCGCTGCGCCACAACGACCAGCAGCCGGCGCAGAAGCACAACACGGAGGGCATCGCCCAGCGTCAGCAGGCCCATCGCCAGGAAGCCACTGCCGACAAGAACCTCCACTAAGCAGTCCGCTGCACACTGGAGGCTTCGTTCGCTGGCTTGGCTATGCCTGTATATTGAGTATTCCTGCTTCTCATCGTCCACGATACGTACAATAATCGCATGCTGATTTTATTGATATTTCTGCAGCGAACGACTAGCTAGTCGATTTTCCTCATTATTTTAGTTCCGATTTGATTATTTTCAAAGCTTGTAGAGTGCATCTCAGTTCTATGGGATTTTATTCGATGCATCTGCGTTGTATGTAGATGTCGTTTGTATATACAGAGGGTTATTCAGCCAAGTGTGTTCACCTTCGAAAAAAAATTCTTATAAATCGGCTTTTGGTTGGAGTGTCGCCATAAAAATTTTACTAAAACGACAAAATAGTTTGACTGCTTTTTGCACATTTTGGTGAGAATCCAGCTTCGAATGCATCTTTTATCGGCTGTTGACCAGAAGACTGCGACTTCAAATCCTTGACCAGTCGAAATTTCGCTTTTATTTGGCTGGTTTCAAAAGGCAAGTTTGTTTCTCGAATCTACACGTTTACGACTTGAAAAAACGCTGATCCGGATTATTTTATGGGGAAATCGATGTGATGCTTTCGAGGGAAAGTGTGTAGGAACGGTTGGAAAAAACGCGAAAAAGGGAACAACCCCGCGGGAACCATGCCCGTTGTGCGAATTCTTACACACCGAACTGAAGCAATCCTTTTCGTCCTCCCACAAATCAGAGCTGTAGTGCAGGTCTTAAGTGATCGCTTTAAATGTCTATTGTTTGCGAAGAACGTTCCGTGGCTCGAGCCAGGCGGGGAAGAAACCTTCATCCCGAACCAGGATGGTGCTCCCGGGACGCAGCGCCGCCCCAACCGGGGCAGCTTCCCAATCGTGGAAAAAACTAGTTGATCCATCAGAATAATGGTTGTTGAATACCCCTGGCACGTTTTGGATGGAATAGTTGGTGAACCCAAATTTTAAGAGATTTTTTATTCAAAGACACGGCAGTTGCTATACCTGAACTGGTCGACTGTTGGCAACATGTCTGTCAGGCATTTAATTTTTTCCTGTGTCAAAGAATAATAAAATCTAAACTTAATCATATTTTTATTATGACTGAATGTTGTGGCTATCCGATAAAATATTTGGAAAAGCAATATGATCTTGTGGTAACTAAATATAAATTTTTCAAAAAGTGAACACACTTGGCTGAATAACCCTCTGTATACTGATTTGACGAAATAAATGTGAACAGCATTTTTACGTACCATACAGGCAGTACAATTTTTGCTAATGAATTTACGATGATATTATTTTTTGACTAATTAACGATTAACATCACATTAAACCGAGGCTGAAATTAGTCTGCTATTAAGAAGAGCGCTGTCTGATGATGAATTCTGATAAAGTACTGATGCTATTTTTTGCTGCTTATGTGGGAATTTTCTTAAAAAGCGTCTTTTTGAACGAAACATTAATGGCATAAACCTTTAATCAAAATACGCAAACTGCCGATTGAGATATCAGTGTCCGTGGCTCTCCTGCGTCGATTAAGCGATTTCTTTGGTACCGACAAATGTTCGCCCGTGTACAGGAAAATTATGTTACATTATTTGATTGGTACAAGAGATGACATGTCTGTTTAAATGATCATATTGTACGTGCAAAGTAAGTAAAAATTAAAATTCAAATTAATGCAATATATACTTATTCACACTAACATCATGCGCCTTTTATATATTGTGCAGCCTTTTATACTCGTATATTGCGACAATAAGGTGCGCCTAAATCAAGGGAAAGCATCGAGCCTCAATCTGTAAGATATGGTAAACCAGAACCAATTAACAAAAAAGTGTGCAACATTATATTAAAAAAATTTACATTAACTGCAGCTGTTTAACGCGTTTTATAAAACCATGCAAACTGTAGTAAATCAATAGTAACACTCAAATTTCACCATAATCTACCAAAAAAGTCATTACTGATCTGCTAGATGAAAAACCACATCTATCTATATAAATAAAAGGATAAGCCTTAACAAGATTCCGTGTGTGTCATCGATGCATTAACGCTGCACTCAACCAAACTCCAATGTCTATATGTTGTTCGATAGCCCTTAACGTACAGATTTGCCAACAAAAGTCAAATTTAAGGAAAAAACAAAAGTTTGAAAGAAAACTTGCAAAAACGTTAACATAGAAAGCCTATGGGAAGAGCTAAGAATCCATCACTGCAAAACCGACCACCTCACCACTGTCTCGACGGCCAAAACGAATTGACCGACTTACACGTTAGAGTCGGGAAAACTTTGTTCTTCTGGAATCACGACCACGTGTTATTCCGTGGTCTTGAACGAATTTATAAATTTTTTAATCAGTATTTGGCATCAAGAAAAAGTGATTTGAGCAAGAACACATAAGAAGGTCTTCAAGCTGAAAACTGCTTAAAAACTGTTTCCCAAGGAGCTGTCATTCGCAGTGGTTTGACCCGCTTAAAGTTGCCACGCTTCCACGGGTGGTTGCCATTTGTACTGATTTGCTGTTAAAGTTAAAAATTTACAGAGTTGCGAGTATTTTTAATTTTTTTTGTGGAAAATTATGTTCCAGAAAGGCAGAATTGCGTGTTTGGGGCTGATTTAAGGGGCAGCAAGCTGGCAACTGCACATTTGAGCGACTGCTTGGCAGTCATTAGCCGAGAATTGCAGGTAAGGGATTTGGTCCGGTACGTAGCACTAAATTCGTGTACATTGCCGCGGAGTAGAAGTGTAGATATTTGCTTCCGCGCACTTCCAAACACTTTTTGTGTTCCTTTCTGACACTGTGTAGCCAAATGATTTGTGTTCATTGACGTGAAATCCGTTTTCGCGCGCAAAATTCGGTTGCGAAGTTATGAAGGTGACAAAATTCCAAAAAATTCCTTTTCAAATTTTGCACGTAAATGCACATAACCACGAAGATCGTCTTTGCACCGAACCACCGTTACACCATTTTATTAAAAAATTTTAATTCATTTTAACATGGGAAAACAATGCCCGAACTGGGGCTCCGTGCGTGTAAAAAACCATATTCACGCATATGTGCGTTCACATGCAGAATTTGAAGAAGACCGGTTGATAACGAGACTTTTGGTACACCTGAATGCATTTAAACTTTTTGAAATTTGCATACAGCTAACTCCCGAACCGGATGTTGTGCGCTCAAACGGTTTTTACGCCAACGTATACAAATCATCTGGCTGCAGTATGTAAAAAAACAAAGCAAAAAAGGGTTTGGGAGTGCTCGAAAGTCGAATTTGGTTCTATGTACCGGGCCAAATCCCTTAAGCAAGGTAGCTACATGCTTACCAGCGACTACTGACCAGCGACTACTGAGAGCAGAAGAATTTTAGGAAAACTTGAAATACTTCCGTTAGTTTGTCAGAGAAGGCAACGCGAAGCTGCTTCGCGAGCGGAGCTCGCGAAGCAGCAGACATGCAAGAAATTTCCCGTAGAAGTCCTCGATTTTAGAAAGAGCTAACAGCGGAGAAGGAAATACAACGAAATGCTTCTGTCCTTATTTAATTAAAGTGGTTTAACTTTGTTCTGTGGTGAAAGTAATAGTAAAAAAAGGTGACTATTACTGTTTCAGTTTACCACTTATTAGTGAACTGATTGTTGAAGGGCAGCAGCAGTGGTGTATATATTAGTGGTCAAACTGGGATGTAAAGTACTTAAATAAATTGCTATCGGATACGTTGAAAGCTCAGAATAGTAAGAGAAAGAGCGGAGAACAAGTTTTAATAAATTACAGGGCCCCTATGTAGCAGCTGCACGAAATTTAACTGATGGTAACTGATCTGGAAATAAACAGCTCGGAAACAAAAAAATTCACCCGTTTTGGGGAGAAATAAGTTTAAAATAATTTCGCATTTCAGGTTTTAGGCCATTCTGCAGTCAATTAAACGGTCAGACAAATTTTCCAGTAGTTATCATAAAGTGACATCAACAGTGCAGTGTGCAAGGACATTATTTTGGATTTTGTTTATTATAGAATTCTACGCTTCGTTCATAAAACCTGCAGTTATGAGTTTACATATATACGATATATTTAGCATACCTGCAGTTATGAGTTTTATTTTTGCCCTGAGTTGGAATTTGTCCATTGCATTATTTACTCCGCGCAATTTGCGCGGGGTCTGCTAGTCATATTATATAGATATAGCTGTTACAGCCGTTAATATTTACCGAAGTTTTGAAACGTAATCTGACTCATGGTGGTGGTTTTCGTTAACAACTCTGGAGAGCTACAAATGTTTCTTATAAAGCATTGTGTTTTAGAGATATTGTACAGCGTGCGTGCATGGTAATGCCGGCGAAGCCGCCAGTATTCTTCAGACAAGTTATGTATGTTTTTGAATTTTGATATATTAATGAGGTCGCTGACTACAACAAACAAACATTACATCACAGCCAATGAGAATCTGGCATACCAGATTCTCATTTACTGTGTTGTAACGTTTGTGGAATCTTTTCATCGAAATCTGCCGATAAAAATTGAAAACTGTATGCATAAGAATAGTGTATTATTTTTAGGTTATGCGGCTGTCATTCTGTTTGCGATCACTCACGTTAATTGTTGCCGAAAGGCCTGTATCTGAACAGTGTATGTACAAACACCATAAAATCCTTTGGGATTAAGCCAGTCACTCGTCCTTTATGTCCGACAACATGCTGCAGTTTTCCAATGATTCGTGGTATAACGGTTCATTTTTGTATTATTTTCGAAGTATAATTTGTGCAAAAATGACAAAATATCGGTACAACGATGAGATGCCGAATAACCTATATGTACATACATATATATTGTACAGTCTGCAGAACGCACGCTTATATCGTATTTTATGAACATGTTACAGGAGAACGCTTGTACCCACAAAACAAAAATCAGTCTCATTTTTAATTATTAGAATTTTAGTGACAATCTATAGTTAATAAAATGTTCACTTATTTATCGTTCGTCACAAATCAAATTCATTTAAACGTCCAATGGAATGCGTGTGTACTGTGGTTATTAATACGCGAAAGAACGCCATCAAGTGGATGAAATTATCTACACGTAACGGAGATCGGAGGGAGGCCGCCAGGAGACGGAGGATGCCAATCTTACAGCGTTTCCGGTTCGTGCAGGATGACGGTGCTGTTCAGGGCGCTGAACTGCCGGTCCAACGTGGGTCGCGCCGAGGGTGGCGGCGTGCTAACCGGAGGTCCCTGCATCATGCACACATACTCGCGCGACGACTGCCCATAGGAGACCGTCCCGCAGGACATGGCCACCACGCAGAACCCGGCGGCGTCCAGTTTGTCCAGGATGACTTGGGGTCGCTGCCGACAGACGTACTTGGCGTTGCTGCCGCTGCCCTCCAGGCGGGCGTTGAGAAAGGTCATCAGGGTCTTGTCGGCGCCGGCGTGCCCCACCGTGACGATGGCCGGCTCCAGCCAGGCGCTCAGCTGGTTGGATACAAAGCTCACCGTTACCACCGGCATAATGTTATAATTGCGGTGCTGTAGAAGAATATGATATGACGGAGTGGTTGAGTGATTCAGCTGTCGGCTAGGATCATCTTCATCCGCTCAAATATGTCATCAGCAATCAAAAGGGATTAACAAGAAAATCCGCTGCAATGGAAACTCTGCAATAGGCAAACAGTTTTCCTTGAAATATGACTGCATTAAACGCGTACAGTACGTTTAACGAGACAAAATACTCATAAGGAAAAAATCCTAAAATTTATTTATATACGGTATATCTATTTCTAATAAAAGCTAGCAGCAAAAAAACGAATAAGCATTTAAACAGCGAAATTAGTAATTAATGCTCACTAAATTGTCATTCTGTTTCGACGCGTAACAAATCAAAGCTGAGCCAATACAAGTTAATAAATACCTAAGGAACGGCGCTACAAATGGAAATATTTTTGTAAGGGATATTCCTGTATTCCAAGTGCAAAATAAATTCTTTTAGAAAAATTACGGCAGTGCTTTGCGAACCTTGTTATAAATAAGTATAACAAATTCCGCAGTTGAAATAAAATCCAGCGACGCAACTCTCCCAGGTGCAACTGTAAACTGCTGCATGTACAGATACAACTGTTAAATTCTCGCCTGGGAAATGCACTAACTGTTTCAAACACAGCACACTCTTGTGGTTTTAAAGTCCTGAGCAGAGCAGCGGCACATGATATGTTGTGCTTCCGGAATAACTTCAGAAGCGCAAACACCACTTCTGACCCGGCGCGTAATGGCTTGTGTACATGTGCGCACGCACATGTACAGTGCCGCCATCCACACCGGAAGTGATGCTCCCGTTCTTTTGTCGCACAGCGCCGTCCACAAAGACCACCGCACGCTTTTTCCTTTCCGCCAATTTACGGCGACAATAGCGGCACGCTGGCGACAAGTCAACGTAGACGGTGAATAAACACGTCTATCTCCCGGTTTTTACTCGTGTTTTCAGCGATTCCGCGGTGGTAAAATAACTGTTACGTAAAGTTTGATTTAATTCCATTCCAGTGAATCCCGCTACTTTAACGCGAGAGGCACCGGAATCGGGCGGGATACGCCTTAAATCAGAAATATTTCGGCAAGAAGCCGGGGTGTTGTTTTACGCATGTACTGAAGAAGGGAAAACCGAATTTATAAAAAAAAAGAACTTTAATAAATTAATATTTTAAATGCATTTTTAACTCGGTCCACGTATTCTTTGTAAAGAAAGCAACCATCTGTGACGCATAATATGGAAGACCTACGCCATCACACTACAATATTTCCTGTTCACAAATCGCGGTTATGTTACAGCGAGTTACTCACTTTAAAAGATTTTTTTCTTTTCGGCATTTACAATTAGGAATACCTACTAAAACAGCACCTAACGAATAAAGCGGGAAGCAGTTCGATCAGCTGATTCGACAACACAAGAAATCTCGATAAATCTTCGAAATTCGCGCAGCGATGGAAGAGAATTATATGATGATGAGTGACTGTTTATTTCTCAGTATGTACGAAGCGAGCTTCGCTCAACAGTAACAATCAAATGAAGAATTTGTCCCAATTAACATGAGAAGGGACTATGCACAACACACTCATAGCATTACCACGCATAATCTCTAAGCTTAAACGCTGAAACAAAAAACAAGTAGAGCGACTCTCGCCCGTCCTTAAAAACAACTTCTTACCAATCTCCTTTAACGTTACAATGCCGGTCTATGATGATGAGTTGATGACCTTACCTCAGCAATCATGGCACGATAGCGCAAACCGGCGTTCGGGTAAAGAATCCGTACAATCCTTCAAGAAAAATAATTTCTTCTGCTGATAGGTCTCAAGCCCGCCGCGTTTCGATTAATATACGAGACCATGAGCCTCTCGAAATGACCAATAACGCCGCAACAGACTACAGCAACACGGTAAACGTTTCAGCAGTAGGGCCATTAGGAGCGTCTTAACCGCTGCAATGGGGATGCAATTAAAGCCCGCAATGGCTGCAATATGCACAGTATCGACTGGCGACAAATGCCGGTCGGATCATCCACAACGCTGGCTTGTATCCCTTTTTTTGCCCGGAACAATCGCGCTCTTTCTCTTTGCCCGAGCGGAACGCTATGATTGCCGGCTTGATAGAGGCCGGGAGAAATCAATACCGGAAATTAACTGGCTTTCAACGAGTTCCGCTGCGGCCCTGGCGCGGGTTGTGGAAGAGGGTGAAGGGTAGGATTGCTGGTCAGATCAAGATCAGGGATAAGGGATAATATAACCGTCTGCAGACCGTTCTGCTCTCTTTCACCTCGTCGTCACTTTGCAGGATTATTTCCCCGTATTGGCTTGCATAACGGGTTCTTTGCAATTGTTCTGGAGTGGATGTACTCGGAAATAGGGAACGTTCTTCTTATTCATTGCAACCAGAAAGGTTTCTTTAGATATCTTATAATTCAACATGAATTAAAATTTATCAATTTGACTTGACGGAAAGATATTGCGGTAATTTTTTTTCAATATGTTGGGTAGAAAACGCCATTCTCGTTTGCCTGTGATAACATTTGAGCTAGGCATATACGATAGGCGGTGCATGTTGAGGAATCAGGGATATATCGTAGTGGGATGGCTTTGTGTTGGAAGGTTGCTGTTTTGAATCGACAGTAGAATGTAATTAGAATGAATTATAATTATAAAACCTCTTAATTGCCGATCGTCGTTAAATGTCTTCTTTTTTATTTTTGCTGGTATGTATAATAATGTAAAAAGGTAGTAAACACCATTTAGAACTTACTGTACTGTACTATAAGCTGATAAGCTGCCAGATAAGCTGATATACCTCAACGAGTTACCGTCGTGATCGCGATCTTCACAGAAGCACTTGCTGCAGCAAATATCTGCGCATTAGTACCAACATACCGTAATTATTGCACATACTCATCGTCAATACAGTACATAAATCTGCCAAAATAACGCAAAATGTCGACGTCAGTGAGAAAACAATTCTCTTTATTCACCTGTGGTACATCGTATTGTTACATAATCCAAAAACATCACAATTTTACAACATTAAAACTTCGTTTGACCTTCCTGCTCCTTCCATTGTTCCCAGAACTGAGGCCGCGTTCCCCCGCTGTATCGCCAACGACAGTCTTTGACGTAGAAATTCATGGGAACGCTTCTCCCCTGTCTGCTGTTCTAGTCGTTTGCCCAATTCTTTGATAATGACGATGGCGGCCGGTTCCCAAGGGCCCATTGTTTCAAAAGCTATCGGAGCAAAGATATACCTGCTGAACAAGTACGCATACAGGTGCGCCTTTTTTCTTTTTTTTTGCGAAAACAATTAGTGTATCCTGTACTCAGTACTGTAAGTACCGTACCATACTGTAATATGCCGCACACGGTCTACTGCGGTACGTTAGTTTTCTTTTATTTTGTTTTAGGCTTTCGTAGTTGTGCTTGGTTTTCGTTGGTTTTCTTAGGTTTTCTTTTAGTCGGTTTCTTTCTGTTGCTTCAGACTGCAGTCATAACAATATCGAACGAGCAGAAAGCAGACCCCGCGCAAATACCTTATATTCGTGTTATGTTATAATTATGAGCAATTTGCTTCCGGAAACCTATGTCTGAGCGACAGTCAAACTGACTTGAAGGATCCACATTGCTCAAATACTTTTCAATAAGCTCGGTAGAAATAACGGCATTCGCGCTTTTCGGCGATAAAGTTGAAATTAGGTACATTTACGTTGAGAGTAGCAGGTTCAGAAATACAGCAGATTCCGCACTGAAGTACAACAAAATCACCGCAACACAAAGTACACTTCGTCAAGATTCCGACCCATGCAACGGTTCCTGCACGGCTCAGTACTGATCCACTGTTTCAGAAGCTGAGTACATACGCCGTTTCTCTTGTGTCCTTGCAAAAAGAATTTTACACAAGAGCCGAAGCTGCATGAGGAACTAGGGAGTGTAGGATAGTAGAATGGCGTCGTGCATAAGTTTGCAAGCTTCAGTCGGCAGCACAGTCTAATTTTCAAATCTCCCAATTGGAGACCTCCAAATGTAATCTTTTTATTTTCGCTTGTCATGGATAATGATGTAAAAATGAAGGTAGACACCATTTAAAACGAAAGGACAACACTAAAGACACTGATACTATTCTTTTATTCGGGCAATAGCCTATTAACAGAACAGCAAGCCTGCGCTGGTAGATACTAATTAAAGATTCCGAATTTACACATTGAAGAAACAACCAAAATCATTACAGTCATTTCCAACTTTCAATCGTGCATTTAATGTACCCAAGACAGCGGCCGCATTTCCTCTAACAACAGCGAGACTGAAACGTTGTCTAAGGAAGGCAGTGGATCGAGATTCGCCGGTTAAATCGCGGATTTTCCTACCGACGAAGCGTATCATCTCAGCAAAGGCAGGCCCAAAAGTTCCAAATGTTTCTACTGCGAGAGGGTAGAACATGTATCCCATATCCTCTACAAAGCCGTACTTCCGCCGCTTAAAGTCTTCTGCTAGCTGGGCCACGCTGCCTGACTTCTTCGAGCTGGCTTTCACGTGCGACATAGCCACGGTGTCCCAACAGGTAGCATCCCAGACTACCGCTTTTCCATCACGCACGGGTATCAGCGTCATGCCGTCCGGGCGCTGATTACTGTAGTGATCGATCGGCATAGAAGTGTGGGCACTTAACAATAAATAACTGAAATAATAAATAAACTAAAATACTGCAGTAAATATCGGCACCTAAGTGCATCCATAAGGACAGAGCATGAACTTACGAAAGTATTGCGGTTCCTAAAATTAACCGTATTTTTAATCGCCGGTTTAGAATTCGCGGCAGCTGCGCGGCAAACGGTAAAAACATGAGCCTTTTCCACGTTAAAGTTTACGTTGTACTTTATAATCATGTTGTACTTTGTAATCTAATGCGTTTATTACACTACCCCAGTAAAGCCTTTTATTAGAGCATAGCGCATTTAATATCTAATGTTTTTTCTTCATGGGTTAATGTTGCAAGTTCTGTGTACAACGTGGTATCTTTGCATTTTAAAATTACGCGTAAGTATAATACGAAGTATATCATTGCATTGTCGATACGAATTTGACTGTACGAGCGGTGCCACAATATACACCGCATACTTTAGCCATTCATAAAGCTTCTCATTGCAAAAAAAAAGCGCCTGGAGCAACGAAAATATAAGACTTACGCTATCGCCTCCAGCTATTAGCAGTGTTCGCAGGTTTTCTCATATTCATCTTCTGCAAGTTGGCTTGAAAAACTGCTTACGGAAAACACCGACAAACTGCACTAATAAAATTTCAGGCAGCTGTAAATCTACGGACGCTTTATCACACCATTAAAAATGCGCTCTCTTCCATGATCCAACTGCTAACGAAGACAGCATACCTAGGATATGGCGCGTCCGCTGCTGAGCGTGCAGTCGGTGATCCGCTCGCGCTGGTCCATCCTAATGTGCAGCTGTGTCATCTACTTTGCGCAGGACTTCTTCCACGACGTTCCCTCGGTGATTGTGCGCCGGCTGACCGGTAGTTCGCCAGCCTGCCGTAACCACACCGACCACTGCCTGCATTTAAGCGACAGCATGTACAACTCCCTGTATACAGCTCATACCTGGGCCTCCGCCGTGTCGGCCTTCATCACTGCTATCCTTATGGGACGCTACGGAGGGGGTGTTATCCTGTGGGCCTCCAACGTTCTCATGATGGCCGGATCGTAGGTGACAAACTGTACTTCCTCATTGACTTCAACTTACTTCCTTGTTTGTTTTCCTTATTTGCACAGTTTCAAGAAAAATGAGCAGCACCAGTTTCCCATATACCCAGCAATACTTGCAATACTTTTATTAACTTTTTGCGACACATACACGGCTTTAATTTACAATATTCTGTAATCCAATATGGAAACTAAAAAATATAATGTTTCCTCTTAATGAAAATTAAAAAAATGCTTTTGACAGCATTTTGCTGAGATGTGCTAACACCAAACGATCATGGTTTTGGTTCTACTTTGCACATTGTACATGCTTGTTGCAGGGCCATGTTCCTCGTTGGGAGCTACGGATTAACCTCTACTGCTTATCCTCTCTTACTGTTTGGTCGAGCGATTTTTGGTCTGGGTCAAGGCGCCTCTATTACATCCGCCGGCAACTTGGTGTCGGCATGGTTCGTCTACCACGAGCTGGGCTTGTCATCGGCGATTACCACGCTAGCGTCTCGACTAGGCAGTGCCACAAATTACCTTTTAGGTACAGGTGTTTGGCCGGCCTAACCAGCGTACATATGTATATGAGATATGAAATTGCGATTGTAGTTGGTGGCGTGCTGGACAGCATCGGTATGAGCGGCTGCTTGTGGATCGCGTTAATATTAACGGTGTTCAGTTGGGTGGCGTCTATTATCATGGGCCGCATCGACGACCAGTACAATCTGGATAAGCAGACGGAAACCAAACAGCATTTACGGCGCATGTGGAAGATTTTGCGTAGTTTTGGCGGACTGTACTGGTCGTTCTTGGTGGTGTATTTCCTGCTGCATGGGATTGTTGGTGCCTTCACTGCCAATTCCTCCAAAATGTTCTACGTACGTCACCCAAATTACGCTACTTACTTAATGTTTCCTCCTTTTAGTTAAGATAGCAAATATTTTCCTATTTAATTATTAAGTACCAGTAATATTTTATCAGTAAAGCGAAAGCATTTCAGGTCTTATATACTTCGTTAAATCGATTTGCAGGTGCAAAAGCATTTGAGCGAAACGGAAGCCAGCTACGCCGTCAGCCTGGTGCACATCCTGGGCATCCTCGTTTTACCGGTGGGCTACCTGGACGACCGTTTCGGGCAGCGGCAGCGCTGGATCACTGCCGGCACCTTCCTGGCCTTCTTCGCCTTCCTCATCTACACCGTGTTCGGCGGTATCTCCGCTGCCTTTTTAACGTCCACCCTGGGCATCGCCTACGCCCTCTTCGACCCCACCGCCTCCTCGGCCGGGACCCTCCTGTCCCCGCAGGACACCGGCGGCATCGCCAACGGCGTCAGCAAGTTCTTCCGCTACATCTGCGTCGGTCTGCTGACCACCGGCGCCGGTCTGCTGGTGGACCGCGGCGACTCCATGTCGGAGTGGGTGTGGGCCAAGTTTCTCATCCTCCTCAGTGGGTTGTCGGCCGTGGCGGTGGTGGCCAGTGTCTGCATGCTGGTATTTCATGTGAACCATCCGAAGCGGCCGTTAGCGCCTAGTCGGAGGGAGTTGCGGTTGCAGCGGCAGATGGAGATGGCGGGTGCGGCTCCCGAGGAAGAGGAGAAGCCGGTGCTAAGTTATGGACCGACGGAAGCCGAGTCTCTCTTGGGCACTGACAATGACGAGTAATTTTGAATACAATACTTTTTTGTACGCATTAGTTAGTCTCATTATGTTTTACTTTTTCTGGAATTTTCTGCTGTTTTTGAAAATTACTAGAATTTTTTTGTTAACAGCGGGTCGTCGATAAGGCAACGGCTGAGAGTTTATTAATAATATTATATTAAGCAAACCAGTGCCATACCACTTTCAACACGAACACAACCATCACGAATACGAAAAACATCAAAATACGACCGCTTGGCGCTTAGCGGCTTGCATCGCATTTTACAAAATAAAGGAGCGGGCGAGAAAAGCCTTTTAACGGACGACTCGATCAACAAGTTCACAAAATCCAGAGCAAGCACTTACACACCGTACTCTGCTTCTAACCCGAACAACATACGAGTGCATTGCGCTGGCCAAATAATAGGAAAAGTTTTGTTAAATTTTTATACTTTTTTTCGGTTATGTAAGAAACTGGTATCACGGGTTCGTCCAGACTTCAGATCTTTATTACCACGAACAACACAAAGTAGATGTACGAGTGCCGGAACCCCAGACAGAATAAAGAAAGCACACTGCTACCAGCGGAAAGGTCATGTTCTGCAACGCGGCAAGACAGTGCCAGCTTCTAAAAAGATGCATTAACGAGATCAGAAAAAATTACGTCCAAAACCGGGTATGCCAGATAAATTTTAAGCATCTTCATACTTAAGAATACTATGAGCTTACAGAAATTGGAAATTTACTGGTTTACAACTGTTTTGCAAGCTTAAATGTAAATTTTCCCCCGGGCAAAATGTCCAAAGCACTTTTGGGCAAATCTTTATACCAAAGTATAAATAAAAACGAGCAGATTCCGAATTTGTAATGAGAACAAAATCGGATGAGTAGATAAAAAGTAATTGCCATTAACAGTCTCAAAAAATAGCATAAGCGGTCGCATATACGTATATATGGTTGCATATATATTTGTATACCTAATTGTTTCTCAGTAATAAAGTACTTAGCATGAATAAAATACTTAATTTGGCTTGGCGGAAAAGAGCAGCTTTCTTTTTCAGTGGGTTCGCACTTCACGGTATACAGATAAATAATTCCCTTCTAGTGTTCTTGCGTTGCCGCTTTATTTTTTATTAATTTCTTATGGCTTGACAGATAAGAAGAGATCAGCAACTGCTAATGTGCAGCCTATTACTATTAGTACGGACTGTGCGGTTATTAGTACATATAAAATATAGTTTATATATTAAACCAAATACGATAGTCTTCCGTCGTGAGAGTTCCAGCAACAATAATTTTCATAGGTCGGTTTGCATTGTTTCCAGTACATATGCGATCAGTATGTGAGCTAAATTTACAGAGACAACACCGACCCCTCAAAATTTCCTACTTTAGAATTCTATAAACTCGTAAACAACCTTTTAAGATAATTATTAATAAATAATACTCCGCATGCACACAAACAGATACAGTTGACCGATTTCACTCAGAAAATAAACATAAAAATACAAATTTTTATGTAAATAGAGTTTGTCCCAGTTAACGTAACAGAAATTACAGTACATCGCACTAATACTGCACCGACAAGTGACAATACCGTACGTAACCAAGTAAACTAGCTGCCAGTGTACAAGTGCACGGCCATTCAGCTGCCGTAGCAAACGCTAATGATCTCATCAGTCAAATTCCTACGCCGTGTAAACTTGACCATCAAACGTTGAATCGGCATTGATACGTCAGTCACAACCCTAGCTCTTTCTGCTGCCCACATTAATTACAGACTCACAGTCATCATAAGCCGGAAACAGGTACATGGTTGGTAAAAACAGTTTTAGACTTTCCAATTTTGCTACATACAGGCCCGCAGGGATGAATGCATTTTTAATTTTTTTTTTCAGGTGGACTGTTTTTATTGTACGGCATATGTTTTAACAAGATCACTTTCGAGTTTCGGCGTAGAAGCGCACAGCTGCCGGTGTAAGAAAAACGCTACTGTTCTACCAACATTGATTGTAAGGAAGAAACTGCTGCGTTCCGAAGCCAGCCAGTGCTCCATGGACAAGGTAAAGACGTGTGCTGGAGATGATGGCACGCACAGGCTGTACGGATTCCCGGAAGTGTTTTACCATAAATCCCAGCAGTGTAAATGGATTCGCTTGATACTGCTCTTTGGGCTCGGTGCAGTTATTCTGCCGATTGTGGATATTTTGACCGATTTCGCTTCTATAATAACTTTATGGATATACAATCCCTGTGACATATCGGTGTGGTGGTTAATAATTATCTCGACGGTGCCTTTCCTTCCCTTCGTATTTTCCCTTATCAAAGAGCGCATCGACTTCTATTACGAAGATGTTGATGCGTATGCGGTGTCGCAAATTAACTGGCGACTGGCCCGCCATCATTTAGTCCGAGCGGAAGAGCAGCTGCTGGTGGATAAACCGGGAGAGAAATTCAGCATACACCACTCTACTATGCAAGCCGCCTTTTTGCCTACGTGGCGGTCAAGATTGGTCATTGAACCCGATGTATTTCCCATGTCGTTGTTTTACCGGTAAGATAGTAGTGTTTTACAGATACTACTGTAGTATATCCTTACTCTACAATCTGCGCCGGTTTTAGACTTTCAGAAAAGCAGAAACACGATTTTGCTGTAGGATTGGTAAGGTCAAGACTATAGAACTTAGCTCGCTCCCTTGTTGCTGGAGATGGATGGAAAAAGTCACATTTTTCCCCAGCCGGCAACTTTGCACTTTGCACAGTTAAAAATATCTCCGGCAGTTTCCTGGTACTGTGCTGGCCAAGCCACTTTGCATGACTGCAGATTTACCAGAAGTGAGCCATGCCGTTGCTAGTCTGAGTTTAGTTTCGGTTCTTATCTGAAATTTGGATAAATTGATTCGGGATTTTCGTCTTGGGATCCGAAATGTTCCCGGAAGTTTGTAGTGCATATGAACATACATGTACGGTGATAACGTGATAATAATAATAATAAAGCTGAAGCGTCTTCTTGATAAACTTCTTGCTGTTAATCCTAAAATTCTCGAAGCCAGTTCTGTACCTTCTTTCAAATTTCTACTCAGATCTGTTAAACTCTCCTAAACGTTTTTGTTAGCGGAAAATTGTTTTTGTTCGACCAGACTTGAAGTCCCTTCGGGGTTGTCTGCTCTTGTGCCGTAATAATAATAATAATAATAATAATATCTGTACCGACTGTACGTACTTGTATATATGAATGTGTCATGAATGTTGTGCTATTGTGCCCGTAGCGACTATGCAAATCTATGGTGTTCCTAGGTTATCCGGTTTAGTTAAGTATTTGGTTGGCTCCGTAGCGGGGCAGCGACCAGGTTAATAATTATAAAGCATTATACTACCGCTGCGCATATATCTGTACAGATATATTTCAAAGGTCATTTGTACACCTGCCTGAATTTTGTTTTAGGTGGAAACAGTTCTACATTGCCTGGAGGGATGCTCCCAACATTATCACGAAATATCGTCTACAGCGCCACCAATTCGACGAAATCGATATCGAATATCACGATCTCCTGCTGCAACGCGCTCTATTAGCGGAGATTAAGTACGAGTCCAGTCTGCAGCTGATCATCCAGCTGGTTCTACTGGGAACCGGTTTGCAGCCGGTGTGGTGGATACCTTGTGCATCAGCCGTCGTTTCATTGCTGTCAATTGCCAAATACTTCCCATCGGCGGCACAGCTCCCCGGAAAATACGCATTTAACAGGAAATTGTTCCAGAACAAGGATGGACTCAGTTTATGGGAAGCTAACGAGCTGTTGAAACCCCTGTCTTCTTTACTGTATGGATCGCTTAGCAACTTCCTCTACATTGCGTGCCGTTACCATTTAATTATTTTGTTAATACGGTACAATTGGTTGGCGGCAGCTATGGTTGTGCTATTGCAGTTTGTTATGGTGTTGACCTTTGTGTTGGGCTCGTATCTCCTGGTCCGACGGAAATATCGTGCGCCACCAAATGACAAAAACAGACACGAAGACGGGCATGTAAAAACGTTTTCCTCGCTCTTGAAAAGACGTCTGGGGCCGTTATATGCCTTTTGCAGCCAGCTGTGCAGCACAGCCAGTTATTTTCTCCTGGTCCCGGTAACAACAACCACAACCGGCGCGGGCTGTGTGCTGGCGGTTGTGTTACAAACGGCAGCATTAACTGTCTATGTGACTATAACGCAGGCTCAGTGGAACAGAGACATCTGCTGTCGAAGCGAACGGCTCTATGAACACACCCTTGGTCCGTCGGCAATCTGGCTACTGGCCATTAACGGGATTGTATCCTGCCTGGTCTTACCAGCGGCACACTATTTTCTGGAATTTCGTGCCGGATCCACGCGGTCGCTGCGTCATCGCAGCGAGTGCTGGAAATGTCAAGGTAGGAGAACTCTACTGATGCCTCCCATTATATCTACTCAAGCGCTACTTTTCTAAGCTTCGGCATAGTTTTGTGATTGTCTTATGAAACCAGAGCCTATTATCCCATCTACAATTTTTAGTAGTATTAGTACGTAGTATTACACGAATGCATATTTTGTTATGTTGATGGCCTTTTGCCCAATAAAGAAGAATTTTTAGTATTTGATACACAAATCCAATCAGATAGGTTAAAAAAGCAGGCGGAAGTTTTAGCATCTGGACCTTTAATCGCGGCTATACCATTTTAATACGCCATTTAGTCAGCACATGTATGAAACACTGCATCTAATCCTGCTTTTTTATTTTTATGCAACTGAATTTCAGATTTCCAAAGTTCTTATCTGGAATACCGACCGTGTTGGCTGTGCGAATGGATGTGGCAGAAAAATCGAAGAATCAACCGTGAAGCCGATGACCGCGTCAACGTAATGTTCGCTGAAGGCAACTTTCGAAATGGACAGCATTATCCTGACGTGCAAATCACCTGGCCTGCACCATTTTTTGGAAACACCAAGCCTTCCTTCCAAACTAACGGCCAGTACATTAAGGAAGCAGCGCATCAGATCCTGCTAATCGCAGCAGAAATCAGCCGGCTGAGGAAGCACGAGGGCGACCTCCTGCTATGTGACGCACACCGGCAAGACTTATCAGAATCTCGCATTAAAGCTGATAGCGAAAGAGAAGAGAGGGTGTATCAACTTATGAGCGCTAGACTCGATGACGTCTCAGCCGAAGGGCAACCATCAACGTCCCGACAGACATCTTACGATTTTGACCAGGATGTGCTGATTATCCGCGAGTATCTCCGCTCTTCGAACCTAAAGATGTACACCTTTCTCGTGCGCCTGTACGCCTATCGTGCCATACCATTCCAGTTACTCTTCAAATCCGTGCTGTACGATGGCGGTATTCGTCAACGTGACCGTCAGTCTCTTTATTGGTTTCAAATGAAACAACTCCGGAAGGAACACCGATGCTGTGCTTCCAAGTGTAATATGAGTTACGAGGAGGGCGTTACACAGGACATTTCAGTATACGAAGTGGCACCACCTTATCTGCCAGCATTTAAGTATAAAGTTAACTTGGCTGATCGCAATCATTATAATTTCCACTTTGCCGGCACCTTCTTCATGCTGAAGGATAAGGAAGGAAGACCACCCGCACCTCTTCGTCAGTGCCCTTGGAAACCTATTCCACGGACGCCAGTAAACCGTCTTATTGACGACGACGTACACTCGCAAGCAGCGCACAAAGCCCCAGCTGTTGCACCCGCTGACAACAGTAACACTGCTGGCCGAGTCTTTATGGCCACGAGAAGCAAGCGTATGTTCAGTCCTGTGAGCCATTTCCAGTATAACACCAAAACCAGCCTCTATACAGTAGCGTTGGCTGGAGAGAAATGCATGAGAGCTGCAACCGGGATTAGTGCTGAGCAGCTGGCGAACGATCTGGAAGCAGCCGCATTGGCGTTTGGGTTGGACACTGCAGATTCTGGAACTGAGTTTCAAGAGTACGAGTATGATTAAAGGAACTGATTAATACACTTCTCACTGGATTGCAGCAAACTTAAGAAGAATTAATTTGTCGAATGGCCCCACAATCCACCAGTTTTGTAATTTGTTTCTTTGTTTTTTTTACTCTGATTAACGTTTACAGATTTCAGAAATATCCTGCACCAGGAGTAGACTACCGTAAAAGCAGTGGCGAATCAGACGGGTTTAGACGAAGAGGCTAGAGAACTCACACCAAAGGGGGTATCATGCTCTCGCTTTTTCGGCGACCTCCGGCGAAAAAAATTCGCAACGTACCCCCCTCTTGCAGATTTTTTTGACGTCCGAGTCACCCGGAGGGTATTAGCCCCGGGAGCCCCCCCTCTTAAATTCGCCACTGCGTAAAAGATTCTCACCTAACTTCAATTTACGTACGAATACGGTACGTAAAATTAATTGTTGTTTTTATCTATTTTGCCTTTGGTATCGTCATGCATTCATAAACCACCACTTTTATAAAACCACTAATAAGCACTTTTATTCCTCTTTGCCGGCAGTCATCTTATTGTCCAAAAATCTATTTTAATAGTTGTGATGTACGAGTGTACGTACGACAAGTACGTACACGAGATTCTCAAGATTCTGCAGTGTTACCTACCTAGCAACGCTATGATGTACTCCCTGCAGTTAAGTACTTACTAGGGTTCATGTTCAGTTGCGAGATGTCGAGCTACGATAAAGATGCGTAGTTCCCGATACTGATACATACGTACTTCTACATATATTACGATAGTGACTAAGAAAAACAATCCAAAAACGAAGAAAAAAAGATTCCGCATAATAAGCGCTGATAGGATAGATGTACCGTGTACGTACGTGTACGCACCGTACAGCTTAGGACTAAAGACGCATAACCCCATACCCAGATATCCGTACGCATGTGGCAAGTGCACTTGTACGACAACCGGATATTTTAGCTGAGTCGTACAGCGCACTGCGCCGCATGCGTTCGGAATGCTTTGGATGGGATTATGCGTCATTTTAGTCCTAAGCTGTAAAGTGTAAAACGCTCGTTCGTAGATAGTACAATGTCATGCACGGAGTGGATACGATAATATTTACTGTATTTTCAGAATAGAAATAATGCAGTAACAGGTTGCGTGGTTTAGTGTTAGTCGCACCGGACTTCCGCTTTATAGAGATCACTGGGCTCAAATCCCTGGCTCCACATGCCACGGTTCAGTTCGCGGTTGGTCTTATAAACACTGCCCCAGCGTCGCCGCTGGGTGAGAAACCGGTTCCTAGACAACCACTGCCGGTACCACGCAAAACACGGATCACAGTGCTGCTTCTTGATCTCCAGCGGGGATGCGCCGAATTCCAGGGTCACAACACGCAGATCCAGCAAATACGAAAAGCTGTCCACCTCCACCGACTGTATGACGCACCTCTGGAATTTGACTACGCGCAGCTTCGGGGATGTGCTAAAGTCCAGGCTGCGTATTACCAGACCTTGTTCGCACCGGTCGGCTCCAAACGCAATCATGTTAGTGAGCGCCATCCCGCGCAGTTTCCCAGTCATACGTGGGGTGTGACAGAACAGCAGGGAGAACTCGAGAATCTGAAAGCGTATAGGCTGCAGCGTTTGCGCGGTAATGTTTGGCGCATCATGCAGATGAAGAGCGGCAAAACGCGACGGCGGCTGCGCCATGCGGCGGAATGTAGTCAGGAGCTCTTCTTTCGTGGCAGTGGCGGTGTGGCATTCCACGGCGTAGTAGTGGTGATCCGTACTGCAGCGGTTGGGATCGTTGATGTTGTGCCGCCAGGAGATGTTGCAGTAGGACGAGAACTGTCGCTCACAATGATCCTTCGTAAACGGCTGCTCGTCGATGCTCGGTACTGGATATAAGAATGTCGTGCCTGGATTGTATTCATTGACGGCGGCGTCTGCAAGAATTCGACCATGGTTTCAAAATCCAAACAACTAACTTGCTGTTATTCGACTACAGACATTTAAGAACGGTCTATCAGCAAATGATTGCGAATTGCGCGGAAAAGAAACCAAACGCTTGCACCACCTTTCTCGCATCATCAGTTAATTGCCTCGACCAGAAACCAGAATAAGCAGTCCGTTATAAAGTTACAGTTAATGGAGCGTTATATCCTAGTACCTTCGTTATCTGCATTTTCGGTGTGGGTTCCATAAGTCACGCAGACGCCACGATTCGGCACCACTGCAACGACCTTACGCGAGCAATTATACGCCGCTTTCAGTTTAGCCACATCCAGAAAACTCAGACCAAATCACTGGCCCATCCATGGCGACGGGAAGCTAGCCTTGGAAACAAAAGCTGGTTTGTGGCGATCTGCGGCCACTTCCAAGCCGTATTGCATCAGCGACTCCTCGTCATAAGGCAGGCCGAAAGTGGTCATTCTCGTCATTATCTGGTAGTCCATGGCCGGGACAACGGTTTCATGTTGCCGGGAATTACACGGATGTGCTCGTCGCGATCCGGGCGACTGTGTTCGTGGAGAAATCCCAGCACGTGCAGCATTTCGTGCTGGATGATGCATCCTCATACGGGTTTCTCGGCCGTCAATACGCCCAATTCCCGAGTGACATCTGCTCGAACAAAAATCTTTCTGTTAATTTTAAATCCCAAAAAGGATTTTTATTATAAAATTACACGGCAGTAAATCCGTTTATGCGTGCAACTGAAATGAACTGCTGTTCGGTGGTGCGCTTTCTAAAGGTCACGCAGTTGTTGGTTCGCCATTCGATGGAGTGGATCTCCTTCTTGATGGTTCTCCTTTCCGCGTCACCTGGAAAACTGGCTTGGTATTCGCTGACAAAATATAGATAAACGTGTCCATAAAATACGTACTGTTGTCAACTAACGCATTCAGCGCATCAAAATTAGATCTTATACGAGTAACTCACTGAATCCCCTCAGTTCGTAAGGAATACCCTGTCCGTTGTTGGGCCAGTAGCCGTTCGGTGAGAGGTAGCCCGTAGCGGAAAGAAAATGCCGGTATCCGCTGCTGTCCTCGTCGTCCCAGATGATGTCGTTCAGCCACACCAACTGGTCGTCTGGACCAATGAACAAGCAAGGCATGTACAGTAAAGTGCAGTTCCGACAAAAATACAGCTGGTGCTCACCTGACGGCGAGCAAAATGCCGTAGTAATCCACAATAGACAGGGCAAACTTGCCGCGAGTGTCAACCGCATCGTCGTATCGCCGTGGTATTCACAAAATACTACGGTACTTCTGACTGAATTAAAGAAGCACAAAGAAAATACAAAAGCGCGAGCAACATTCAAAGAAAACATTTGCAGTCGCTTTGCGTATGAACTGTACACAGAAGTTACAGCAATCACCATTTTGATAATGAAGTGAGCACTGCCGGATAAACGTCATTCCCACGGTTCCGACAATCAAAGTCCCTGCACGCTCCCAGGCAAGCGTGCGCAATATCCTCAAAAATCCGATTGGATCGGCGGCTCACGTGTCGCATGACTGCACGGATAGCGCTGTTGCCTAGATTTGACGTCTGTGGCCATCTAGCAGTTACTGATAGTATCGCTACGTGTTCTTCTTGCGGAAGGTGAAAACGAGCATATTGTGGGTGTCGCATATTACGGGGAGTGCGTTGACAACTTGTAAAATCTATGCATACAAACAAGTGACGTAGGGACCGCTCAGAAATAGGCTTGTATATATGGCTCCCAACGTGTTTGAGCGACCGGGTGTGCGGAGGTGCCAGCCACCTCGCATGTACACATACAAGTAGCCGATCGGCCCATCTGACTGCCAATCGATCTCCAAAATTTGGAAAACTTATCTTTCGTTTATCTCTCAACGGATCTTGCCAAACGACATGTCAGAAGATGTAGAATTAAATTTCAAACTTTTTAATAGCTAGCAGGTGACTATTTATGGCGAATCAAGAAAGTTGTGGCTGTTTTAGTTTCTCGTAGACATAGCATAGGGCCGTGCGAGGAGGCGTTGCTTCCACCCCATGTTAAGTCTACGAGAAACTAAAACAGCCATAGCTGTCTTGATTCGCCATAAATAGCCACCTGCTAGCTATCAAAAAGTTTGAAAGTTAATTCTACATCTATTGGTATATCGATGGGCAAGATCCGTTGAAAAGAAAATGAAAGATGAATGTTTAAAATTTCGAGATCAACTGGCAGCTGGTCCAGCTACTTGTTTGTATGCGTGCAAAGGGGTGGAGTTACATGCATACACGTAAGGGCCTTACGTGGATGGATTTTTGGCACCGTCTTCATACACGCATACATCTAGTTTGCGCGGCAGCGAATCGCTGCATCGTGGGTTCGGCCGTGACGTCACGTGTTTGTATGTATAGATTTCGTGTATAGATGAAGTTTGCAAACGCTAACCCACTATTGTGAATGCTGCGTACTGCACACATACATTCTGCCGCGAATGTACCATACATCTCTGCAGACAACAGTTCTACGTATTAGACTGTTTGTCGCGCGTCGCTCTTACTTATTTCCGGTTGGAAACAACGGTTTCCGTCTACAGAAAAACGATGCAACTGTCCCTTTGCTGGATGAGCTTGGTGGCTATTGTGGACTGCAGGCGCGTTGCCTGCTCAAGCCGGTAGGATATTTCTCTGCCATACTAGAATAGCAGCTCCTGTCAGTTTCTTGTTGGATGTCGTTTCTGATCAGAATCTTCTACATACATATTTCTGCTCAGTTGGGCTAGTATGATCATCGCTCGCTGTGGAGTGCTACACAGCGACCGTTCCAAAAATCGCACTGGAGGTCTCGTTCAGGCGCATGGCGCAGCCGCCGACGCGCATGATTGAGCTGGTTCTCCATGATTCACCGCATGTTAACGGTGAAACCCTGGAACAAATCCGCTGGCAGGTGCTGGACCCAGCCGCTTAACGGGGAAACTGCGCGGAATGGCACTGGGCAATATGCCGCGTTCCAGGCCAACGAATGCAGCAGTGGTCTGGTTACATGCCGGCTGGATTTCAGCACGTCGCACAAGTTGCGCGTCATCATATTTGACCGGTGCGTGATACTGGCGGTGGAGATTGACAGTTTCTTCTATCTGCTGGATCTGCGAGTGTTAACACTGGAGTACCACGCAGCAGTGGTAGAGGTCAAGAAGCAGTACTGTGATCCGAGTTTTGCTTGGTATCGGCGCTGGTTATCCCGAAACCCGTATTTGAACCTAGATCGCGGATCGAGGACGATCGCGGACGTTGATCGTGGATTGTCGAACCCGGCGTTTGCGCACAATGCTCTGTACATGGCGGATATCGGGTGCGACTGATAAAGCCCCTAAATAATCTGTAATTTTAAAACGCTCTGGAGGTCGGCCAGTTCTTTGAATTGTGATGTCGGACGACAACAGCACCTTCCCTTTTAGCACACACTGCACAACCAGTACTTCCGCATGTTTGTGTGCCTGATTATGTTCATGCTTCATTCGTATCCGGTCGTATGTAAAGCTACCGGAAAAGCCTGGTTATACAAATAAAAAGTGTACGCTCTTATAAATTTGTTTGTACAAAGGTCACACATAATGCTTATAGTTTGCAGCCTGTTTTTGCTGCAACCGGTCTTGCAGTACTTGCTAGTTAGTCTTCGTTTCGACTTTGGCTGTCTACCTCACCGGAAATTGTTGTGAATAAATCTTCACCAGAAACGCTGAGGCAGTTAATCCACTAAGCAGCAACGCGATGGACACAGACTTGCAATTGGTTCCCAATAAATAATTTTTAATTGGTGCCGTGGCAAATTTTTTGAGCGTTTCGCGATGGTTGAAAGAATTCCACTTCCTGATCTTCTGTATTAAGGCGTTAAACGAATTGGCGATGCAGTTATCCAGTTCTTCAATGATCACTAAGCAGATATGTGTCCAATTTTTCAAGATCCTCGATCTACAGCCTTTTTGAGACAACGTTCAAGTCTAGCAGTAGTCAGAGGCAGAGCTGTTTTGGGTATTCTTAGCACACGTCCTAAAACCACGAAGGACACTAACGATTTTGGATGTTTTTTAATGTTTAAAATTTAATTCTGTGAATTAGTGTAAAATGTGCGCTCGCCTATTGACACATGCGCTGACGGATGCCGAATCTACCATTTTTCAAAATGATGAGGAAGGAAAACCATCAAAGAAGCATTAGGAGAAAGTACACATAATTGAATGGCGCACCAGCAACGAGCTGAAACCCGAACATGCCGTGAACCGTCAAAGCGGGTTCAAGCCAGTGAAACTTTTTCGATAATCTAGGACGACAGTCCATTCAGGTGTTACACTAAAGGACGAGTGAACAACTGGCCTCCAAGACATTATACTGCGCGCTCAAAATGTCAGCAAAACCGAAAAATGGGCACCGAACGGCTGTTCGGTCGGGGATAGCCGGTCGTGGTCTCGCTACTGTTGCCACGATCCAGGGATGTCATCAAGCGGTAAAACACGGATCTCTTGGATCAGCCAACTCGCTGTTATAGTCAACGTCATATATAACTGATGTCGTTAATCAGAAAAATATGGTCTTTGGGATTAACAAATTCGCTGCTGTTGTCGTCGTCCCCAACAATGTCCTGGAACAAAACATGACCTTTTGTAATCAACGAACCAGTTAACAAAAACGTTTAACACAGACTCTAGTGATCGCAAAAGCCGAAACGCTGCCAGATTAAGGAATAGCGCTTGCTAACGGCGAGGAGGTCCCCATCAAATAGCATAGAAAGATCACACTGTGCAGTTCGTTTCCGTTCAAAATGAGACAAAACCATATGACGATGGGTAACCCTAAAGACGCAACACATTGTATGCTGTGTTTATTTAAGAATATACAAAATACAAATACCAAAAAAGGAATCTTGCAGCTACTCTGTATAGTTGTGTGCTTTAGTGAAAAAACCGCTCCAGCGCTTGTCATCTTAGCTTTTCAGCAAAAAAATTTCATTGCTGTTTTTGGTTCAATGTAGTTGGCGCATTCTTCGCAAAGAATTTCGTAAGTTAGACTTCCGCCAAATTATATCGTAACACGAGACTGTTACCCAGTTTGTACTAGCATTGCGGTACTTATTAAAGTTTAACCATATACTATCGACGACGGCAGACTTCACTAATCATAAGCGCAGTGCACCGGACCCAGACATCACACCGCAGTTGATTCATTTATACGTTTGCACTGCTTTAATTTTATCTACTCAGTAGTGCTTCGCGCTCAGTTGCGGGGAAACTCATAACTGCGTGTTAAGCCGCTGACGCGCAGTCAACTTTATTAGTTAATCATGCTTATCCAGCAAGTGCAGTTCCCAGTTTACTTCCCTACATTATATAGCGAGGAGAACCATCAAAGAAGCGTTGCAAATTACTGACAGCCACGCCAGTAAATGCTTGCTATTTGAACGAGTCCCTCAGCATCAATCCCAATGAGCGTCACGATTGACTCCGATCAACGTAGTCTTTGTCAGTAGGTTAGAATAACGATTCATTTCGGAGTACAAGGGAAGACCAATGAAAAATTTGTGTTCCTTCGCATCGTACTGCGCACTCATCCGGTCCGTGTAGCACATTAGGGATATCGTGTCCGCTGGTGGTCAGCGAGCGGTTGCTCGGTGTGTGCGGGATGGCTGACAGAGCCCGAGGGCACCATTTCCAGTGCACTGCTGTTGTCGTCGGCATCCGGCCAGATGATGTCGTTAATCGCCAGACGACGGATAGCCAAATCGTGCTCGTAATCCTCGTCTGTTCTTCGGCGGTTGTTATACGAGCCTGTTGGATCAAAGAACAAGTAAAAAAATTACATTCCGTTTGCAGTTAAAGCGAAGACGCTGACCGGTTAAGATACAGCTAATGCGTACCTGGCCGCGGGTAGCTGTCCGCGAAAACTCCCGTAGTCCACAGGATCAGCGCAAGACTTGCCGCAAGTGCCCAGCGCATCTCCAGTGTATCAATGAAAGGAGCTGCTTTCCCCTGGAAATCCGTAGAAAACACAATAAAGCACAGGAAAAGAAGCTTAGCGGAAAAGATGTTTATATAAAAGCTCACGATCGCTTCGCAAAGCCTACTGCCGCAAGTGCTCGACATTAATTTTGAAACGTTGTCGTGGAAACCAGCACTGTCTAATTTAGTCAGCGATATTACTTAAATGACGCAGACCATAGTACTTATTACGAGTAACACGGCATTCCAACTGCTAGGGTATTTCTTGTATAGCTCGCAACATGAAGCCGGTTCAGTGCATTGATATAAAATACCACGAATTCGATACCGAGATCAAAGGCAATAATACAAGCCAGCCACAAGCGAAAACATAAGCACTGTACTTATATGGGGCCGAAACCAAACACGGTAACACCGTTCCCTTGTACTGCTGCCCTCACCCGCCTGGTGAGTGTGGCGTAGTGGCCGAACATGGCCCTAATGTACCGCGCCTGATTTAGCCATATGTATTGCCGTAAGCATTAAAGCAGCCCTTGTCGTTACAATTCCGTGGTCGCCTTTTCCAGCCTGTATATGTATACAAACAGCGCGGCACTTGCTAGAGGCTTTGGTCGCCATAGTGATCAGGGCGTCCGAATGAGGAGAGGGTATAATGGGCTCGAAGTATCGCAGCAAGCGGTATTAACCGTTCTTGGAAGCCGTGCCCATGAAGTGCTAGCATCACCATTTCCGCTTAGTACAAGTACCTCGTACAAAGTGTTGGACTCCAAAAAGAGGAAACCATCCAATGCGCATTCGCGCCACCATTCAATGTGTCCTGTTGTCTTGAAACGTCTCGATCTCTGTATCGTTATTTAGTCGAACCGGTTTACTGGTCCATTACGTTGCGCAAGCTCATAAGTAGTCGGTTAATTACAATTAATGGAGGGTCATATGTCTCTGTAGTACCTTCATTATCCTCATTTGCAGTGTCGGCTGCAGCAGTCCCGCAGGCGTTGCGATGTGGCACCACTACAACATCCTTAGGTGAACAATTATACGCTGCCTTCAGTTTCGCCACATCCAGAGAGGGCTCAGACCAACCCGTTGGCCCATCCTGCGCGACGGCGAGCCTTGGATATAAAAGCCGGTTATTCGGGATCTGCGGATACTTCCATGCTGTCGTTCATCAGCGACTCTTCCCCATACGGCAGACCGCAAGTGACCATTTTCGTTATCTGCGATTTACATTTGCTCGGGCAGAAATCTTCCTGTTGATTTAACATTCAAAAAGAATTCTAATTAGATGAACCTTATACAGCTGATTATCCGTTGTGGCGCGCAAAGGACATGAACTGCTGCGCGGTTGTGCGCTTTGTAAAGGTCACGCAATTACTGGTGCGCCATGCAATGAAGGGGATTTCTTTTCGATGCTTTTTCTTTCCTGGTCGCTTGGAAATTAGCTTGTTAACCATTAATAAAAATTAATATAGAAAAAGGTGACCACTATCACGGTCAACGCTGGCGAATCAAAATATAGCTCACTGAATCCTGCGAGTTTGTAAGGAATGTTTTTGTCCGTTGTTGGGCCAGTAGCCGCCCGGTGCGAGTTAGCCCGTTGAGGATATGAAATGTCGGCATCCGCCGCCTCGCTTTTGCGGTCATAGTAGTATTTTCGATACGGTTTGGGAAACGCCCATTTGACAATATCCATTGCAAAGGATGGAAGAGCATCGAAACAAACAGTGCGTAAAAACATTTGAGGCGACTGCCGTTTGCCGATCGCGAACACTTTACCGATGTTTGTGCTAAAGCATCAATGCACCATCCCGGCTGAAACTCTACAGTTTGTATTTTTATATTGCCGAACTCAGCCTTCTTCGGCAGCTCTACAGATACCGTACAGTCAGCCAGTTGCGCATGTGTCAACGTCACCAAATTGCCAACGCCATCAAAATATCAAGCGTGGCAAGCGATTGCCATGCGGTACATAAGTAATACGAAGGGCGTTTTTGATTTAATTTTAATTTATTCTCAGGATACGACTAAGGCAGCATTTTGTTCGGCTGAGAGCTAAGCGTCAGTCACATGTAACATCCGCCCGATATAGATCACTAGGTTCAAATCCCTGGCTCCACATGCCGCGATTCATTTCGCGGTTGGTCTTGTAGACACTGCCCCAGCGTCGTCTCTGGGTGAGAAACCGGTTCCTGGACAACCACTGCCGATACCACGCAAAACACGGGTCACAATGCTGCTTCTTGATCTCAACCGGGGATGCTCCGAATTCCAGAGTCATAACACGTAGATCCAACAAATACGAAAAGCTGTCCACCTCCACCGACTGTATAACGCATCTCTGGAATTTAACTACGCGCAGTTTCGGGGATGTGCTAAAGTCCAGGCTGCGTATTGCCAGACCCTGTTCGCACCGGTCAGCTCCAAACGCAATCATGTTGGTGAGCGCCATTCCGCGCAGTTTCCCTGTCATGCGATTGGTGTGACAGAACAGCATGGAGAACTCGAGGATCTGAAAGCGCAATGGCTGCAGCGTCTGCGCGGTAATGTGTGGCGAATCGTGCAGATGAAGAGCAGCAAAACGCGCCGGCGGCTGTGACATGCGACGGAAGGTGGCCAGGAGCTCTTCTTTCGTGGCAGCGCCGGTGTGGCATACCACGGCGTAGGAGTGGTGATCCGTACTGCAGCGATTTGGATCGTTAACGTTGTGCCGCCAGGAGACGTTGCAGTGGGACGAGAACTGCCGCTCACACTGCTCTGGCGTGAATGGCTGTTCGTCGATGCTCGGTACGGGATATAAGAATGTCGTACCTGGGTTGTATTCGTTAACGGCTGCGTCTGCAAGAATTCGACCATGGTTTCAATATCCAAAAAATTCATTTACTGTCATAATGTCATTTGACTACAGAAATTTAAGATCAGTCTACCAGTAAATGGTAGAAAAATGGTGATTCGGCGAAAAAAAAATTTAACGCGCCCAACTCCTTTCACGCCGAGCGCACTACGTTTTTAGATGAAGTCGGTCCCGTTTACCGGTACCATCAGTGAACTGCCTCGACAAGAAGACACAGTCGGTTACAAAGTTACTATTAATGGAACGTTATAACCCAGTACCTTCGTTCTCTGCATTTGCAGTGTTGGTTGCACCAGTCACGCAGACGTCGCGATTCGGTACCTGTACAACATTTTTACGCGAGCAGTTATACGCCGCCTTCAGTTTAGCCACATCTAGTGTGCTAAGGCCAAATCGCTGACCCATCCAGCGCGACGGCGTACCAGCCTTGGATACAAAAGCTGGTTTGTAGCGGTCTGCGGCCACTTCCAAGCCGTAGTGCATCAGCGACTCCTCATCATACGGCAGGCCAAAAGTGGCCATTCTCGTCATTATCTGGTAGTCCATGGCCGGGACCAGCGGTTTCATGTTGCTGGGAATTACGCGGATGTGCTCGTCGCGATCCGGCCGACTGTGCTCATGGAGGAATCCTAGAGCGTGCATGATCTCGTGCTGGATGATGCCCGGTGTCAAACAGTCCGGATGCAGCCTCACACGGGTTTCTCGGCCGTCAATGCGCCCAATTCCCGATTGACATCTGCTCGGACAAAATCTTTCTGTTAATTTTAAATCCAAAACGAATTTTTATTATAAAATTACACGGCTGTAAATCCGTTTATGCGTGCAATGGAAATGAACTGCTGTTCGGTTGTGCGCTTTTTAAAGGTCACGCAGTTAGTGGTCCGCCATTCTATGGACGAAATTTCTTTTTCGATGATCTTCCTTTCCCCGTCATCTGAAAAACTGGCTTTGTAATCGCTGATAAAATAGAGATTAAAATTGTCAATAAAACTTGGGTATTTACATTCCTGTCTACGTACTAACGCATTAAACTTTCAGTGAATCAAAAATATGTCGTTATACGAGTGAGTTGCTCACTGAATCCCCTCAATTCGTATGGAATATCCTGTCCGTTGTTGGGCCAGTAGCCGTCCGGTGAGAGGTAGCCCATTGCGGACACGAAATGACGGTATCCGCTGCTGTCCTCGTCGTCCCAGATGATGTCGTTCAGCAACAGCAGTTGGTCGTCTGGACCAATGAGCAAGGCAGAAATGTAAAGTAAAGGGCAGTTTAGACAACATAAAAACGCTGACCAGGTTAAAATACTTAACAAAGTGTATACCTGATGGAGAGCAAAACGCCCCAGTAATCCACATTAGACACGGGAAACTTGCCGCCAGTGTCCACCGCATCGTCGTAGTATTACAGAAAACTACTTCTGACTAAATTAAAGAAAAACGAAGCAAAATAGGCACGAGCAACATTCAGTAAAAATATCTGCAGTCGCTTTGCGTGTGAACCGTACGCATAAAATACAACAAGAAATGGTCAGCATTTTGGTAGTAAGTGAGCACTGCTGTAATTCCCACAGTTTTCGACAAATCAAAGTCTCTGCACACTCAAAGACATGCGTGCGCAATATCCTCAAAATTCCGATATGATCGTCGGCTTAAATGTCGCATGGCTGCTGATAGCGCTGCCGTCCACATTTGACGTCTGTGACCATCTAGCAGTGGCTGATACCATCGCCACTGATTTTCGTTCTTCCGGATGGTGAAAACGAACATATTGCGGGTGTACTCATAGAAAATTGTGAATATTGCGTACATTCTTTGCTGCAGATGTACCGTACACCTCTGCGAGCATCAGTTTCATTTTGCTTTTCGTGCATAGTTTTTTTTTCCGGTTGGTAACAAGGGCGGCATTCAAATTTTCTTTCCTTTTACAGAACGACGATGTACTGAAAGAATTTAGTGGCTATTATGAGGCGCGTTATCTGCTCAGTCCGGTAGGGTTATTTCTGTACCAGTTTACTAGAATAGCAGCGCGTTTCAGTTTCTCGTTGGGTGTTATTTCAGAACAGAATCTTCTATTGCTTAATAATACCATCTGGGAGGAGAGCGACAGCTGCGGACTCCATAAATTCTTTTTCCGGTACGGGTCATGTCTCAACGGATAGCTGTTGGCCAAATAGTATTCCTTAAGCAAGGGGTATACTCCAACTGAAACTGATGGGAACGCCCCTACTGGAGCAACTGGGGGTCCGAACTGACGAATTGAACCGGTTCATTTCAGCAGCCTAATACCTACCAATTATTTTTCTAAGTATGCACATACGCCGGCTCCAGATTCAGAAAACTTTCTTTTTTTGTAAAACGGTAGTGTACTCAGCACCGTACTCACATAGCATATACAGATACTTAGAAAAATAGTTTAGCCTGCTGTCTTTATCCTGCGTATTAAGACGCTTAGGCGTTGAACGGGTTACTATGCAGTCACCTTTACTAGGGTAGTTTATCAATATCCACCAAATGCATGTCCCGGTTTCGTATTCTAGGGTAGACAACGAGGAAAGGAAATCGCCGAAAAATCATTTCAACAGGGAAACCGAAACAGAATGAGAAACGAAACAAGGAATCGAGACAAGGAAATCATCAAAAAAACAAATTACTAACCGTCACGCTAGTAAATGCCTGATTTTCAACAAGCCCCAAAGCAAAAATCCCTTGGAGCGTCACGACGGACTTAGATCAGCGTACTGACTATTGATCGTAGTCTTTATCGAAAGGTTACAATTGGGCACAATTCATTTCGGAGTAAAAAGGAAGACCATACTTTCGAAAAATTTATCTCCTCTTCCCGCTCGATCGGTCCGTAGAATGCATCCGGTAGATCTTGTCCGGTGGTGAGCAGCGGACGGCTATTCGGTGTGTGCGGAATGGCTGGCTGGGGGCACGCTTTCCAGTGCACTGCTGTTGTCGTCCGCATCCGGCCAGATGATGTCGTTGACTGTAAGACGGGCAAGATCCAAAGCCTCGGAAGCACTGCTGTTGTCGTCTGCATCCGGCCAGATGATGTCGTTAATTATAAGTTGTCCCGGATCCAAAGCCTTGGATCTTCTGCGGTCGTCGTCATACCGCCCTTGTGAATCAACAAATAAGTAAAACAAATTACGTTCAAACTGTAGTTACAGTCGAGACGGTGCCCGTGCAAGATACAACTTGAGCTAGTGCATACCTGGCCGCGGGTAGCTGTCCGCGAGAACTCCCGTAGTCCACAGAATCAACGCAAGACTTGCCGCAAGTGTCCAGCGCATCTTTACCTTATGAACGAAATGAGCTGTACTCCACTGGAAACCAGTAGAAAACGCAATGAATGCAAGGGAAGCAAATAAGCGGAAAAAAGTGTGCATATAAAAGCTCACGATCGCTTCGCAGATTGTACTGTACGCAAACAACCTACAGGAGCAAGTGCTCGACATTTGACGCGTTGTCCTGGAAACCAGCACTATTCCTCTGATTTAGACTGAGCGATATTAAATATTATTAAATGACGCAGATACTGCTTCCGAGCAACACGGCGTTCCAATTGGATGAACGACATGTCAGTGTCGAGTGTGCCAGAGCCTGACTACTGCTAAAATACTCCGAATATTGGATAGAACAAATGAACAATACCGAGATTAAAGACATTAATATAAACAAGCCCAGCACGGATGAATAATGTCTTAGGATTTCGAGCATGTAAAAAGGTTAACTGCATATGTATTAAATAATGGCACGATGTTCATTACATTAAGGACGAACAAAATAAACAGGCGTGAGCAGAACCTGTTATTTCTGCTGATTCACAGTTCGCTAATTTCAATGACAATTCGATATAACACATAGTAGCAATCTGGGGATTTACAAACAGCCCATGTTAAGCTAATGGCCACCATGGCAACAAGCTTTTGAGTGACCACTGGACTGTGGGTAGTGGGCTTTCCAGAAAATTGATGATGCAGGAACACTCTCGACACTGAGAGGATTCTGTAGCACTTTAGAGCGTGCAGATTGGATGTGTGGAACGGGAGAACATTCGCTCCATCGGCAAAGTGTCGAGGACCCTTGTTACTTAGTTAGTATTCATATAACCAGTTATAAGCGAACACACACATACTAGTACTTATAATATGGACGCAATTACTGATAACGACGTAATTTGAGTCGATGTAGGTTGAGTCTTTAGGCATAGTGCGCAAATAAGCGTTTCTTTATTAGGTTTATCAGGGTGATTCGAGTGTTATTAAAAAACATTTATGCGAATTGGATGTATTCCTATTACGGGCTGGTTGCCTGCTTGAATCTTTGATTTTAGTTTGGGTACTATAATATTTTCTACATGTACAAGCTTGTCCGGTAATTTCCTACGTAAAGGTACAGCTAGCGCGAAATTTGCGCTTCAAACGATGGCCACGTCACTACGCTTATCTGATTGCCTAAATGCGCTCACGCAGTTAGATCGTCCATTACCACACCGACCGTTTTTTAGCCACCTTACGCCAGGCAGTTACTGTTATTCTCATTCTCATTGAATTATATGGCGTGTACCAAGCCACCAGCCAGCCAAATGCAGGTTACGTGTTTAAACAGTGTGGCGTGGCGCGCCGTAGTGTGAAGTTTGGCGTAACACGCAAATTTGTGCAGTTCGCTGTATTGATTCGTCAGAAATTACCGGACAAGCTTGTACAGTTTATTTTCGTAATTCTATGGAGCTGCGGAGTCAGTGCGGATACGCGCGCGGCTTACAGGAATTGTTACCGCTTGCTGTGGTGCATCGAGTGTATGTACCCTTTCGCATCGTACCCACGACCCTTATCGCTACGGTGACCGGAAAGTCAGTCGCTTCACTGCGGCTACTGTCCCGCTCTATCCGTATACTGGCCGGAAAAGATATGACGTGACTATAACTTACATTTTAACTTTTGCGTCCACCAGTTCTTGGATTAATGTAAATTTAGATGTATCGCTGGATAAACCGTATTCTCACGGTTTAAGGTAGTTACCAGACGAGCATGTGCGATATGCTGAATCGTCCGATACGATCGCTGCATGATATGTCGCATAACTACCGGTAACGTTGTCCCACCAATGACGACTGAAACTGTTTACAAGTGGCTGATAACATCGCTACCGTATTCTTTGTCCGACGGTGGGAACTGAGCATTTTGCGGGTGCAACAAGTTGAAAATGTTGCATACGTTCTTGCCGTGGAGGCCTTCTACATTTCTGCATACATTAACCGCCCTGCTTACACACATTGCGAAAACTTCCTACTGAAAACGGCAGCGTATAACAGCCATTATCCACGCAAGCGACCATGCACTACACAATTACTGCAAGTGTTTTGTGTCTACTGGGAAATAAAGGCGCGTTGTTTTCTCAGGCCGGTAAGAATAAATGTTTCGACCTTACTTAAAAGCTGCAACCCCGTATCAACAATTCGTTCCTTACACCACAACTGTCGCTCGCTCTTAGTTGTAGATCGTCTGTTGTTCAATGACATCATCTGGGAGGAGGACAACGACAGTACTAGTGGTCTCAGTAAATTCGTTCCCCAAACAGGATATCTCTCGCCGGATAGCTATTGGTCCTGTAACATGATTTATCATGTGTACATGCACAACGTATGTACTGGTCGTTGGCATAACAGTAACAGTGAGTTGTTACACAACTCACTGGCCAACAGAGTTGTTACACAATGCATAAGTGCCGGTTGGCGTTCGAGCCACAGTGCGTTGCTGTATAACGCACTGGCCAACAAAGGCATATTACGCAACACGGAAGTGCATCCGTTTGAATGTCATAACTTCTATTCACTATACGCCAATAACGTTGTGTAACTGGACGTTGTCTTGTCCATCTGTTCTCATATATAAGTCCTATGTTTTCAATACTAAAAATCGTTGATAGTTTTAGTCAGTCTTAGATCAATAAAGACTTATACCATCTAGCCAGCTTTGAGTTACAGTTAGTAAGAACCTACGTTACAGTCCAATGACATTCCTTATGCGTTACAAGGATTCAGTGAGTGCGCTGGTTTTTGATTTGCCCACCTAACTAAATGAATTGCCCACTAATCATAGAATACAGTAAACGCACTTCTGAAAACAAATTTTTCAGATGCCCATGAGCAACAAATTTTGGAAAGCAACCTGCAAACCATTGAACGGCTTACTAGCGACTGCGTCCGATTTAGGGAACGCAGATCTGAGCAGGAATTCATTAAAATTCAGCGTTCCACCGGATTTCCAGCAATGTAAATGTAGCTATTTTTTTCATATGCCTGTATTTGTTTTAATTCAATTTGGCGATACAATACAGTCACAAGTTTCCATAAAAGTGAAAGAATTGTACTGAATACACAGCCGCAGCCGACTACGGAAATGAGCGGCCTAATCACACAGAACATTTCGTCTAAGTTGGCCGATGCTGGTGCTGTTCCCATGACAGAGGCCGCGTTCCCGCGTTGGACGTCAATGCTGATCCGTTGGCGCAAAAACTCCGTCGCCCGTACCTCGCCTGTTTCCTGTTGTATCATCTTCCCGACTTCGGTCACCAAACGAGAAGCATCCGGTCCGAGTGGTCCAAGTGTTTCGACGCCAAATGCGCGGAACAGGTAATCTCGAGTGAGTTCCCGATACTTCGCCACTTTATCCTGCTCTGCGCGCGCCGCGGCTGCTCCCGCTTGCTTCGATGTTGCCGCGATGTGCGACAAAGCTACCGTGCACACGCATGTGGCGTCCCAGGTCAACATCTTTCCTCTTTCCCATGGGACCAAAGTCACTCCGTCGGGGCGCTTGCCATTGGTTAGGCAAGTACCAGGTGGTTCCAGTTCCGTTTCAATACCTGCGGAAGCAAAGGCGCGCTTTAAAGTGACATTGATGCAGCTGTGCCTGGGCTTCGGGCCCCGGCTTTTTTTACAACTCAGGCCATGGTATCCTCGCGCATCGGCCCATTCACCACAATTGCAACGGTGTGGAATGGTGACTGGTACGCCGAGACGCAGGCCGACAGCAATTCTGAGTGTGGTGTCGTTTAGGAAGTTACCGAGGGATGCGGCTGGAAGTGCTTCCAGCCATGCGCCATTATCCTTAGTGCTCACACCTCGAAGACGGGCTTCACTTGACATGTCTGACTGAGCTGCCGCCAGGAGGGTTTCCACCGTGCCGTGGATGATCGGTTCATCCCAAATCTTCTGGTGTTTTCTGGTTTTGAAGGCCGGAAGGTCCGCTTTGGTCATTTGTTGCCACTCTTCTGCGGCGTCGCAACAATAAATTTCCGGGTCGAAATCAACTAACTCGCTAGTCAGTTTAGCCACTGAGTAAGCCGAGGCCAAAAAGGCCGGAAGGGCCAGCTTCTCAATGCTCCGGATTCCGAGACCACCCTGTGAGACGGGAAGTGCCGCTTGCTTCCATATGGCTTCGGTAATGTTCACATTGGTAATTCGCGACAGACAGTCTATGATCATTTTGTCGAACTGTCGCAACAACTCCGTTTGCAGGTAGCACCGCGCAGTTCGCAACCTGTAAATCATTCTTACCGGACCCATGCTGCATTTCAAAAGGTACAACGCGTGGTGGGCAGGCAGCAGTGTTAAGCGCTGTGTCATCCTGGCAATCTTCTCCGTTTCAACAGCAAGGGTGCCTGCAACCGCGTCATCGTGGAGTGGCGCGCCGAGGTAGTTCAACTCGTTCAGGTGCGGCAACTGCAAGTCAGGGAACGATTGGAGAAATGCGTCAGTTACCCTTTGGCGATCGGTTTCGGACCCTCCGATCACTACCAATGTAGCTATTGCCCTAGTATCTTACCGTTGCACCGGGGTTATCCGTTCAAATATGGACTGTTTTCGTTTAACAGTTGTCAAGCGGGAATCGGCCGCCATGCCGGCCGTCCAACCCCAGTCAGACTGCATTCGCAGTGTTTAACACCCGGCATCATACAGCACGAAATCCTGCATGCATTGGGATTCCTGCATGAGCACAGCCGCCCGGATCGGGATGAGTACATCAGTATAGTGGCCGGTAATATGCGGTCGGAGATTAGAGAGAGCGACTACCAGAAAATGCCGAAAATGGCCACGTTTGGCCTGCCCTACGATACGGAGTCCATCATGCACTACGGCAACGAAGTGTCCAGAAGTCCCGACAAACCAGCCATCGTTTCGAAGAGAACCCCGCCGCCCCGCTGGATGGGACAAGATCATGGTCTGAGTCCGCTGGATATGGCCAAGATTAGGGCTGCGTACAATTGCTCCCGAATGGCGGATGTCTCACGAGTGACGAATCAGGACGCTTCAGCTTGCTCTACTTGTGCCATAGATGCTGACCATGAGGAAAGCGAAGGTACAGTACTACGTAGCATAGCCCGTGCGTACCAAAACTGTAGTGTACTGAGCTTATTACAGACTTTGCCGTTGCCGAACGAGATCTCTCGTTCGTATTTCCCGTGCCCAGCATGGAGGCAATACCGTTTACAGACGAGCAGTGTGAACGGCAATTTTCCGCAGTCTGTAACAGCAGCTGGCTGCACAACAAGATTGGATCGGACCATCGCTGCGATCCTCAACTTCCCTATTACGCTGTGGAGTGCCACACGGCGACTGCCCCGACAACCGCTCTCCTGGCCACGTTCCGCCGCATGGCACTGCCGCCGGCGCGAATGATTGAGCTGCTGCTGCATGACTCTCTCCTTCTGCGCGGTGAAACGCTGCAACCGATCCGCTTGCAGGTGATGAGGTTGGTTGTAGACGATTGTCATGCTCCCCGCATGACGGGGAAACTACACGGAATGTCGCTCAGCAATATGTTGACCTTCGAAGTCAGGCATTGCTCCCGCGGCCTGGTCATACGCCGACAGGACTTCAATACATCGCACAAGTTGCGCATAATTGCATTTCTGAATTGTGTGATACAGTCGGTGGAGGCGGATAGTTTCTTCTATTTGCTCGATCTGCGTGTATTAACCCTGGAACGGGACACATCACCGGCGGAGGTCAAGAAGCAGCGTTGTCACCCGCGTTTCGCCTGGTATCGGCAGTGGCTATCCAGACATTCCTATCTGATCAAGGACCGCGAACGGGGTGGTCTTTACAAGATGAAACCTGACGCTTTCCATGGACTGTGGAGTCCACAATTTACGCAAACGTCCCTATTCAGGCAGGATGTCAGATGCGACTGACGATGTTTAAAACACCATATCGCACGAAAGATGATGTGGTAGCACTGTAACGAAGTGTATTGTGATTGTGCTAGAGTGATATACTCCTGATTTTGTGTTTTAAATTGGCGCACCGCGGACCGACTAGCCGATCTCGTAATAATAACACCGATTACAAAGGAGGAAAAAGAGTTCACGAAAGAAAACATTTCTAGGATTTATGAATTACAGAGACTTGTAAGAATCGTCGCTAATTCGATAAAGACCGTCGCTACCTGGTGTTATAGCCATCACACTACGACACTCCTTATTCTACAGATATACGTATTGTCCGGGTGGTATTTTGAAATTTATCGTTTACAAATACGACAACGTCTACGGCTATTATATATAATGAAATAACCGTCACATTGCGCTGGTATGTAGAATAAATGAAATTAGCAAAATTTAAACACAAAAATACCAAATGAAAATAACTGCAATGAAGTCGATGGCCATGGCCTCTGCACCCATTTAAACTTCAAATTTTCCTACAACTACAATCATTACTATACAAGGCACAAGCAGCTTGTCAATACAGATCAAGGCAGATCATCGATAGGTACAGTTTATCAGAAACAAATAACTCTGCAAAATGTTTCCAAAAAATAAAAATATTACGATAACCATTTAGAGCATTCTCCAAATCAAAGCAACCTGCAAGCAGCAGCCTGAATCGCACAAATATGGGCGAAGTACATATTAGCCATCACACTACAATATTTCTTAATTTAGTAGGCAATAGTAGTAGGCTACTAGGCCTTGATATAAGGGCTCTCGGGAATCATTTCCGACAACGTCAAATTGAAATGCTGCAGTAGCCAGACAATATTTTTTAACACCGATTTATTTTTCCAAATTAAATTATCGCGGGCAAAAATGAAAAGGGTGACTGGTACAACAAGGCAGTTAGCAACTGCACAGAATTTGTTTTAATTGCCTAAGATCGGTTTGGTTAGTTCAGAATTGCGCTTGGCTAAAAAAAAAGACGAAGAATAAAAATGTTTTTTGATTCAATTATCGCAGCAAAGTTGGCAAGAGTTAGTAAACTGTTAAGTAGACCTTCTTGCACTTTCCTGCAGGTTGTAGTACGAAAGTCTACTGCAGAGTGCAGAACGCTTCCGCCGTCGAGTGCTACCGATCAAACCGCGACTTGCAGGGTCAGCCGGGATAATTGTGTAGGGGCATGCAAATTAATGTAAATACACTATGTACGTTTACTTGCTGCGATACTGGTATTACTAGTTACCGGTCGAAGATGAAATTAATGTCAAAACATAAATTCTAATAATGTTGGTCCGTTATCAGCAGCTATATGCGTGCCTGGCTTACCACCGGACCGTAAAGAGGACGGTCAAGCACTATGCAGCACAACGTTCCTCGTAATTCAGCAGAAAACAACAATGTAAATCAATCAGTTCGGTTAAAAAGGCGATAATATTATTAAGTTCAGCCACCTGCGCGCAGCAACTAATCATACAAATGCTGGAAAAAAATATTTCGGGCCGGCACACTGCACTGCCATAAATGTTTAGAATGCTGGATATCAGAACGCTGTAACTGTACAATTATAACTTTTAACCTCGGACCAAATGCATGCTCCCGCTTGCTGGGAAACATCGAGCTCATATACCCCCTCCTTATACAAACGGCCTCCATTTGGACTACGGTGACACTAACGATTTTGGTTTTAATTAGTGTGAACCTGCGCAGGCGATTTGTTATGTATGCTAGCCGCAGCCGAATAGATGTACTACGGTGACCGGAGAGATACTCAATTTAATGGGACCAAAACCGTGCCATCGGTAGACTGGCCGGAACATTACCAAGTGACTGCAACAACGATTATTGTTTTCTGAACGCTTAATGTACATTTCAACTTTTTCATTCACTAGCGCAGGTTGAATGCACTGTTAACTGAATATTGCCGGTTAAACTTTTTTCTGGCGGTTTAAGACAGTTTTATCACCAAGCGTAAAGCAGCTGATAGATGGATATAACTATTTTTGATGGAGTAAGGCTAAAGGTTGAATTGTGGATATAACTAGAGGTCATCGAAACCCAATAAACTGACGACAGCATGTAATAATCTCAAATACTTAAGCCAAGAGAGTTTGCCGTCGCTAAACCCAACTAGACAGACTGACCGTTCCCGATCCTTCAAACGTCACTGTAGACATCAGCTAGCTTTACAACTTTCAAGACAGTTGACATTACCAGCTATAGTACAACGGAATCTTTTGGAAACACAACAGAATCGCCGGCATTAGGGACTCACACCACGAGTCATGAGACAATTATCAAAATCCTTACACCAACCACAGATCAAGAAATTATCGATTAGTTGAAGTGCCAGACACTCTCCAGTTGGGCTGTGGGCCCCTCTTAATTGGCTGCTTATGATGATTCATAACTCCTGTTATCAGTGTTATGGAATCATGGGGAACGTACGACTGCGCTTAATCAAGAGACGTACTAGCCATGACAGTTTCGAACTTTCGACGAGCTGCACCTTCCCAGACCAACACGCGCAACATCAGCAAACGCTCGATAAGATCGGTGACTTATCTCCTGCTTAACTACGAGAACTGCTTAACTACGATCCCGCGAAATTAATGACGACTGAAACCGTTTAACATTGGCTGATAATATCCGAGAAAGCTAAACATATTGCGAGTGCAATACGCTGAGAAGCGAGCATACATTCCTGCCGTGTTGGTCCTCTGCATTAAACATTTACTATCGTGCAACGCGAATACTCCTCCACACCGGAAACTGCTGTGTATAACAGCCTTTATCAGTCCAAAAAATGATTATAGACTGTATATGTGCTACAAGCGTTGTGTGGCTGTTGGGGATTACAGGCGTCTTGTGTTTTCAAGCCGGTAAGGTATCGGTTCGTTATACGGTTCTTCACTCTTACTACATCAACAACGCGTTTCGAGCAACACGATTCATCTTCACTCTTCCATTTCACTTTGTAGAGTCAGCAGATAAGAATCCTATGTTGTTCAACGACATCATTTGGGAGGAGGACAATGACAGCGGGCTCGGCAAATTCGTTCCCCAAACGGGATATCTCTCGCCGGATAGCTATTGGCCCAGTGATATTCCTTATGCATTACACGGATTTAGTGAGTTTACTGGTTTGATGGTTTGATCCAACTAGCGTTTCTCCATGCCTTTATACCAATAAGACCTTTTCAGGCGACGACGAACGGAAACTCGTGGAAAGTAACCTACAGACTATTGAACGGCTCACCAGCGACTGCCTCCGGTTTAGAGAACGCAAATCCGAGCAGGAATTCATTCAATTTGAGCGTAAAAGCGGATTTCCAGCAATGTACCCTTAATTACCTTATGTACTGAACTGCAGTAGTGTGGGTAGTCATATCATTCATATGGAATGTTTTCCCGTCAACAGATGTCAAGCGGGAATCGGGCGCCACGCCGGCCGTCCAACCCTAGTCAAACTCCACCAACAGTGCTTAACATCAGGCATCATACAGCATGAACTCCTGCACGCGCTGGGTTTCCTGCACGAGCACAGTCGCCCGGATCGAGATGAGCACATCAGCATAGTAGAGGATAACATGCGACCGGAGGTCAGCAAAACCAATTACCAGAAAATGTCGAAAATGGCCACGTTTGGCTTGCCGTACGACGCGGAGTCCATCATGCACTACGGCCTGGAAGTGTCTAAAAGTCCCGACAAACCAGCCATCGTATTCAAGAGGAGCCCGCCGCCCCGCTGGATGGGCCAGCAGTATGGCCTGAGTCCGCTGGATGTGGCCAAGATAAGGGCTGCGTACAATTGCTCTAAACTGACGTTTAAGGACGTCCCAAGTGTGGCGAATCAGGACGCCTGTGCTACTTGTGCCCAAAATGCTGGCAATGAGGAAAGCGAAGGTACATTAAGCCTGATTAAGGTGCATGCCAATTTACAGACTATCCAAGCTTGTCCCGTAATTTCCTGCATAAAGGTACAGATAGCGAAATGACACTATAGTTATCGGCCGTAGTAAGAAATCGGCGTAACCCATCAATTCATATTTTTCACTGTAATTTTGGATAGGAAATTACGGGACAAGCTTGTATATACCTGACCTGGGCAGCATTTTTGATTATCTAGCTTTGTCAGATTTTTCGGTTATGAGTTTTGTTGTAATTTTGAAGCGTACCTCGCTTCCCAAAAAGAATGATCAATCAAATACATCCTCTAAGTAGTATACATATCATATACTAAATATAAAATAAAACATAAATATAAATAGTATACACAGTTTTTCTTTTCTTCGGCTTTTGCAAATAATTTACCAATCAGTCCAAAAAATGACGAACAGTATATTACAGACTTCGTCGTCGACGAACGAGCCCTCGCATTCGTTTTTCCCATGCCGAGCATGAATACACTACCATTTACAAAGGAGCAGTGTGAGCGGCAGTTTTCCTCCGTGTGTAACATCAGTTTGCTGCACAACGAGATTGGGCGCTCCCCCCTTCGCTGCGATCCTAGCCGCCCTTACTACGCCGTGAAGTGCTATACAGCGACCGCTACGACCGCCGCCCTCCAGGCCACGTTCCGCCGCATGGCACAGCCGCCGGTGCGGATCATACAACTGCTGCTGCAGGATTCTCTCCACCTCCGCGGCGCAACACTGCAACCGATCCGCTTGCAGGTGATCGAGTTGGCGTTAGACGAGTGCCATACCAACCGCATGACGGGGAAACTACGCGGAATGGCGCTCAGCAATTTACTGGCTTTTCAAGCCAGAAAATGCACCCGTGGTCTGGCTATACGGCGACTGGATTTCAGCACCTCGCACAAGTTACGCGTTATTGAATTCTGGCAGTGTGTCATACAGTCGGTGGAAGTGGACAGCTTCTTCTATTTGCTCGATCTGCGTGCTTTGACCCTGGAATTGGGCGCATCCCCGGCGGAGGTCAAGAAGCAGCACTGTGACCCGCGTTTCGCCTGGTACCGACACTGGCTGTCCGGAAACTCCTATCTGATCAAGGAGCGCGAGTGGGGTAGTCTCTACAACACCAGCCATGAAATGTACCGCGGCCTGTGGAGCCAAAGATTTGAACCCCATAAGCTCTATCAGGTGAATGCTACATGTGGCTGATGCAAAATAAAATCTTAACCAACCAAAATGCCGTTTTATTCGTCTCCTGAAAACCAGTATAGCGAAATTAAGTACCGACGTTTTTCACATGGCGCACATTTTCACAATTTCGAATCACTGTCTCGTCTTGGCACAGATATGTATTGTGCCACTCTGGCCGGATAGATACTGAATAGTGATAACAATGAAATACTCGTAGTACCACATAAAATGCGTTCTCTACAGGTCAACACAACCATGCGGGTTACTACGCTCTAATATGGCGCGCAGCCACTACACTACACATACGCAGCATATAATTGCTGTTTTTATATACAGTAACTGTAACACAAGAGCACCACTTAACAAAAACTCATACATAATTTAAAGGCAAAAAACGCATCTGCCTATCTCCATCATGTCGCTGAAGGTACCGAGAACAGAAACTGCATTTCCTCGCTGAATCTCGATACCAATTCTTTGGCGTAAACTCGCGATACTCTTCCGAGGGTGAGCTGCCTGTGCCGTCCTGGATCGTTTTTCACAGTTCTTCGAAGAATTTCTTGGGCAGTAGTCCCCAATCCCCATGTACTCGTATGTAGCTCCCATGCCAGCGCTCAAACTATGTAGCGGTCTGCCAGCCCGTTATACTTTCCTTCTCCCGGATTTCCTGTATTTCTGGTGCACTCCGCGGCACCCTGAACGTCTGAGTGATATGTACGTTTGGGCAAACGACAACAAGGAGGGGAAACGGCAACATAACTCGGTTTACTGCTCACTTCGCCGGGCCTAGCCTCAACATCTATCGGAATACCAGATCAGTCTCAATGAGCAGGTGAGAGAAATTTTTAACTGGTTTCCCGCTGGAAAACCGTACCTCTGGGTGTCAAACACTGAGATTGATTTGCAGTCGCGAACAACAAACAGGATGACCTATCCAGTCAGGCTCGGCTGCGCGGCGTGAGCACAAAATAGAATGGAGCTTGGCTAGAGGCGCTACCGGCAGCATCACTTGGAAGCCTGCTGACAGACTCTGCTCTGAGAATCGCTGTTGGGCTACGCCTCGGAGCAGCTATCGTCTCTCCGCACCATTGCGTCTGCGGGGACTGGGTGGACGCTCGAGGCTACCATGGCCTCAGCTGCAAGAAAAGTCGAGGCAGGAAGCCCAGACACAGCAGCTTGAATGCTGTCTGTTAACGAGCATTCGCATCAGCCGGAATCGAAACAGAACTTGAACCAGCGGGCTTATGTCGAACGAATGGCAAGCGCCCGGATGGCGTTACGTCAGCACCATGGGAAAGAGGAAGAATGCTGACATGGGATGTCACCTGTGTCTGTACGGTGGCAATATCGTATATCTTGGCGACATCCGTGCGAGCTGGAGCAGCGGCGGCAAAGGCCGAACAGGAAAAGGTAACCAAGTACCAGAACATCACCCCGGACTACCTGTTCAGCGCTTTGGGCTTTGAAACGCTAGGACCAAACGGACCGGAAGCTTCCCGCCTGCTAACGGAAGTGGGTAGAAGGGTACGGCAAGAAACTGGCGAGGCAAGAGCAGCAGAATACCTACATCAGCGCATCAGCATAGAAATCCAGCGCGGGAACGCGGCCTCCGTTCAGGGAACAGCTGAGCAGCTCCACGGGGAGCAAACTAAGATCAGTTGTTCTCTGTCCTTAGACCTCACGAGGCTGTTTTATGCTGATTCAGTGCACTGTGTTGTGATGTTAATTGTTTTCTGTAAGCTGAATGGGTATCTAATAAAAACAACGCATTCGTTTATTACTTCCAGGATCGGTTTAGCAGAAAACTGTACATAGTAGAAAAAGAGCCGACGGATCACAAGATAAAGGGTCAGATTGTACGCATTGAAACAGACAACCTCACTGAAAAAATCACAGAAATCTCTCAACTCGCGCACAGCTGCACAACATAATATCAACACATTTCCGCTGAATGACGGGACAGTTGGCGACTTGACTCAGTTTAACGGATGGCACGTCTCGCTCATATCTTGCCGCTGCCGGACTCAATCTTCTTGACCATCATGTTGACCCAGCTGGGCCGCAGACTGATCTCGCTGTCCGTGGGCGGGTGCAGTTGCGGCTCCAGCTGCGAATAACCGCCGCGCGGCTGATGATGGCCGGATGTCTTCCGCGTGGCTTTGGCGATCTCCTCTACACAACACATACCCAACTTTAATTTGCGTTTACAGCAGTAAATTTTGGGGCTGTTATTCACTATAAACAATTATCACAAATATTATTTTATTGTAATATAAAAAATAAATCCATAAAATGTCGTTTATCGACAATGTACAAAACAATGTTACTTTTAAATAACTTTTTTAGCGAAAAGTTTTAATTATATAAATTTAAAAATAAATATTTTATTTTTTCTTAATGTGTATTACTTCATTTTTACACCGAAGATCCGGCGAAGTTAGATCCACGGCTTCTTTAAAACAACGTATAAGTCTTGCAATTATTAAAGGCAATGCGGCTGCCGTTTTAGGAACTTTACCGGGAAAGAATAAATTTGTTACTAATAGTGATTTTGGTTGTCTTTTTTCAATTCTTGATTGTGCAGTGCCAGCCGTAGTGATACGAGTCATGACTGTTATGTCGCGCTGTTTACACCAAAATATTATTACCATTTTCTGACCGCTCTATATTAAAATGTATTCGGTTGATTTACGAGTATTTACCGATTTGTCTGAGTTCTGGATCGGGCGGCGCACTGCTCTTCCAGTGGGCCTTCTCCTCGAGGGACTTGATCTTCTCCTGGATGAGTTCGGAGGGCGAGGCGCGCGGGCAGAGCATGGCGGTGCGGTCGGCGATGCGCGGCGTGCTGGGGGCGCTCTTCACTTTGGGCGCGCTCGGCCGGCGCTTGATGGCCGCCTTCCGCCGGATGCTCGTCTTCGTCGGCTTGTCCAGCGAGGAGTCTGTGCTGCCATAAATGCGTCGCAACTTCGGATGGGTCAGGTTCTCCAACATGGAAGGCTTACTCCGACCAATACGTTCATCTTCCTGAAAACAAAATAATTTGGACAATTAATTAAAATTAGTAAATAAATCACAAATAATCGAATTAAATTAAGAATAAATCGAATTAAACTAGGAATTGAGTGACTTAACTAAAATTAAATTCGACAAGCAATTAATCAAAGGTCAGTTCCACACAAAAAATTATTATTCACTAAAATAATTACTTTTATAAAGCTAAATTTATGAAAAACAGTGCGATAAAATTCGAAATAAATTTTCTCAATCATGGATAAATAAATAAATTATGTTAATTGTATACTGACCTGTTCTTTGTCGCTGTATACAGCAGAATCTCCATCGCCGCACGACAAATTATCCCCCGCCAGCGTCTCCAGCAGTTCCAAGTCCCGCTCGTAAAACCCGTCGGATTCGTTGGTCTCGCTGCTGCGACACGTCGTCTCGCCCGGCTGCTCCCCGTCGGCGGGCGACAGCGTGCCGGACATGCCGGAATCCATGCAGTCCGCGTCGAGGATCTCGGCGCCCACTCCGCTACCGAAGTACGAGCTGACCGGCTTGTTATCCTCGCTGTTGAAGCTCTTGATGATGGGCTTGATGAGGACGTCTTTGGTCTGCTTGTACGCCTTTCCGAAAGCGCTGCGCAGGCCTTTGAAACGCAGGGTGCTCGTGTCGCCGGCTTCCGGCGTTTCCGGCTCATCGATCGACGGTTTCCGTGATAACTGTCGGCGCGGCGTGGATACCACGGTTTCTGATTCCTAAAAGGTCACCACACCATTTGACAAATTTAATTTGATTACATTACGTTTTTAAATTTAAATAAATTTAAATTAACGAAATTAATAAAATAAAATTTTTTTATATATGTGCATAACTTTTGTTAAAGGAAAGGTCACAAAATGTTGGTTACGTACGGATAAATCTTCCATTTAATTATTAAAACTTAATTTTTAATTTAATTATTGACATTTAAATTAACATAATTAAATGAAATTTAATTTATTTAAACTTTTGTTCATAGAAAGGTCACGCTTATACGCCGGTTGCGTACTTGGAGGCTGACACTGGAGCGGCGCCGGTCGCCGTCGGAGCGGGACAGATCCATGACGTGCGTCTCTTCGTAGAGGAATTCGTCTTCCTTCATGCGCGGCGCATACGCGTCGGTGACGGAAACGTGGAAGACGGAGGTGGCTTTGCGCTCCTTCTCCTTCTTGGGCGGCTTCCCGACCGGCTTGACAAGTTTCGGTTCCAGCGTCGCATCGAAATCCAGGACCGGTGCGGTTTTCCGGCGCATATCGCGAACATTTCGGGTATCCTATGCCAGAAATTCCATTAATAATAATTTTCGCCAATGATGAAATACTATGTATAAATCTTCTGCAAAGTATACTATGTATAAATCTATGTGTAAATCTTCTGAAAATCTTCTGCAAAGGAAAAACACATAATTTTAAAGCTTAATTTGTGCATTTTGGATTTCGTAGTCTGAAATTTTTCTGCGTGAAAGTCCGTCATTAAAGCCATTACACTACAACATTGCATGTCTTACCAGTAAGTCTTCGCGTGAGTCCTTTGAAAAAGAAATATTTGTCTGTATGTTACGTTGTAATATCGATCGTGTTCACTATTCAGTAATTATTAATAAAACGATTTTTATCATATAAATCAAAATAACGAAATGTAGTACTAAACAAATACGATGTGCAGGTAAACTTCTCTAGAATAGGAAATGCAGTATCTGTTCTTGGGACTTTTAGTGACATGGTTGAGAAGGAAGATGTGTAATGGTGTATTTTGCCTTTAAATTAGCTGAACGGCAATGATGCCAAGGATTTTGTTCCTGTTACTTGTGCAATACGCGATGTAACAAGCGAAAGTACCGTAGCACTAAAGTGCAGTATGTGAGATGTAAAGAGAATGCGTTAACTGTAAGCGGTTAAATATACTGCAGCGTTCTCACCGTTTTGATGACGTATTCCCGTGCGGGGCTCTTGGTGCGGCGTTTGGCCAGGTAGTCGGGCGCGGCGTTGGCGGTGGTGAAGAAGTTGCGGAAGCGGCGCGTGGCGGAGTCGGTGTCGTTGGCCGGCTGGTTGACGGCGCCCAGCTCCATCACCAGCTGGCGCACGTGCTCCGGGATGTTGGCGCCGAAGTGCTTTAACAAGAGCTCCTTCAGCCGACTGGTCCAGGCCCGCTTATGCTCCAGGTTCTTGGCCTATTCACCGGAAACAGTCCTTAATTGAAATACAGGCTCGGGCAATGAGTACACCATGGATACGTACTTCAAGAGTGATCAACTGCGAATTTGTGGGATTGTCGAAGGGAATGACGCTGAAGAGCAGGGGACTCTCGGGGATCACTTCCGACAGCATCAGATTGGAATGCTGCAAATCGCAAAGAAATGACAGTCATATTTTTTTAACACCGATTTTTTTTATCAAACTAAACTACATAGTGTGTACGAAACGGCAGCCGATATATAGAGTTACACACGGATATAAATCCCACATTTCCAGCCAATAAAAATATAAATAACCACGCCTCTAACCGCAGATTGACATAAAAAAACATAATAATTTTACTCTGTTTTAATTTTGGGTAACAAGTTCAGCAATAATAATCTTTTTATGAAATGTTCTGGGCATCTGTAAGAAAAGAGAATAAATAATGTCTAAACTGTATCTTAATAAAACGTCCTTAATTTCGGTGAAATCTGTGGTCCTTGAGGGCCGGTTCGGGTCAGTTTAGAACTCGTTTTGCAAAAAAATATGACAGTATGACAACTGGACAAAAAGCATGTAAGATTTATTTTATTACAAATATTAATAAATCGCGGTAAAATTTACATGCGGCCGTTAGGTAGGCAAAGTTCTGGAAATTTTGGGAGACTTTTGCTGTCATTACACTACGAATGTAAGTCAAACATACACCTGTGGTGTATGAGGCCATTTTCCGCTGTTATTTAGTCGATACCGGCACCGCAAAATGGGTGTTAATTAAAACCGATTAAAAATTAAAACTGTTCATAAAATCAGGCTTTTGTTGTTTAAAATGGAATAATCACGACAGTTCATTAAATAGTCTATAAGCCGTACATACCGCAATATAGAATTTGAAATGGAAAGTGGAATCCTCGCGCTGCTTGACGATGAGCAGGCCGTTCTCGAAGAGAAACACGTTGCGGTCACTCTTGGCGCGCTTCCCGATGGAAACGGGGAACATGTCCTCCATCAGCAACTCCCCGAACTGTTGCGTGCTTAACTCCGCCTACAAAACATTTAACAACGCCCCGTCAACACTAGGATTGCATTCAAAAATTCCGGGATGTTTTTCAAATAACTTGAAATGTACTTAATTTACAACTGAATTATTTTAAATTTGTGCGACAAATATTTTCTGTTATAAACTACGACATTGTTTTAACTTTTTTGTTAGTAACTTTAATTTAATATTTATAAAATATTTTAAAGCCTATTTCCTGAATATTTTACTGTTGTAAAAAAAGAAATTAATAATAAATTTCATTTAATCGGCATTTAATTTGATGATTTTCTCTACATGAAAATAATTAAACAGTAATTTTAGCCGATTTAAAAAAAATTCCACTGACCGGAAGTTCGACCAACAGCACCTGCAGCTCCTGCAGGCGGACGCGGCGTTCCTTCTGGCGCTGCACCTCATTGATATCCTCCGCTAAACGCTTCATCGTCTCCAGCGCCCGCTCCACCGTCGCGTAGCCGTCGTAGTCGGCGTCGCAGCTGTCGAGGAGTTTGTCTAGCAACAGGTGGTACTTGAGCACCCGCTGGATGGGTTTTAACAGGTACGGCCCTAGAGGCAGGGCGTGGTGGGCGGCGGCTTGTTGCTGCTTGAACCAGGCCGGTTGTTGCTGCATTAAGCCGGCTAGGTGGGTGACGCTGGAGGGGTAGTTGCTGCAGTAGGTCGTATAAATCGGGAACTGTTCGCCGGCCCAGCTGAAGGCCGAGGCGATGTACGCCGGCCCGTACATGTCCGGCGGGATCAGCCGCTCCAGAAAGTGCCTGGTGAAAAAGCATAATTCTTCATTTACATATTTACTATTTATTTGTTGTATCGTTTATTATTTTATAATTTTTATTCCCTATTTATTTTCTTCATATAAAAAAACTATTTCTCGATTATCAATATCATTTGTAATTATTTAACTTATTTAATAATCGTCACTTGTTGCCTTCTGTTTTCTGGGCATTTTAAAAATCATTTAATTTTTGTGAGCGGGAATGTTTTTCTTTTAATATTTGTAAAGATCAGAAACTTTTTTTAAATTCTAAGACTTTTCCAGCTCTATCTGGGAAAAACCATTTACAGTTAGTTAAAAGAATCTTATGCGTTCGAGAAAAAAACTCTAAAAATCGCTGCATGCGACGACAACTCAAAACAACAAACAAATTGTGCATCCAAAACAACTCAAACACAAATACATTTCATGAAAAACGTTATTACAATAATCGCGAACTATCTTGTAAAGCAATTTGGCTAATTCTCATGACGTACTGATGGAATTCCCATATTTCTTCCAGGTTGCCGAAGACGGTGACGACGTCGATGGATGAGAAGAGCGAGGATTCGTTCATCGGTTGTAGATAACCCTGAAAACCACCAGCACTCGGTTAGGATGATTATTTTGAATCCGGTAAAACATTTTTGTTCGACAATTTACTAAGCACAGCCAGCTCCAGCGTGTAAAGGCTCTTAATCATCGGCATTAACGGTTTATCAGCTTTTGACCGGAAGTGCGCTGCGTCGGTTCTAGGGCAGGTGTTTGTACTGGTATTTACTCTCTATCAAGGGCATTAAATGTTGATGACTAAAGTCAATAAATCGTTATAAACCCAGGTAATAAAATGTCCAATTTTTTATTTGTTCTAACCATCGTTACTAATAATTTTCTCGTTGCTAAATAATGCTGCCTTTTATAGACAACCACTGTAATACTTACAGGTAGCCGTTAACGTCTTTTTCTATTTTCTGTCAATTAAGAAAGCTGTCATAAGCGCCAGCCGCTTCCTTGGACCGTGCAAAGGAGTATAAGTGCACTGTAGTGTAGCGGCTGCTGCTTCGGCCCGGTGAAAGAAACAGCTGAGAAACTGCATGGAAAATCTTAAGTGCAAAAAAAAAAATCTTTCAACTTTCAACATAACTGTAGCGAAATATTTTTTAGCAAAATTTTGGAAACATCCCCGGTCCAAGGCTAACGCCTTGTAGTAATTACATTAAAGGGCATCGATCTGCGCGTGTCCGCAGTATTCGCAGCAGACCGCCGCCAACATGTGCTCTTAATGGGCACACACAACACACCCCCGCCCCCGGCAAAAAGAGCCTTATACCCAATTGAATTGACCGCATTTCCCGTTATTCTCAAGGCGATGGTCCATAATTCTTGCGCTGCAGTACTGCTTCGATGTTTTTCGTACATACTAGCATAAACGGTTTTGCCATATATATGCAGCTGCCAAATCTACTGTATGTAATCAAAAATTATTATTATTTGTCCTCATGATAGAAACCGTAGTTAGAAAACTCAAAGAAGGGATTACACATTTTGTCCTCATTTCATAATAACTAAAGCGGCAAACGGGAAAATATCACGTTAAGTTATTAAGAAAAAAAACTAACAAGCAAACAACTAATATCCTTTAAAATATCAGACTTTAATAGACAGTACGTCAAGAACGCTCACTAAAGCCATCACTCTTCAATATTTCTGCTTTTAGCACTATGCTTCCGGGTGAGACTTTGAAAAGTGGTTATGTTACGTTAATGTTATGTTAAATGATAATAATTAGCGAAATAAAAGTACAATCGCAGTAAAATATACAAACTGCACAATGTATATCAAAGAGTCACATAGAGTCACATATATCAAAGAGTAATGCCGGCATTGAGTCATACCCGGAGCCCATTGGCTTTTTGCGCGAAAACGGAAAACGTCCGGATGGAGCTACGCGTTGGAAGTGGTACCGCGGACAGCCCTTAGTATGGGACGTTACTTGCAGAGACACGATGGCGGATTCATACATCGACGCGACCTCAAAGTGTGCTGGCGCTGCCGCCGAACTGGCTTGCCGGGAGAAGATTGGAAAATATAAGTCGCTTACTGATCGCTGTAATTTTGTCGCTTTTGCATGTGAGACTTTTGGCACTTGGTGTGAGACCGGCATTGTAACGTTAAAGGAGATCGGTAAGAAGTTGTTTTTAAGGACGGGTGAGAGTCGCTCTACTTGTTTTTTGTTTCAACGTTTAAGTTTGGAGATTATGCGTGGTAACGCTATGAGTGTTTTGTGCACGGTCCCTTCTCATGTTAATTGGGACAAATTCTTCATTTGATGATATTTGTTGAGCGAAGCTCGCCTTGTACATATTGAGAAATAAAGTGTAAATCAAAGAATCATATAGAGTCACATAGATATTATGTATATACACAGCAAAATATTATGCATAGTATGCATAGTAAACTGACCTGACAAATCTGCTGCAAATCACTGACGTAGTTCTTCTCCGTCTGGATGATCTCCTCCATGATATAGTGCGTCTTGGAGCCGGTGGAATGCGTGGACAGGCGGTTGCCGGTGCTGCCCTCTAAATGGTCCAGATCGCGGTCGCTGACCAGTGACAGGGACGACTGGTTGGATGAGGAGGAGGAAGAAGAGTTCCGCCAGGCGGAGTTGCGTTGCAGCTGCAGTCCGGAGTCGGAGGACAGGGTGCTGGTGGACTGGCTGTCGGGGTAGGGCTCCTCCGCCGCCACCGGCGAGTCGTCGGCTCCCGGGGAGGAAGAGGAGGGCGGGGCGGGGGTGGCCATGGGGAAGGAGTCCAGGATGTCCAGCATGCAGCTGCTCAGGTCGATGCCGGAGCCTACAAACATGGACAATGCAGGACGGGAAAAGTGGGAAGTGGTCAGGAGTTTTGCGGTTAAAAAACTGAATAATAAAATCAACAAACAGTGTGCAACAAGAGCAAATCTAGTGCGCAGGAATTGCCGGCATTAGGTTCGAAGTTTGGAATAGAGAAGTGGCTTATTCGTGCAATATATGCACTATTAAACGAAGCGTATAATTTTAAATCTTACATTTTGTAATGCGTGTATCGTTAGTCAATAATGACACTGGGAACGGCTATATCGCGATTTGATTTTGCGCGTTTACAGTACATGTTTGATGTGGCTGATTTACAGCGCTGACTTGTGAGTCACGGAATGTGGCACAGATAATCACTGATTAGCTAATGGTAGCACTTTTCATTTACGAGATTTCCAAGCCAAATTTAACCGATCGGGTTGCGTTTCGGGGAATACAAATCCCATCCTCAAACTTACATAACAACATCCCCAGGATTTTTCCCTAAAATTCTTCCCGTGTAGAAAAATAATTCAGATTAAAATTAAATTTTAAAAATTGAAAACTGCGTTATTATAAAAAAAATTTATATAAAGTAGCAAAACTGAATACCTCATAAAAATTTTTTTTTTTTTGCAGACAGGTCTATATCAGTGCCGAATTTTTGCTAGCGAAGTGTTTATTTATAACCCCGCAATTTCCGCAGTACAAAGCAGACGGAAGCCGGAATATTTATTAATAAATTAACGCCGACCATAAACCTGCATTCATTCCCGTGATTGGCACATTCCTCCCCACGTTGGCGCACACGTGAACGCTAATACAGGCGAAGAATGTCGTTACGAACGCAGCGGAAACGGCAAACCGGTCGCTGCGCAATGCAGAACAGTCAACAGCATGACTGACACGCGGGGCCTTCCGGCCAGATTGCCATCGCATGACGTACTGTCGTCCGCGACGGTTTCTTACAAACGTCACGATGGACCTGTCCAGCGATCAGCGATTAAGGGATTACATTCAGCGCGGATGTCAAATAGTGTGTCAGTGGTCAGTTCTGACACACGTTTGCACGGCCTCGATTTACGCTTTTCACACTGCGGATCCATCACGTTGCAATAACACACTTTCACGTAAAACAGTTTGCAATTGTTGTCTTATCAGTCACGGCCCCAAATTGCACAAAAGAAGAACACACAGAAGGCAAGAGAAAAAATACGCAAATTATGAGAAAGTTCCGGCTTTCATTTATGACACGAAGTGCACCGATTGCCGCGTTACTTGCTGGAATTCGCACTGCTTTCTGCTGCCTCACTCTCATCGCATTCTAACAATTTATTTTTTGTAAAAAATACTAACTATACAAGTCTCTAAAATATAGAAAAATTATCACAAATTAATGAGTATAAATAATAATAAAAAAGCTGTGTATAAAGATAGTGAATTCAAATGTATTAAACATCAAGTTAAATGCCTGACTTACGTTATGAATAGTAGTCCAGAAACCGTACTCAACAAAACTTCTGAACTGAAATAATTATAATGGTAATCCGTTACACTGGATGAATAAATTAAATCCAACAAAAGCTGGCAAACACACACGCGCTGCTGTATATAAATTCGTCAAAAACGGCACAATGCCCGGCAGTGATGCATGAAACAGCTGCCAACTGCAGAACAACTAGTCTCGCTTTCAAGTGCAAACAACGCGCTCTGCCAGGCTAACTGGCACGATCGACAGCTCCCTCATTTTAAACTTCGCAGCTTAGTCGCTATCAACCGGCCAAAGTCCAATGAAATATGAATGGATGATTGTTCCTGGCATTTACTGATTCGATAGGGATTATTTGCTCGCTTGACATACACACACTCTGTACTCCAGCAGTGTTCAGCTGATAAGGAAGTCTTGGCGCTTCCCGTCGCGCACCTGCAGCGCTCAACAGGCGCTGATTAGCCGTCAGCGGATTAAACGCACACAGAGCCAATCAGCTGATGCACGTACGTACGTACATGTACATCCGTGTGCGGTGCAGCGGATATACGCTACACAGACAGGTGCAGTATATCCGGTTAGTACACTTTCTGTACGATGCGCTCATAGACAGCCGCAGTAAATCCGGTTGATACGCTTTCTGTACGACACACGCTAACATCATTAACTGTTAAATGTCCGCTGGCGATTTTTTGCACGACATTTTGCACGCTGTGTCGAATCCTAAATAAGCATGGCCATTTTATTTCGATTCAGAATTCTCTCGGCTACAACCAGACACTACTGCTTTAAAATTTAGACGAATACCGGTAGCGTTAAAATTATGCGAACGCTAAACGGCATTTTTGTATGTACATGCATTTTTCCTTTTTTTCTAGCACAGCAGATGGCTGAGTTTGAATGGAAAGGAATAACTATAATAAATACGCACTGAGTGGAACATTTTAATGGGTTTTCGGAACAGCCAGAACAATACACTCCTTTGACGCGATGCACTGAACCACACGACGAAGGTCAGCGCGCGCAAATGACCGGAAGCAGTGTATCTCCCGATAACTTGTCAGGATGCCTCTTAATTAAAACGCGCAGCGTGTCAACGGATGCGCCGTGATTTACGATTACTGCATAATTAATAATTTCGCTGCGAAGACGATACGTCATTTCTTAAGTGGGTCAAGCATGTGCCGGCGCGTTTTTTCTATGAGGATCTTGAGAAAATATTCCAAGAGTCCACTGCATTACCCACTCGAGACCGGCTAAGCGAGAACAGGGGAAATCTCATCCAGTGACACCCTTTCTCCATCACTCTGCCCTCTTCGCACAACAAGCCCCGCATTCCCTCTTCATCAACACGGCCATCTGGGCGATATGTGCGGCAAATAAAACACCGGCCTTCACGCTGCGTGGAGGCCAACCGGGGCGATGGCTCCCGGCTGGGAAATCCATTTCACTAAACTAACACCGACAGATAACAAGCTCACACACAAATCACATTCCCATTCAGTGTCGAAAATACTCATCTTGCAAAATATTGACAAAAGCCGGTTTTTGTAGAAAAACAACAAAGTAATGACTGATCTTTTTTTCGAGCTGCCGAAAAAAATCCCATGTGGACGTACGCAAACTGCTGTGCTGACGTGCTGATATATGAACTGACTGATGCCGAATAAAAGTGATTCTGATCACAAAAAGTCAGTTTCACCGTCCACGAGAATGTGGCCGACTTTCGTAGTGCAACGGCTTCAGCTTAGGTGTATCCAGCTTAGGTTCAGCTGATGTAGGCCAGAGAAGTGTTGCCGCGTGAGCTAACTACCACAAAAATAATTTTGAAAATTTTCTTTTCAATATTTTTTGTCCAGTTGCCGAAGTTTTATTTCGGAACCGTTTCTAAATTAGAAGAACTGACCACATAATCTAAACTAGAATAAAATGTTTTTCAGACCACCCAGAACAATTTTTTAAAGCGGAAAGTAATTGTAATATCATCACTTACAAGTTATTTTAAGCAGAACTTTTTGCTTTTTCTACAAAGACTGATTTGTGTTACACACACAAAATTTTTCCATTCTTTTTATTTCACATACTCGATCATTAATTTTTAAAATTTAGATTATGTACCCAATACTTTCCAAGCAGCTGTTGACATTCTTTCCAGTTTTAATGACCGGTTTCGAATACTGTCGAAATTTCTCCCTAACGAGCCGGCATTTGTCAAAAGTGAAAAGTGCAGTTTTTGATTGAACGTACAAATTATAAAAAAATGTCCGGCAGAACAAGAGATGACCGCCGTCGGAGAGAGCAATTGACCTATTTGTCCATGCCGCTAATGATACGTGTGCATCGCTACCGAAACTTCGAAACATCGCTGTGTTCAAGTTCTTCGGTAGGCGAACGCATTTCGCGATTTTTACTTCATAAAACGCTAATCACAGGAGTAATCCGCAAATTGCCATCACGTTCGCGGCAGGCAGGCCAATAATCAGGGCAGTTTTGGCGATGTTTCTTTGACGCGGAGGTGATTTACGAAACACCTAATCAAAGCGGGCCCTTCAGCCAATTCGAGTCTGCGCCGTAGCTGGCCGTGTAATTACGTTTAACAGCTTTTTCTGATCTGTCTTAATGGCACTTATTCATGGGAAACTGTGACGAAAAACGCTCGAATTCTGCTTCCCACCACAACAGTGTGTGTGTGTGCGGCTGTGCTTGTTTCTTTAACAATTCTTTCACTGTTATTACCGTTCTTCAAAATTTCGTAGAGCGACGTAGTGAAGGGGCTCTAAAATGACACAGCATAGTACTGTACTGTACACTGTGCTTATACTGAAAAAAAGCCTGCTGTTCTTCGTAATACAGTAAATTCACTATAACTTTTTTATTTCAACCATTTAAGTGATTTTTTCCGGCTATTTCCTAAAAGCGCCCAACGTATTAATTTTATCCACCCAATGCGTAATTTGGCATGTAAATCGCTAAAAATTTTTATTTTTATTCAAGGGAGTTTTAATTTTGTGTGCATACCAGAAATGTTTTTCTATACTTACGATTACTTCGAAAGCAAAATTTTTTAAACTAAAATGACCAAATCGGTAGAACTTAGCTCAGAAAATTAAAAAAAAAACAAAAAAAAAGCGTAAAGAAGTTTAAAATCAAATCAAATTAAATTATATAAAAAACATGCAATCTAAATTGTAAATAATTAAATTCAACAATTAATTACACAAATCAAGAATCAGATCGAGAAACTGCAGAAAGTCCGCTAATGCGATTGCAGCGCAAGAGTGGCGGTTACACAATCCGCAGAACCGCTGCCAGCGTAGTTGCGGCCGCACGCGTCGTCAATAGCGCAGCACACACGAATTGCTTTTTGCGTAAATCCATAAAATATTTACAATTCATGCACTCCGGCGTTTTTTCTATAAGAGCGATGTTTGGCGATTAAGGAGCTTAAGCGCACAATGCCGAAGATGCTGATCGACTGCGAGCGGCAGAGTGCGTCGGTTAGCGCGCTGCGGTTCCCAGCATTGGCTGTATTGTGAGAGCCGGCCCCGCTGGCCTCAATTGCCTAATTGCGCATTGTGCCGGCTGCAGAGCCCCATCGCCACGCCACTCCACGCCGTCCATCTGCCGTGATTGATGGACAACAAATTACCTTCTAAACAATACTTTCCATGATCGCAACAGACTGATACACAACACAACTAAGACAGTCAACAAACAACCATTCCACACAATCAGACGCGCTCATTATCAACAATGGCAAAAAACAAGTGTCGCATTACGCGCAGATCGACTGAATTCTCGCAAAAATTATGGAAATGAAATTTCGTTTTTTTACGACAAAAACTTTTTTTAAAAAATATACTTTATAATTAGTAATAACAATTTAAAAAAAAATAAGAATGTCCCTTGCCTACCGTTTCGCCGCGGGTCGGTTTTAATAGATTTCGTAGTGCAACGGCTGCAAACTTTGTCAAGTTCTCCTCCTCGTTCTTATTTCTGTGTTAGTCCCAATATTACAGTAAAAGGTACAAAAGTTTCGATACCGCTGTTTTTTGGTTTTATCAGTAATTGTGTGGCATTTTATTGATCAATTTGAACCGACCAAGCATACGAGTATCATAATAATATTTTTATTTTTGATATTTTGAATATATGTGTATTTAGACAGTTATAATTACAAAATTTGTCAATATTGCATTTAATAAGCATTAAGTAGTAGAAATTTTTTGCACTCTACGCTGAAGTGAAGGAGAACGTAAGAAGATTTTTGCTTTTTCTTGCGTACTACGAGCACGAGCACGTAGCAATGAAAAACGTTAATTAACTACCAAACATTAGACAATTTAGCTATTTTCGTATAACTTTTGTTATTTTTAGTTTGTCGTAATTAATTTAAATTTTATATTTCGCATAACAACCGTTGCAAGGGCGTAGTATTCTTGGTATATTTAAAAGTGGATCGATTAGTCAAGAGGCAACACGATGATTATAGCCGGGGATTGGGTTGGGCAGTGCATTATCGTGTCGCTGAATGGAGCATCGCGCCATCTGATGACTGGGTGGGATAACGTTGGACAGCGGGTCAGGCGAGCTGCACATTACGCTGATTACACCGGCATGGCTAAACGGCGCGGCATTCTCCATTTCAAGCATTTCTAGCTGATCAATGAATACACCATCTCGCGGGCAAACATTGGCCGGACACTGTACAGTGCGACAGTGCGCTGGCCGGAAACGGCCGGAAGCGGGCAGAAAGGAGAGAGAAGGCCGTTTCAAGAGCACGCGCAGAGTCTTGTCCAGAGGAGACGCAACTAGCCCAGTCAACAAGAGACGTATTTCCTTTGCAGCACGCTTCCGTTATGCGGCCTAATCGCCATTCTCCAACTGCACTCAGATAGCCACACACGCGCTTATCGTCCATGTTCCGCTCTTCTCAAAACATAACACATCCGTCCTTGTGAAAACTTATACTCAGACCAATAATCAACGGATAATATACAAGGCAGTCATACGATACGTTAAAGCGACAAAAATCCCTGGATTAAGAAAACGCAAAGGAACTTTACGATTCAAGATCGAGTACCCGAATTAAATTTACTTGTGATTAATTATTAATTATAATATAAATAAAACCTACAAAATAATAATTTTGCTGTAATGAAAATGCTGGGTGTTTTTTTCATGCAACAACGATCGCCATACAACGGCAAATTTTACCTATTTCAAAAATATTTCATTTCGTATTACTTAAAAAAGCAATTATTGCTCACCTTTGATTTATATCTGTGGATAAATTTCTGTACATACTTCATAAATTCCTTAACAAATTGTTCTGTCAGTTTTCACTGGAAAAATTTAGTTCTGTCTTTTAATGTACAACAGATAACTGTAAGAACGTACAACGCGCAGATTATTGTGATAGCATCCGGATAAAGGAACGCTCTGCAGCCGCTGCACTACGAAAGTTTCCAAAAATCATGACGCAGCAGCAGCATTCGTGTTGATGGTGGGACGGGCACAACAATAAACTGCATGCAGAAATAGAATGCAGAAGGCGGTTAGTAGTTTTTACGTTGTTTTTTTTAATTTTCTGGTTACCACAGTCCACAGTAATGTACCAGTATTGTTACACACACACGTTTGACAAATTAAAACTTTGAATAAAAATCGTTGTGCACGTTAAAAGAGTGGCAGTAATACAACGCGACAATTAGCCGGGAATTTTAAACTGATTTCGCATATTGATCTGCATCTATTTCGGGTGCATTCTCCGCGGTCGAGTGGCCCGTAAGAAAATATTTGCTACAAGCCGCTACATATCGCATATCGCCCGGATCACCATCCGATCCGCCGCATCCAGCATTTATAACAAATTCAGAGTCCCACTGGCCCACTGCACTGTACACAGTGCGTTATACGCATACACATTAAGCAGCTCGCAACATTTCCCCGCTTATCACAACACCGTGAACAGCCCCAAAAAATGGCCACACGTCACATTAGAATGCTGATTAGCTCCGTCCGCCGACATCTACAGCGTCATCAGCGCCATCAATCGCGTGCCGCGTAAACTGGAGCGACAGTCAAAAATGCCAAATTACTCGTGATGGTCACCGATCAACCTTGCTTAATTACTATCAAACAAATTAAACTGCCCCTGTGTGCGAACAGTTATGATTTTCGTTTTATTACAGCAATTATTTTTCACCGATAATTACAATGCGATTACCACTTCAACCAGCGATTTTGTCGTTTCACTACTGAGCACCGCTGCACGCCGGAATATTCACTAATTTGCAACGGCTTTTCGTTTGTGTTTGCGTTTTCGATATAACCGAAATTAGACCGACCATTATAAAGCAGTAACTGGAAATTCTTCCATTTCCCATACTTTTTTAGCCAGTTGAGAAACTTTTCCACTAAATTAAAGAGCGACTCTAGATCTGGTCAAACTTTAAAGACAGATTCCACTGTAAATAAACCGGTTTTGCAGTATATACTATAATATACTGTTGTTTATAAAAATCAATTATTCTTACTCGTATTGCACGTGACACGCTGTAACCTACAAGTTACGACGCGTATATTTTCATATGTAAAAAAAATAATTTTAGTGTTTTTCATATTTTCGCTTTTTCTTATGGGTCCACGTCCAGTCAGTCAACTTTCGTGGCAATAGCAAATACTGAAAAATCAGCACAAATAAAAATAATTTCAAGACGCGCAAAATGCATAAGCCGGCAAAATGCAAATAATCATCAGAATTAAGTTACGCCGCCACTGTTTTTTTTCCTGGTGCTTAATGTCGCTAATGGGCAGTGGATAACCTCGTCGTGAGGAGCGAGCCGGGCCGGGCCGCACAGCTATACAGCGGCACTTGAGCGGACAATTGCGTAATTGAGCCGGGCTCGCTCTCGGTATAGCGGCGCACTGCACAGGGCAATAGAGTGGCCCTGCCGACGGCAGTCAACCGCGACGGGCCCCGGCCACTTGAGGAGCACCTCCAAGGTCCCCTCTCCACGCTGACCGCCGTCGCCATCCATCGGCCAAATGCTACATGCACACTTTACGCAATCGCCGTATTAGCGTTTTTTCTTTTCTTAAACGCTGTGCGAATCCCGCACGCCGTCCGACAACAGCACTCATCAGCGAATTTTAATTCCGCATTGCGCAATCCCAGAAATTCGCTTTCTTCGAGCCGTACATGCAGCGAGAAAGCCATTCTTCAGTGCGTCGAGAAAAGCTCGGTATAATTATGTTCTGCCAAAATGTCTCTTTAATTTTTCAATACAAGTAAAAGACATATCTAACCGGGACAGAAAAAAATAGTGAGAGCCAAAAAGCAATTTCTTCATGGTTTCTACTCGAAATCTTTAATTAGTGCACGTTGCACGTAGAACAACGTATAGGATGGAATTCACCGTTTGCAGCCGTTGCACTACAAAAGTCAGTCACGGCATTCGTAGGTATTGGCCCGTTATATAAAGTTATTAAAAAAAAGAGTATTTTTAATATTGTTTTCTTCTTAAAATCCGTTAAGGCATTAAGTAATTCTAATTACTAACTAAACTTGGAAATATTTACTAGCTAGTTCTGGACGATTACAGCAGACTTTTAACTTAAAAAAACTAAAATTTAAATGCGGAAATGTAATTTAACGCAGCTAACTACCGACACGCTGATCGAAATTAGTTAGCCGTAAAAACACGGCATCCCACACTCCAATAGATTAACTGGGCGCGTCTTTACACGGATTTGTTTATACTTCCGGTTGGGCCACACTGTTTTACTGCAGTATCTCTCTCCCACACGCAAGACAATCGCCATGTTTAAACAAGCCCACCCCGGAGCCGCCACTTTCCCAGCAGCTGAAGGCAGTAGCCAGCCATTGGGGCGTCTTAACGGTGGTCTTACCGAAAATCTCTCGCCATTCCGCATCCACTTTGTAATCCGCCAAAGTAGTCCGCTGCAGCGCCGCCGGCGGCATAATGATCATCAAGATGCGCCGATACACTGCCTGAATTATGGTGATTACAAGTGCCAGCTGTACTGTAACATCACGCTAGCAGACAACGCCGTCTCTTCACGTTCTACATGCTCGCCGAGCCTGATCTGACCCGGGGCCGCAACACACCAACACCAACATCAACAACACAATCAACCGCGACGTGCTGCGCAGTCTAATTATCTGGCAAATTTATGCCTCCCCCGCAAATATGTATTCCATCACGAATTATTCTAGGGAAATATCGCAGACAGTAGTGGAGATATTTAGCGAATAAACGGGAGGATTTAATCCGTATGAAAATTGCAGTGCCCCAGCTGGCGCGACGGGGTCATTGGCGATACGAGAATGATGGATAATACACGGCCGATCGATTACGCGGATTGGGGATTTATGCTGAAGAAGAAAGAGGAAGTCGGGGCGCAGTCGACCGGCGGTCAGCGGTGACAGGCGTTGTTTTGAGAAACGAGTGTATTGAGCGGATATTGTATGCAGATTGCAGATATGCCGCACCATCTGGCGACTCTCACTAAAATCTGACTGCACGGCGCAGAATATCGCGATGCTGAGTGAAGTCAATGGAGACCCGGCTCATTGACCAGACACGTACGAGTGTGCGCGTACGAGTGCAGCACGCTGCCGGCGTACGAAAACGGCTTTACCGGCGGTGGTGGTTGGCTAGCGGCGAAGTTTAGTTTTTTCATCGCAGTTTGTATTAGAAACTTAAACAGTTTTAGGCCGTTTTCAAAACGCTTTCACACAAAGCTGCCTTGAAATGAAATAAAATTTCAAATTTGGAAACACGATTTTTTTTAAAAATTTACACCGCTTCAGATTTTCGAAGCCCCGTTTGATCCAGAAATGGTTTGATTTCAAGCTCGAAAATTAATGTGAAACGTTTGACATTGTGATTCGACTCTAATCGGAGTAGATACTTGCAGTTATCGTAAAAACTGATTGTTAACGAAACTTGTTAACAAATTCGTTTGCCTTATTTTTCCAAATAAATGGAATTAAAAAATATGATTATTCTTGCCCCTTCCGTTTATCATTGCCATGGGCAGTCAACTGTGACCGGTATGATAGGGCCGTTGTTTACATGCTGGGCGGAGGCTAGCCGCATCTCCATACAAAAACGGTTATTTTGCCGGCAAAACGATTAACGCCGGCGTCACTCGGTAGAAATAACAACGTTAACCATGCTAACCCGCTCTCGACTTCTCACCACATTGCTCAACGTTTTTCTATGTGTTGTGAGGGGGACTAATACCGTTATTATGCCAGCTTGACCAGCCGGCTTAATGGTGTCAAACACGCTGCAGCTGAAAACAGGCAGCTGAAAAATTAATCAGAATTCCATCCTGGTCAATGCGATTTTTTCTACGCAGGCGTCAAATTACGCTGTTCAATACAGCGTCCACTAGCACAACTGCACAACACCGAAAATTGTGTGGGTGGCTTTTGTCGCCGGGCGGAAGCGCTGGTGACAATTTTCATCAGCAACGTGTAAGCGCTGAATTAGAGAACAATTTTATAACCCCGCAAAAACGAGTTCACCGGACTCGCATCCGACATGCGAGCGCTATCGGATTCTCTTCAGTTTTACCGCACGCGCATCGTAAAACGCCTGATGCGGCGTTTTTTGGCACTTTTTCGCTAAAATAAAAGCCCCGGTAATGTGAAACCGCACTCCACCGTACGACCATAAAGTGGGTCGAATTAATCGGCGAAAAAGCTGCTTAACGCTCACTTGGATAGCGATGCGTTATTAATCAGCGGGAAAACTCGCATGGTGTCAAACAGCAGTTTAATCAGTTTAAAATGTCCGTGTGGTTATGAACTGTACTGTATGTAGGTCAGGGAATAGAAGACCGAGACACGCCAACCGGCAATATTTTCCCGTTTTGACGGCGTTTATATAACCAAGTACTGAGTGGATGGGGCAGTCGTAAAAACGCCGGTTTTTACGGTGTAGTTTGCGCGGCGAAATGACCACGCGGTGGAGTCTATCTCCCGTATCGATTTCCGCGTGATTATGGGTCAGTTTGTGCATCGGATCGATCAGCACGATCCCTGATGCAATCACGGTAAATGCGTATTGCGGACGACTGCTTGACCGGCGAAAATGGACGCTAAATTGTCGGTGGAGTTTTGTTGCGTGGAGAGAATAGTGATATCGGTCAGTTTGGGTTTTGCGGGTGCCTAATCAACCGGCGAACTTGACCCCCGCAGGCGGGAGGTTAAGTACTCACTAAGTAATTATTTCACGAACTAAATTGATTAGCAACTAAATGTACAAAAAAAATTTATTCTGTCCTTGTTTTAATTACGACAAGTAGAGACTTTAATAAATCTTGTCTGCAAATTACTTATACACAGTATAACTTTCGGAATGGAGAACAATGAAATTTTGTTAAAAGGTAGTGCCTCTAAAAATTCAATACAAAACGGAATCACTGGACAAAAATATTGGAAAACTATTTTAATAAGCAGATCGTTCTGTGAATCAGAATTATAGAACCTCCCATGTCATGAAATTGGCAGCGATGCCAGCTGCAGAATTGCAGCCGTTGCACTACGAAAGCTGGACATAAGCATCATTGACATGGAAAGTAGGCAACGCCTCAACGGCAGCTAATTTGTTCGATAAATTAATTAAATTAGCTGCTAGAAAAACAACAATAATAATAGGAAAAAAAATTTTAACGCTCTAAAATAATTTTAAAATTATGAAACGCATCCAGGAGAAAGATCCTTCTGAATAAAACCACATCGAAAAATTTCAAAGGCGAAATTAAAAGCACGGAGGAAAGGAAATGTCCTCCATTATTTCACGCGTCATTTACTTGGCGAACAAAGCATGCCAAAAAACTCCAGCCGAGAAAAATGGATGGGCGCATTAATTCGGCTGCGAATGTAATCTATGTAGGCCAGCGGGGTTAAATGGGCCCGCAAGTGGCGTGATTCTTCCGGTCGGGCATTGCCGGTCTGCCCATTAAATTCCCACACTTGATTGCGCTCTCCCGCACCGCCGCGAACCGGCCGTCTCAAGTGACCAATAAGGATTAGGCCAATCGCGTCAATGAGGCGAAAAACTCGACAATGCCACAATTATATACATAGATATTCAAAAGTGTGTCAGTGCGCACAACGTATACGCACATATGCCACACGTGCCGGAACTGGATCCCGCGCGAATGTTGGTGTGTACACAGCGCAGCAGCTGATGGAAGAACATGAGTCGCTGTCTTGACACACATCTCGCGCTGTTGTGCTGAGTGACAGCGTCAGCGGACAAAGAAACAGCGGATTACACGGCGCTGTGCAAACACACAGCGTGTCAAGCCGCAGAATCCGTTACGGCTGCGGCCGACGGGCGGCTGCATATTACACACCGGGATTTCTTTCAAATTTGCCGGTTTCCAAGTGACTCGCTAATTAAAATGTTCGAAACTTTGGAACCGAAAACCGAAGGCGCATTAAAAAGGCTTCCCGACAAGCCGCCACCTTAGGCGGTTGCAGAAACGGCAGCGCACAGCATTCTTCGTAAACGCTTTAGTAAAAAAAATTGTTTTTATTTCTGTGGCTTTAAAATATTATTACCTAGTGCTTTCGAAATTCAAAATGTTTTATTAAATTGAGAAAATTCGAAGATCAATGAAAACGCATTTCTAACAAGCTGCCACCTTGGGCGGTTGCTATGCAGTAGCGCATAACTTTGTTCGTAAATCTTTAATAATTCATAACAGTTAAAAATCCCTTCTCCAAGATGTTATTACCTTTTAAAAATATTATTAATGACTCAGATCCAAAAAATTTATTTAGTTGACTGTACCTTGTCGTTGGATACATCCGCCACACATCTCAACAATGCCGCTATTACGCAGCGCGCCCCGGAAGTTCCCCAGTGACACATAGAGAGAATTGCGGTACATTTTCACATCAACACATATCACTGCTTGCAAAACATGCGGAGAAATTGCTATTAAGAAATCAGCATGTAAAAAATTCAGAACGAATGCTTTGGAAAATTTCATGACCAGATTGCCGGAACCATAACAAACCAGTGTTGTGTTGGGCTATCGCGAGAATCGAGTGCTAATCATAAGACAAGAAAATGCGCAGTTTGTGCTGATGCCGGGCATAATTCGGCGGTGAGCTGGATTCCACTGTCAATACCATCTCAAGTGGACCTTGTGCAACAGCGTTTGCTTAAGAATGGCAACACTTGCAGTTTTTTATTAAACAACATTGCCTTTATCTGTTTATGCCAAAAATTCGATTATTTTGCGGAACGGATTATGCAAAACAATGAATATGCTTATTGGTGAATTTGTTTTTCTTATCTTATTTACTTTTTTATTTTTTTCTTGTATTTTTTTTATATTTTATTCTAACGTAAAATGATTTTATTGTAATTATGATCTTCTTATTTTATTTTTTTCTATTTTATTCTTATCTAAAACTAATTTTACTGAAATACGCATAAAATAGCAATACAAATATTTTCTAAATATCGTTTTCTGATTTTTTTAAAATAATTTTTAATATCGTCGGCAACTTATTTATATGTAAAAATAAATTTATTAAAATGCGCGGGAAGTTTCTTAATTATCTAAACATTTTTTGCCAGGTAGCTGCCACGGTGGGCGGTGCAATATGAAACAGCGCGTTGCCGGGTGAACTGGTTTCGGCCGCAGTCGGTTGTATCATCTCACGATTTTAAATCCTATAATTATATCGGTCTAGATTTTTCGCTTAATAATTGGGTGGATTTACAGAGATTTTTCGCTGTCGCCGGCTGAACAGCGCAGTGGGCAGGTATGGTATCATTTCCAGTGCGATTAAAATTCCTCAGCCTACGCGTAATAAATTACCGGTTAACGCTGACCAGTTCAACCGATAATTTAACCACACCACTCAAAATGTCAAGAGCACTTGCAATCCTCCACCGCGCAACCGTGCCACGCGGTATCGAAATCGAGCAGCGGAAAAGTTATTATTAAATCGCCATATAACCGACCGCGACACAATTAAAAATGGACAACGGTTGTTCGAGCGCGCGACGGAATCGGCGTTCGGCCGCTATAAAAAAAAATTCCATTGGGAAATTTGATTTTTAATTGGAACCCCGCAACGAAAAAAAAACGGTGTAAAGAAAAGAAAACTATGAATACCGAAAATCAATTGCAAAATTATCATGTACATTTTATAATAAAATACATATATTATTTTACTGAAACCTGCATAATAATTTTAAATAAAATAAAATGCTAGAAAAAATAATAATTAATTTTTAAATGTATTAAATTTATATATACGAGTATTTTTTAATTGCGCTAATGTTTTCTAATTTTTCCTGATTTGTCTATTATCATTTGACGAGATGATGGTGATTAATAATATAGCCCATCATGCATGGAGAATTTTTCCGATAAGAATCGCAAACATTAGCCTTTTCAGCTGCTCAATGAATGCGGAATCCATCATTCTATCCATTCCGGTGTGATTGCGCTGCGTGGTCGGCTCATTCGCCCGCCCGCGCCGTCATTGATCACGCATCCCTGACAAAGTGCTTCTGTTTCACTCTGCTCTGTAGTCTGTTCTCTGTACTCGCTCTCCCGTCGTCCGACGGAGCCAGACACTGGCCTCAACTGACCGTGCCGACAGGTTGCAGCGGACAGATTCTTTCACCGGAAAACCGGGCGGACGGTGATTAAGGCATTCCGCCTCCTAATTACCGCAGCGGAGAGCTGACTGCTTTGAATTATATACGTTTAATCTTATTTACCCATCAAATGGGCATTCAAATTTTGCCGGTTTTGTATTACAGGAATTTTACAACAATTTCCGCGGAAGCTAACGTAAAAATATTTTTTTTAAAAGCGCGGAAAATTTTATAAGGATTTTTGGAGAAGCTAGTACAAAAAAATAAATATTATTAAAATACGCGGGAAATTCTAGAACAATTTCTGCGGAAACTAACTCAGAAACAATTTTGTGAAATTTCAAAAAGAGTTTTGCGGAAGCTCTTGTTCAAAAGATTTTGTTGAAATACAATTTAAGGTTTGTTCAATAAGGAAGTACTGTACATTGTTAAAATATTTAGCCTAACGTTGTTTACTACACAAACACTACAGCAAAAAAATCTGAACAAGGAAATTCATTGTGGTTAAGAGAAGCAGTTAAAGAAAAGCGGAGCAGCGGCCAATTTGGTACTTAGTGAACCGTTTGCAATTGCCGCCAAGTACCTCGTACTAACCCGCACAAACACCGTAAATCCACATTGGCCGGCATTTATGCACGCATCGCCGTTTTCGTTTCACTCTGGTTTTCCGCGATGGAGTGAGAGATTTAAGAGCAATTTCAATTTCTCTCGGCAATCTGACAGGCTACCCAACGTGTAGAGCGACGGGGATGAATGGTGTTATATTGTGCCAAGAGACAAGTTTATAAGCTCATCATCGACGACGCTGAACAAGATGCGCTTTTTTATATGTACTCGTATATCGGCATGCCGATTAATTTCTTAACGGGGACAAACCAGTATATTAACAACATGCACCGCTGACGCAATCTATGCATCATCGCCGCGCCGGCTTCCCATTAATCACACTTTACGAGGCTCCAAGACAACAGTATTAAGAATTTGCAATTCAATACCGCTTACCGGCGTGCAACGCTGGATTAATCGAATTTCAGATAAAACACGTTAAACAAGTGTTTTTTTTTGCAACAGTACAGCAAACAAATCCCCAATATTAATAGCTAATTTCCCATAATACAAACTGGTGCAAAAAATACTGAAGCGACAAGAAAAATCGCTATATTTTATTTCTAGGAATGCGCCGCAAATTCAGCCGGAATTCTTGTTCCACAGACATTTGGTCAATTTTTGCACTGTTTTTGTCAGATAAATACGACGCCGTTTAACAATTATTACGTACTATTCGGCTGTTAAATCTTTTGTCGTTTTTACCACGGTGTTATTTTGGTCAACCATATTCAGCATTAAATTGTCTTTTAACTGTTACGACTGCGACCCAATAAAGCCATCAACTTAACGGCTGTCTTACCTAATTTCCTTTTTCCTCCGATAACCAGCACGTTACGCTACGCTAATTATGATTAAACGCGCGATAAAAACGCCAATCCCCATAAAACGATAATAATCCATAAAAACGTGGGGTAAATAAACGGCAATGATCGGTGTGTGCGGACACGGTAAGGAATTATACGGCAGCCGTTCTACCGGTCGATCTAGACTGATGATCAGATTCGGATGGAGAGCAACGGTGAAAGATGCAGAACGGTGTATTCAACAGATGGCTGACAGTTGGATTTTCCGGTTTGCTGCATTCCGCGACAGTGTTGCAGCTGAATGAGAACAGGTAGCCGGTTGAGACAATTCAGTCATCAGTGGAACGAATATACCGGGGGTTGTACGTACGTATGAGTGACCAGTACAGCGCAGTGTATGGTAGCCGGTTGAAACAATGCGGTAGAGCGGATATACCGAGAGTTGTACGTACGAACGAGTGACCAGCGCAGTGCCGTGTATTGTAGCCGGTTAAGACAATAACTCAGTCATCAGTAGAGCGGATATACCGGGAGTTGCACTTGTACGTACGTGACTGACCAGTGCACACGTATACCCAGCAAAACGGCTTTTTAATCTGAAAGACTGAAAGCCGGTTGAGACAATGCAGTCATCAGTGGAACGGATATGCCGATATGCAGGAGTTGTACGTACGCACGTGGCTGACCAGTGCACACGTATGACCAGCACCGGCTATAGCGGATCTAAATCTGGTTGGTCCACTTTGGTCGTGATTTACCGTTGAACACACAGCGCGCATCGGAATCCAGCACAGTGCACAAAATGTCATGCTGATGACTACCAAACAGCTGATTAATCGCCAACCGATGCACCGGTAATGCCCGCTGACAAACGCTTGTATTAACCGTGTGCGGTGCTTCGTTTAACTGCATTTACACGCTGCTAATTAAATCAAGTAGTGTTTTTTGATTGAATAGATGCGTTGTGAAGTATGCGATGCATATTCAATTACAGAGATCGAAGTCTGACATCGATCGCTTCATTAACACGTAGCGCTACGGCAACCGCCGTCGGGTGGCGGGATCAGCGTTGCAAGCGGCGCACGTGCGCGTTATCGCTGAATGCCGGTCGGTGTCGATTAACCGGTCCATATGCAGCTTGTGTAAGATAAGTCGTTCCTTTCTGGCTACTGTGATGACTGCCTTCTGCACATGCTATCCAAGTGCTGCAGAATTTTAGTTGCCTGCTGCAGCACATGTTTACAGGATCTCGTTCGCCATGTTGTGCTCCTGCTCGCTGCTGACCGCTATCGGTCTCCTGGCGGTCGCAGTATTCTTTGGCAAACTGTTGTGTTTATGTGTTTCCGGGTTCGTCACGTTTGTGTTGGCTCCGTATCTTCCTTTATCGGTCGATTGGAAGAAATACGGAAAATGGGCAGGTTGGTGCGTGCACGTCCAACATTTCGCAGTTTTTATAACAATAATATTTTGGGATGATTGCAGTGGTTACGGGGGCGAGCGATGGGATGGGAAAGGAGTTTGCTAAGCAGGTATTTCAGACCCCGCAAACAAAATCCAGAAAGGAATGATTATTAATTTTATGCACTGATTTGTCGCAGCTCGCACGCAAAGGCTTCAACATTGTACTGATCTCGAGGAGCGCGGATAAATTGAAAGCCGTTGCAGCCGAGATTGGTACGTTACCGGTACTGTAGCGCTCGATGCAGTTGTCGAACTGGGAACAATCAATAGTACTGATTTTTGCAGCGGAATACAAAGTAGAGACCAAGTGTATTCCCTTCGACTTCAGCAAAGGCGACCTGCAGGAATTCCGCAAATTGAAAACGCAATTAGACGGATTAGAAGTCGGTGTACTAGGTACCGTAGACAAATCTGCACCATTTCCCAGCGAACAGTTTTTCCTTCAGCTCTCCCTTTACAGTTAACAATGTGGGAATTTTCTTCGACTATCCGGATCTCTTGCATCAAACACCCGGAGGCGATAAAGTATAACGACTGATAGTACCAAACAACTACAGCCGAAATATTTACGTAGCGGCGAACAATTACGCTATTTGCAGGCAATAATGAACGTCTTGAACGTGGATGTCGTGACCTTAACGCTGGTGAGGGCACCAGTATCGACAGCGCACTGGTAAGATGTTTTTAATTTGATTTGATCATTAGATGATGGAAATGTGCCTGCCGCAAATGGTCCGCAATCGCCGCGGCGTCATCATCAACTTGGGATCATCGCTGGGTCTGCAGCCGACCGGCACGTACGCCGTGTACTCCGCCTGTAAATCCTACTGTATCTTCCTCACCGAAGCACTGCGCCAGGAGTATGCCGATAAGGGTCTGGTCATTCAGGTAACAGAAAATGTGTTCTAACGGTCTCAGTTCGGTGCTTGAAAAGCTGTTTTATAGACGGTTATTCCGGGGATAGTTTCGACCAATATGGCTAAGAATTATCGTGATGCGCCATTCCAGACGACCGCGGATGTTTTTGTCACCGCGGTATTGTCGCAAGTGGGATTACGCAAAGTGACCAATGGATACTGGAAGCATGCCTTAGCGGTACGAACGCCATTAGCAATACCATCGATAAACCCAGATAAATAATATACTGTACTTCGGTTGCAGACTACGTTGTACGATTACACGCCGACATTCTTTGCGCATGGGAAGATTTTCGAAGATTCTGCACACAGAAAGAACCTGTTCCTTTCCGAACAAAACCGCAAATCGGATTAGTAATTTTTCTACTATTAGTAACCGTTTACTGGTTCTTGACGATCATATCTATATTTATGCTTTATTCATCCAATTATCATTCATGAACGCCTTTAAACGGGTATAAAAAGCCAACTTAAAACTAAAAGCTGCTGCCGGTTCTACACAGCTCAGATATCGAATTAAAGGTTCCAGCATCCAAAACGAAGCATCCGAAGCGAAAATACTAAGAAAATGATGTTGGTAACGTTGATTCACATTAAAGACATGAGATACAGATAAAATATGCAGTTGAAAATGATTTTGACATTGTCTGATAACAAAAACCATAAAGTTAGGCAGTACGTAAATTATCCAAATACGTACTAGAGAATTATCAATAGAGCATGCTAGATATAACCGCAGATTCGGTGCGTGCAGAAATCGCAGTGGTTATGGAAAACGGGTGGCAATCCAGATAGATGGCAATCATGGCATCATGGTAGTAGGTGGGAAATATGGCAGGGACAGAAACGACAAAATTATGTGAAATGGATCACATGATAAAAGTTATCGAGATTCATCGAGAGCGAGGCGCTTCCGCCCCAGTAATCGTTTTGTACGCTTGCAAGGCGAAAGCCGCGCGATCAACCTGTATGCGATAACAACGGTTATTTTATCCCGCTAATACAAAAGATTTAAAGAGAACCCACTGTCACCGACAATAAATAGCGCTGGAACAAAATGCGGTACGTAATTACGTATACTGTACCCTTTTGCTTAACAGCAACTTTTTTTGACACGAAATAATTCTTCTCATCAAACAAGTAAAAAATTTTACAAGTGTCAATTGGTGATAAAATACAACAATATTGCATGGATGCTTCACTTACCACTTGCACCGCCACATAGGTCAGCGCCACAACTCCGGCAATCCGCAGTCCAGATTCCCAAAAGGTGTCGCTCCGAAGGAAGATAATCGGAACGCTTGCCATTTGCTTCAGATACTCGTACTCCATTTTTATGCTGATTTGTATTACAGCCGTTGAATAGTTTGATAAGTAAGCCCAAACATCGATCAGCGGGATTGTTGCATGAATATTAAAATCATTAAATTATTAGCCAAAACCGGTGTTCTAGCTGTTCTGTTTTAGTGAGTGTTATCTATGCAGTGCCAGGCCAGCCAGGGTAACGTTTATATAAAGGTAGACCGATTCCCACGCGTACAGAGCGTGCACTGAATGTGCACTCTCGATGTGCCGGCTAGTGTGGAGCAGCTAATTGAATATGCAGCGTTCTACTGCTCCGGAATGGTCCGTTGTTGTTTGGCCATGGATGTTATCTGGAGTATACGCTTTGTTGCTTCAGTTAGACATCCTGTCGCCCTTTTATCGCACTGGGCATTATAGCGGCGATAAAGATTACCTGGCGTTTGGACTGATAGTGCAATGTGACTTCCGTACACAAATAAACAACATGGTCCCATTAGTTTCGCATACACGCTCACGTTTTCACGCTCACAACACGAGCTTGCCATGCGGTAGGCACTATATAGACGCACGGCAAAGCTACGGTATGATGAGCAATTATCCGTATCGCGATAACATAATTTAAAAGCAGGTACATATTCGCACTTATCCGCGCTTGTTCGTATTGCTGAGAAAGCCAGTGAACTGTACAGCTCGCAAAATCACTATACACGCAATTTATGCAAATATGCAATGCGATAAATGCAAATTTGATTTACAGGGGTGCCGGGCCAAGTTCGGACAGTTAAAAAAATTCCTCTACTCCTACCAGTGAAATCTAAATTTTTTTTCAAACTTTTGCGTGATAGTGCTTGGTCTGTAGCACCTTCAGTAATTTTGTTTCCATGCAAAATGATGAGGCTCAGGAACGGCAGCCAAATTTAGAATTTAATTTTTGGTGCAAAAATCGCACTGCTTACTAAGAAATAATCGAGTTCATTCGACAAGTATTTAAAAATTGGAGAAAGCTGAAAAGTTTTAAACGATGTTATGGCCACCTAGTGGAACCTTCTTCCTTCTCTTTTAATCACTAACATCTTATCTGATGCTAACAGTGCTCTTGGCAACCGCATTTCTTTGGATGTGCTTCTTAACATACAAGTCTATGGGAGATGAGTCTTGTTTCGAGTTCGCCGCGGGCGCTGAGGGCGTTAGTTCCCTCTGCTGGCCCCCGACGGACACCTTCTGGGTCGCTTAACAGTTTTCAGAAACGCTCACCCAGAAATGTCGTTTGCTACATTTTTCAGAGGTGCAGTTATAAGCGCCAGAAAAATGACCACTACCCCTTTCCCTAAACACTCGCCCCGCCCCTTATTATCATAGCGAACATGCTCAACTTTGATATTTTTGGGTTCGCAATTAAAAGATGTACTAGAAAATACAAAGACAAAAACATAAATGTATACGGTGATTTTTTTTAAATAAATTTTTTGCAACTGTCCGAACTTGGCGCGGCACCCCTGTATTTGGAAAAATTACACAAAATCGCCGGTTTTTAAACAGACTTGTCTTGGCGTGTCTTGATGTACGAGTATGTATGTGGCTGTTAGTGGAATACTAACGGATCAGTTGAATTTGGCGGGTTCCGTCGTTCGTATTCCCTTAGGCAGTTCGTCGCTCTTCGTGCTTAGTCCGTTGAGCCAAAAGGTCAGCAGCATGCCTTTTCCCTGAACAAGCATTTAAAGTAACCAACGCGCTGGTAACAAAAATAGAATTTTTGTACCTTAATATTGGTGGCTCCTCTTTCGGTAATTTCGTACCGTTCATCAATCAGCAATAAATCTCGCGTTGACGCGCTGATATGGATTCTTCCGGCTATGAATCAATTTACCACTTCGTAGATATCTTTTACTGCTGATTGTGAAAAACCTGTACTTCAAAACACACTATAGATACCTTGCCCTGATGATTCCATTCTCGACGCTGTGTTAACAGTGTCGCCGTACCTACATTTCAGTCGCGACTTTGATACAATGTCGATAAAAAAGCGGTACATTGTTAGGCTCATACAAACAGTATCGAGGCAGCTTCAGTCCGATGATTCCCGCTGCACACGGACCTACAATATATTTGAAAGCATTCAGCCGACCCTCCGTAACGTGTCTGTGTTTCTCACCGGAATTGATGCCGATGCGAATATGGCACGGCATCTCCGGGTATCCCTGGAAGGTCATGCCGTTAATCTGCTTAGAAAGGTGCAGCGACATGGACGCGATAATGTCCGCGTGACGACTCCCGTTCGGCACCGGCAATCCACTAACAATCTGCACAAAAAACCGTCACTGATGTTGGCGAAACGAGACAATGTTTCCCCGTACCATGTACGCATCGGCCACCGTCTCCACCTTGTAGACATCGTAGCGCTCGATAATCTTGTCGCACGTCACGTAGAGGTGGTTGAGAATATGCGTAGCCGCCACCGGGACCTGCGTTTTGCGGATGACCTCTTCGTAGCCCTCCAGGCGGCTGAAGAACACCGAAGTACTAGCGAACATCTCGGGCTGCACTTCTTTACCGGAGTTTAACGCCTGCGCTACCACCCTGCAAAAAACAACGCTAGAGTTTCGTTTCCCAATGACCGTATTAATTTTGCTTATAATAAGCCGGCGTAAACTTAAAGTGCCATAATTGGTTTGCAATGTTGTGACTGATTTTGACCAACTTGTCAAGAACGCAGCATACCTAACTGTTTCTCATCTGACTTTAGTTAAGCTTGCTCAGGTTTTACGCACGGCAAGATATAAATTCCTGCAAACTGAGCTTGTAGTTTTGCTCAATTCTGGTCCTCGCAAACTTTGGTGACCTTTAATATTTTTCCAACCTATTAATTAAAAGCTTCCAGGAAGCGCTAAATAAGCAATTCGAGTAGAGATGTTGTACCAGTGTCGTTGCAGTACCTGGGCAAAATAGTGCTGAGCAACTCTTCACCGCGCCGTTTCTCCTCCATGAAGACCTTGGTCCGCGCCTCCACCTGGTACTCCAGCGTGGCAGCGTACGTCTCCAGCCGCTTGATCAGGTGATCCGTCACGTTATCGGTCGTGTAGCCGGTCTCGTAACGAATAGTATCCAGCACCCGCCAGGCCGTTGGCCGCTCAACAGGGTCCTCGCTCCAACACTGCTCGATGAGGTCCACCAGGAAGGTCGGGCAGGCCGAGCGCGGAAGACGTGGACGGAGGGGCGGGGCTGCGCGTTTGACCTAAAACACAGCCAATTTACCAACCGACCAACAGCGACCTGCCCTCCTTACGTACTTCGTTAAGGACATCTTTTAGGATTTTAACATCCGACACCGTCCATTCGTCACTGCTGGGGTTCCCGAAGGGACCCTTTTGCACCACAATCTGATGGAAGAGCACCGCCATGCTGTAGATATCACCTTTGACCGAGCCCTTGGGCGGCATCGGCCGACGGAGGAATTCCGGCGCCCGCCACAGGTACACCGTCAGTTTGTCGATTTCTTCCATGTCCGCTTGGGGTTCGCGGAGCTCGTAGTCGTGGTGGAACGCGGTCAGACCGTGACCGGCCAGTTTCACCACGAACCGCCCGTCCACCAGGCAGGTGCTCTCCATTAAGAAACCGTGCGAGATCACCGGTGAGTTGTGGAGAAAGTTAACACCCTTTAACGTCAACCAAACCAGTACATGTGTGTGCATGTTTACCGTTAATTTCGTAGAGCAACTTACCGACGCCAGGTTGAGCATTATTGTGAATTTGAACGAATCATCCAGTCTGACAGTTTTCGACTGCAACAGTAGTTCCAGATCGCCCTTCTGGCACAGCTCGCCTAACACCGAGACGCAGAAATTGTCTTCGTTGACCTCGATGCCGGAGAATGTTTGGACGTTACGGTGTTGCATTCGCCGAAGCTATGAAAATTAATATTAAAAACATTATTTAAATACCCCCAAGTTCATGGTAATTTTACCGGCCGCAGACTGACGCCCATATCGGCAACAGCGCGCTTAAACGGTTTCGGCAGCTCGGAGGCGCCGATAGCGTTTCCTTGGAAGACGTAGATCTTGTTACATGTCGGATACAGGGAATCCATCGCCAAGGACCGGGATTTCGGGCCGGAGAACTGGCTGGTGGCCGCTGTTCCCGTGCCGGTTGGCTGACGCTTCTGTTACACATTTCAAGGTCAATCACGAGCTAAAAGTCTTGTGGTCAGTTTGTATTACGCTGCCGGAAGCGTTGGCGAATTTCGTTGCGGACGTGTTGGAGCCCATGCTGGTGCCGGTGCTGGGTGGGAGGAGTTGGTGCGAAAAGACGCGCCACCAATACGGGTCGTAGTGGGTGTCCAGGTAGCGTTTTCCTCCAAAGAAAACCCCGACTCCCAGTAGCACCAGGAAGATCACGGGAACTAGCGCCGTCGCGATGATTGTGCTGTCCGTCCAAACCGTTACTATAACGAGTGCAAACTAATCACTTTATGTTGGTAAATGCGCAGTATTAAAGTTGTGCGTGCAATCGGTCGAGTATACAGTGCTAGAAGTACGCACACGGATACCACAGTTTTAATACAATGCCTTCGTTCCGTTAAACGATCTAATCGTCTACCAACTAAACTCGCAAACCAGTTTCTCGATAATGGGACATAGTTTTAGTTTAATAGTTTCATCTCGGTAGCAGGTAACCCATTAACCTGCTGTGTTTTGCATACACAGCATGGGAATTTTCTCGATTGCAATAATTGCATTCAATATCAATCAGTTTACCAAACAATTTTCAGCTTCACTCAAAAGGCACAGCAGTATTTTGGATCAGCTTTCGTAGTGCAGCGGCTTCAGATCAGGTCTCTATGGATGCTCGGGAAACATCAACTTAAATACAAGTAGCGCTTATAAACTTTACAGCAATAATTTTTATCCAGTTGCTATTTTTTATTACGGAGCGGGTTCGCAAACACGACCGAACGGATCCTGTATACACTTGCATAAACAGACATCAGTCGTCTCTAGAATAATAACTGTTTGGACGGGCATACCTGGTTGGCACGCAGGATTCTCCCCACGGAATCCACACCGCGGCGTGTTACGCGGGAGACTGGCCGCTCCCTTCCAGTCAATGACATCCACGACGACCACCTCCTCGTTGGTATTGGGAAACTCTAGAAACGGCTACAACACGCGTCGCACCGGTTTACCAAGCCCCGGCGAAAAAAAAGCGTTGTACCTCGAATCGACCGGTTGAGGCAATAAAACGCTTGGCAATGTACGGAATAACCCGGTCGCCGTTGATGTCCAGCTGCACGATCCCGCTTACCGGGCTCACGAAGGAGTAGTTGCCTAACAAATTGAAGATCAGTTCGCTGTCGGCCACGTCGTGGCCCAGTTCGTATCGTTGGCTGACGAGGGACGCGTATAATAGAACGGCGTCGTAAAAATGCCCGACAGTCTCTTCCACCTATAAAATTAATAATCGTATGCAATTAGAATTACGAAAGTAAGCAACCGTTTTACCGCTTCGCGAGGTTTGTAGGTGTATCCGTATTTCGGCGACAGTTTCTTGACCTTGTTCTCGAAGGTCTCACGTGTGACGAGATTGACCGGTTCGTAGGAAAACAGCAGCAACGATGAGTAGGCATCTCGTGCGGCCTAAATAAAAGGTCACATTTGTATAATTCTTCCGCTAAGCGGGTCAAAATCGGGGCGGCTTACGATGTCGTTATTGTCGTGTCGTTCCCAGGTGAACGCGCCCCACGTGGCACTGGGGAACAGCTCCACCGCCAGATAAATCTAGAGACGATGTTCGGATACAAAAGCAAAAGGGTTCAAAGTGATTACGAATCTACGACCACCTTTATTACAGTAGCTATTTATAAGGCTATAATTTGCCGCCAGGCCTCGTTCGATTGCAATACTAAGGATACTATGGTGCGAATAGAACTTACAAATTCAACGCTGGTTAAGCCAAGTCTCCTGGCGATTATCTGTGTACACAGACAACGTATATGCAACGCAGTGTAGAACAAAACGTGTCTTTACAAGACAAAACAAATTCCCGTGCGTGCCATACCATGACACGACGAAGAGTGTCTCCACTGGCCAAAATCACAAAAACTGTAACAGAAAATATTATATAATTATTTCTTATAAGTAGCACTTTTTAAAATATTCAGTGATGTATACGTTACAGTGTAACATTCCGCATATACGTACAATATACATTTGTAATTTTTCAGTATAAGTTAATAAACCATTTCAATTATAAATTTTTTAATCATTCTACTCATAAATTTAAATCTCGTAAACGCTAAACATGTTTGTTAATTTGCTAAGGAAATTCAGTTTGCCACTAAATATTCTTAAGTTTTGTAATGTTGCTTAATTTTGGCTTTTGGCTTTTGCAATCGACCAATGTCACTGCATTTGATTATTCTGGCAGCTACTGCTTATTAATTAACTAATAATTGCAGGCTATATAACACGTACCTCGGCAGAAATTCTTTAAATCGGACAAAACCGCCTCAATGACCTGGTCCCCCTTGGCGGCCGCCCCGTCAAACGTGCGGAACATCACGGCCGATCTCTTCTCAAAATCCTCCCACTTCATAATTTCCCCGCGGATCACCAGGAACATGTCCTGATAGAAGCGGTCGGCGTCGTTGCACACCATCCCCACGTGTGTGTAATTAAAGCGCTGCCAGAACCTGGCTAATACCGCAAAGGTGTTAGTATGGGTAACGGAGATGCGCGCCAGCGAGGGATACAGCGCCAGATCCGTCCCGGCCCCGACGCCCGCTCCCGTGATGGCGATCAGGGGAATGCGGAAGTAGTCGGCTACGTCGTACAGCGTCTCCACATCCAGCCGGCAGCCTGTATAGCGTTAATTTCGCGATAAAGGGAAATGGCACGGGATGTTACGCGCGCAAACGGTTTTCAGAACAATGTATACAAATCATTTAGCTTTTAGAGTGGCATAAAGCATTACAAAAAAAGTGATTGGGAGTGCGCGAAAGCGAAAGTTGTATGTATCCCATTTTCGACACATGTACTGGGCCATTTTCCTTAATTACAATAACAACGTTCAGCACGTGCCGGGGAAAAGAGCCGGCTATTTACCGGGTCCGATGTAGACGTTGCAATTCAATCCGCGGTAGAAATAGTCCATGGCGTAACTGGTGACGTGACTGTCATAAGGTAATGCGGTTATTTTCACCTTGCACACGCAGCTTGCACTTAATATTGACGCCAAGAATATGTCCTGTTAATTTACTTTTGCAATCTGATCGCGTTATAATTATGGCATTTCGCCGCCCAGTGTTTATTTTTAAGATATGCAATTAAATGTGAGGCAGAATTAATCCGTGTGTGTCGGTTTAATTCTATTTCATGGGCATTAGGTGCGGTAAAAGCAAAACTGAGTTTGCTTTTCACAGCCGAATTCGACTTTAATCTTATTGCATTTTCCTGAAAACAGTTTATACAAAATTTTTCATTTTCCTGAAAACAGTGCATGGATTTTTCTCAATTCGGCCATTTTACGATCTTTGTGTATACGTTTTCAGAAACGGATCACTGGAACCCACCCGTGTGGCGCGCGTTACTTGAAATAACCGCTGATCGCGTACGCTGTTGCTAAATCTCAAATTTTCTAATTTTATTTGTTTATTTTTGCAAATTTTGATTTATTGATGGCCTGCATATAAATTAGGAGCTAAATTTTATGAGCGATAAATCGATCATTCTTTACTAATAAGAATGATCATTTCCGATAACTTCCCTGCTTTCCGAAATTAGGATTCGTATGGCCGGGTGGCCGGTTCATGAAAGCATATATATACGCAAAGCAACAAAATTTTTTTTTAGATGATATCAGCGTCTTTTATTAACAAACTCAATCAATTTATTGTTAATTTAAAAAAACAAATGTGAGAAAAAATATGTGCTGCGTAATTTACCACCGCGGTTATAATTGTATAAGCGGTAGCGCATAGTTACAGCATCTACAGTGTAACATGGTAAAAAAAGCCTTTTATCGCAGTCGTTTCGTATTATTGACGCTTACCTGTCGGTGCCGCACTGCGGCCCTAAATCCTGAATGACCATCTCCAAACTGACGTCGTCCGGGAGGACATTGTCGCGGACATATTCCAGCGCCAGATCCACGGCCGCGCCGCCCTTGCTAAAGTCGAAGGTGGACGACTTCTCGTACTGATTGGTGAACATGCAGGCTTGCAGTGTGTGATTGCCGGCCACCGCATTAATCCCGTAAAACAGCCACACATAATTATATAACACCGTCATCACGAATGGCGCCCATACAAATTTCTAACGGCATCTCGCCACACCACGATAATGTTCTGCTCCACAATTACAAATGTTATCCGGATGTATGGCGACGCTGCATTAATACTGTACTTGATTGTGTAAAAAATGGCTGGCATGTTGTCCCGGCAGCGACTGGCTGCGGGGGAAGATAATGCCGGGCCATTTCCCCAGCTATAACCGGTGCGCGTGCCGCGGACAAAAGACCGGGTTGTGATCGCGCTGGGAAGCAGGCCTGGAATCAGGCCATTCAAGTGGCAAGCGGTAGTGACTTGCGAAAATGCCGACACTGTGCCGCAACAACCGGCATGATCGGCTGCACGGCGGCGTCAGTCAGTGCTAATGATCACGCTGACTTTCCTGCGATTACAGGACCGTGTTCATCTGCCCTTTCTCCGCGATAATTATGACGCTCGTATTCCCTGGAATTTCTGCTATGCCGTCTCTGCGCAGCATTTCTTTCGTCGGCTTAATTTTTTATATAATCTGCAGGAATACTATTCGAAGGTCACTCGCATAAGCTTACAAGCAGCACCATAACGGGGATTATTTTCAATTGCACCAAAATCGAAGCAGCAAAAGTACTCGTACCTGTGTAACAAGAAACTGTTGTAGTGTGATGGCTGTCCTAGCGCCGTGCAGATTTCTATCAGTTATAACTTTCTTTGCCTTGTAAATGCACAATATTTCTATTACAAAATTAATGTTTTTTAAATATTTTTTTGGCACAGTTGGGTTCTTTTACACACCGACTTCCAGCCAAAACAATTCTAATTTTTGACGCGTAGCGTTTCTGCTGCCAGAAAATCTGGCCCAGAATCACCGTTAAACAACAAAATCCAGTGTTAACTTTGTAAGTATCGTACAACAGAAGAAGTTTTAAATGCAGCGGTCTCTTGCAATTTTAATTACAACCGAGACATTACGAAAGCGAGCTTTCGTAATGTCTCGTTACAACTCATGCGATTGACAGTTAATAACAAATACCCTTGTGATTAGCTGTGAAAAAGGACTGCGCAGATTTGTTGGATATATTCAACAAGCTAAGATAACCATTTTCTGATGTTTAATATTTTAGTTTGATTAGGTTGCGTAAGCGGCTTTTGCCCGCACAGTTAACCTTTAATCAACACGATCCATAAACACACATTAATACACCGCGTACTGTCTTATCACGGTCAATAAAAATTATCACGGCCGAGCACACCTCTTTTTAATTGCCCGACCGGCCACCTGACTGTCTTACACTACGATAGACAGCCGAGAGAAAAAGCGTCCCAAACTGATTTGGACCGGTCCTTATCACATCTAATCCCGCGATGGGTGCGTTCGTGCCGCTGACATTAGTCACGGATTGTACAAGAAAAAGAACAAACTACTACCGTACTTACAAAACCATTACACTACACAAAGTCACAAACCAGATGTTTTCTCCGATACCAGCACAACACGTTCTCAGCTGGTCGTTTACAAATGCATCAAGTGGACTTTGGCATGCAGTGATGGCATCTTGCACTCATCTGCTGTTGTGCGTATTTGCATGATTGGGCTACCGTGCACTCGCATAGGCTGTTTATCGCACGTACGTGTCGTACGTGTCCACTGTGCAGTGTGTGTGTGGTGCAGCACGTATGCGCGTCCATTTGCTGTGTGTGCCTGATCATTTCCAGTTCCGACAGGCAGAAACACGAGTTGACTGCACCGTGCTAATCTTATCACACCGGGCAACAACATGAAGTGTCTCTTACCTTCCTGATTAACGAACCGCGACCAAAAATGTTCACCACAGATTTTTGACGTGGAGCGTTGAATCTGTCTAGAAGATGATTCTCTAGCGTAATCGGACAGTATTAATCGTTCATTGCTCAGTATTTTTTTAACCCGCATTTATCCTATTTTTTCTACGATGGCCGCTATTTTACTACTCCTCTCTTTTTTCTTCTTTTCTTGTGTTTATTCTCAACACGACGTTCGTCCCCGGATTTACGAGCACCCCGACAGCGGTATCCGCTTCCAGGAGTCCGCGGGGGGCCGTCCCGGGAATCTGTTCACGCTGGATCAGTATAACCGGATCTATCGGCTGAGCGGTGACAGCGAAGGACAGGGCTTCCGCACCAGCGTATCCCCCGCGTCGACGACCACGCAGGACGCGGCGCCGCTGCGTAGTCAGTTGCTGCTGGTTAGTGGGAATGAGACGGAGACGGTGCTGGCCTGCAGTGATGGAAGCGCGTGTGGCCTGGCTAACGGGGAGAACTGGAGCTGGAGCCCGCTGGATCGCACGGTGAGTCAGCGGTTTTACGTCACACCGATTCTTCACTGTGTCTTCTAATTTTTCTGCGTTCTGTCATTTCAACCAGATAAGCAGAACAGCAGTGTCATTAAGTAATTTAAAAAATTAAAAATTAATGAACAAGGCGGCCGAAATTAATGATTAATTGGTGGCGGCCGAAAAGTGAAGCCTGTGTTGGCGCGCAAGGTTCTTCGCGGTCCGCTGAATTATGCGAGTTTTTTCTGTTATCGTGCTTGACGATTTACTTGCCTGGATTCAATGTTATGTGTAAACAATCGTCAGATAATAATTCCATAATTATGAATAACTATTGGGCAATATTGGCATTCCCTCGTGAATCATGAAAGTGAGAATTTTCCCGTTTTCTCGTAAAAATGGTTGTTGGGAGATCGGCGAAGTTTTGCGGCATGAATCATCCCGCTTGTTGCATGCGTCGAAGGGAGATCGTGCGATATTGCGCTGGGTTGACAGAGCACAGCGGAGTGAGCTGCATATGCAACAAGTGTTCTGGGCCACTGTTTGCTGTTCGCCTGAGAATTTCGCAAATAAAGCGGGGCACAGTCTTTTCGTCGTTTCACAATTTGGGGCGACAGAAGAACAACGGAGTGTAGAAAAACACATATTTCGTGAATCATGTTACTGTGTCATACGTTACGAATTTGCGATAATTCGCCGTCAGAATTTTGTCAACATTTCTCTTTAGTAAATATTTAGTTATTATCAGTTTTTGCTGATGAATCAATACTGCAAAATTATTAATTTAACGTTGCTGTCTAATAGAAATATTCTTGATTTGAAACTGAGCTATTTTAGATCTCAAACGGATTTGCTGATTTTTAAATTTAGTGAGCAGTATCTCAGTATTTCGAAATTACCGTTTAATTCGTGTACGTAGACAAACAGACCCGATTACCTACAAATGACAGAGCGTGAGGCGACGAGATAGTGACCGAAATGTCGACGAGATAATTTGCTTATCAGTGGCACCCAGACTGGCAGCATGTCGTCGATAACCTTTAATTTCTACTTAATTGTACCGCAGTTTTTCAAAGTAAACATCAACGTAGCGATTGGAAATTGCACATAACAGATTTTGTCAGATTTCTCGTTTGCACCGTTACAAGTTCGTTGATGATGCTGTTTGATCCGGAAAATAAATAAAACGATGATCGCTGGTTGACAAATTGTGGCTACTTGCTCGCGATCATTTGTCTTTGTCGATGGAGCGGCTGCGCGCGCTCCTGTCAGCACATGTCGCTCAGCCGGCAATCCGCTCCAACCTGTCTCTAAACAGTTCACTTTCTGTTGCTTTTTCTAATCTCTGTCATCGCCAATCAACCGTGGCGATAAATCACTTCGATCACAAAATGATGCCACTTTAGTAAACATTTAGTGGCTACCTGTATGTTTATACATGGAATAATGTTTATTTGTAGTTTATTTGTAATAAGTTACAGTTGAAGAATCTCTTGTGCTAAAAAAATCTGATATAGTTTTCTAATTGTTTTTGCATTACGTAACCCACATGATTCATTTAGCCGGGCAACGTGCGCGCGTCGCACAATAAATTCTTACGAATATCTGACACACACTCGCATTACACATATTGCAGATGGGATCGAACAATTTTTCCCAGAAGCAGCAGGTCCTGGGCGTCGTCTTCGGCGGCTTCTACTACATCGCCGCCGAGGACAGCGGCACCGAATCCTCCCTCCCGGTCCTCAGCGTCCGCGAACTGAAGAACGGCCAGTTCCAGTACCGGAAAAAGATGGCCGGCAACGTGGAGGCCAAGATCTTCGTCAACCAGGCCTTCCGCAACAAACGCCCCTGGAAGCTCCGCCCCGTCTTCCTCACCGTGCGCCCCGCCGGCAGCCCCTTCGGCTACCTCATCACGGTGCAGACATCGGCGCGGCCCGGCGGCAGCTTCGAGTCGCGCATCGGCCGCTTCTGCGCCGAGGACCGCTCCCTCATGTCCTACATGGAGACGGGCATCCAGTGTACGGGCCGCGCGCCCGGGGCGTATACCATCGCCACGGCGGGGAGTGTGCTGACGCGCAATAACAAGACGCAGCTGGCGGTGGTGTTCGGGAAGAACCAGCCGGGGACGTGGGAGACGGCGCGCAATATGGACACGGCGGTGTGTGTCTTCTCCCTGGAGGAGCTGGACCGGCGGTTTGATGAGGAGTTCGGCAAGTGTCAGGCGTACATGTACAAGAGCTCCGATCCCGTGGAGAAGCAGATGAGTAAGCTGCCCTGGATTGCCGGGTTGGGACCGCGGGGGCTGCCCAAGATGTGCAGCACGGTATGTACTCTGTAGGATAAAGCGAGCCATACGTTGCGTGTTTTACGGATTTGATGAATCGATAAATAAGAGCGTACAACATTATAATATCCGGTGCGGAGAAATCGCTGGCAGTAAACAAGTATGCGTTAAACGGAAGCATCTAGTTTTTTGTACTCCATTTTTTTTATAAAATAACACCAAGAGAATTTTTTCAAAAAGAAAGGTGAACGTTAAAATGTGTACTGTGCATATCGCTCGGCTTAATAAGAAAAACCGTAATTTCATTTTAATAGTGATTTTCTGTTATATTTGCTTATCTGAGTTATGTGTATAAATTTAATTTGATATGCGCGCGCTGATAAATTCCATTTTGTGGAAACTCACCTGAAAAGCGAACCAGCTGTGTTGTGAATGAGAAACGATGGTTATATTATGTACACTCGACAGTACTGTCGAGTAATGCTGTTTACAAGTAATGCTGTTTACATGACGAATGCTTCGGTCGATGGTGGACTGGTTTAAATTCCCATGCTGTGTATGCAAAACACAGCAGGTTAATGGGTTACCTGCTACCGAGATGAAACTATTATTATTAAACTGCGCATTCGGTGGAAATTTGTTTGACAAAATTCAGGAATTTATTTCTGCTGAGTAAGATATAGTACGTATCTGTACAGAGCGCACAGCTGCGTCATGATGAGCGCGAAATTAAAAGCAGATTTGTCTGTGTGCAGAGTCGGGACAAACAGTGCACGCAGATATCCATCAAGAACGACTTCATCGACGTCAAGGGCACTGTGGACGGGAAGGCCTGTGTGGAGACGTGGGACATGCGGGCGCTGCAGCTGGTCAGTGTCGATCTGCCGGCGGCCAACGGCGCTTTACAGGTACGTCCTTCCAGATCACGCTGGATCAGTCAATATTACTTTTATTTGTCAAGGTTTTCCCTTTTCTGCCCTTCATAAATGTCTTTTTATCGCGTGCCTTTTGTGCTGGCGAAGAAAGACGAAAACATTACTAAGAAGTGTGCAAATGTGTTGTAGGAATCGTTGGCGGCGATGTACGTTGATAATACGGCGCTGCGTCTAACCGAATTGGTAAGAATTACTTGTATTGAATTTCCTGGCGATTTTGCTGTTAGTTACCGGCTCTCTTATTCTTCATGCAGACACTGTCGGATGGTATTTGTCATGCCGAGCCGCTGTCCCTCGTCCCCACGCAAGTACCAGCCCGGCAGCGCAACCAACCGCCGGCGTTTGTGCCGTCGCAGCTGACCAATGAGGGCCGCGCGTACGTTGTCCTGGCGGAGAACAAGGTATAGCCAATCAGGCTACTTAGTGGACATGTTACGTAACTGATGCTTATCGCTGTGATTGCGATTGAGCAGATCCAATCGTTCCCGGTGGGCTGCGGCATGCACGCCACCTGCAGTCAGTGCATGCTGGCCAGTAAGCGGATGGGTTGTGGATGGTGCGAGACGGGGTATTGCAGCACCACGGAGAAATGCGACGCGGCGTTTTATACCGATCGCTGCATTCCGGTTGTTGAGGAGGTAAGAGCTGCTAATGGGAGGCGAAAGATAACCTAAAAGACAATATTAAAACATAAGAAGGCATAAGAAAGCCTAACAAAACCTAAGAAAGTGTAAAAAACATAAGAAGACCTAAGAAAATCTAAGAAATTAGAAGGCAGAAGTAAGCCTACGAAAACATGAGAAGCATAAGAAAGCGTAAGAAGATTTAAGAAAGCGTAAAGAAACATAAAGAAAGCATAAGAAAACCTAAGAAAGCAGAAGAATTATGGACATTTCCTTCAACAAAACGTTAAATAATGGCGATACGTCTGACCCAACAGTTTTCCCCGCAAAACGGCAGCTTTGCCGGCGGCACGGAAGTGACCATTAAGGGCCGCCTCTTCGGCTCGCGCAACGCCAAGGTCAGCGTGCTAATCGCCGGAGCGGCGTGCCCAGTTATCAGCCGGACCAACGACACCGTGTAAGTAACACTTCTTTACTCACACAGCCCAGAAATTATTTATAACAAATAACGGATTAAACTGTGCGAATAATTATGATAGTAATTTTTTTTATTAATTTAGAATTACGTGTAAAACGTCGACATCATCGGCGCACGGCCCCGTAGAGGTCACCGTCACCGACCGGAAAGCCTCCAACCCCGATCTGAAGTTCGACATTCTGGGCAAACACCATCTGGCCTCGCCGGTCTTCCGTTATCTGGTACGCGATTCTTAATCAAAAGGGCCACTGCTTTAATTAATCTACAGGGAAATTGCGGATTCCTAGGCGCCGAAAATCGACAGCATCGCGCCGGCCTTCGGTCCCAAGACCGGCAACACCCGTCTGACCGTTACCGGCCGCGACCTGCGCATCGGCAACCAGCAGGAGATCCTGGTGGCCGGCATTGCCTGCCGCGTGATATCGGCGACCGGCGACACCGTCATTTGTGACACCGGCGCCTCGGAGAACTCCCAGAAAGGCGGCGTGGCGTTGGTAATTGATGGAAACAAGGTGGAGTCCACCGGGGAGGCGGTTAGCTTCGAGTATCGCGATGAACCGGAGATTCGCCAGCCGGCGGCCAAACTGAAGATGACGCTCAGGTAGGCGGATGGATTTCGCTGTACATTTTGAGCGTTATGCCTGGATAAATAATTCTGCTGTAGTATACTAAGAAAATAACCTTTCTTCATAAGAACAGAAATAAGAATGTTATTCATAATTTATAAGCAATAATTTGGGTATTAACTCTAAATCATCATCATTCTTTATGTGTCTTTATTTGCACAAACCAGTCAGTCAAGAAATTTTGTAACAAAATGGAGCGAATTATAACAACAAAATCTCTTATCAACATTTTAAATTATTCTACATTATTAACTGCAGGTCATTTGACAAAATTAATAATTATATTTAATACAATTATATTTGCTAATATAAATATATTTAATATAAATATACATAATATTGCATTATAATTATAATTAATACAAAAATAAACAGAAAAATCGAAAAAAAAACATTTGTTGTATTTTTAGCGGGAGCAACATATTCGTCTTCCACGGCAGCAATCTGGACGCGTTCAGCGCCCCGCCGGTGCTGGTGCTAACCGGTTCAACGGCCGCCGGCGCCATGTTCCAGTTCAACAGGGTCGGTCACACTGCTTTGTTTATTCCCACTGGAATAGAATTGGTTAACGTGATGTTTGGAATTCAGTCTGGAGTTTGTACCGATTCATTTTAATCAGGAAATAACGGGTCGTTTCCGGTTGTAGACGTGCCTGCCGGTGCAGCAGGCCGACGTGCTGCAGTGCCCAGCGGTGTCCCTGCGCGAGCAGGCCGACGATCTGGGCGGGATTAAGGACGTCAGCGTCCGTCTGGCCGGACCGGAAGTGGTCGGGGACGTGGCGCAACCGTTCCCGGTGGAGGTCTTCCCGGACCCGGAAGTGGACATGTGGAACGAGGAGAAGACGCCCGAGTTCACCGAGCGCCAGGGCGTCCAGCAGTACATCATCAAACTCACTGTACGTTTAGTTAAAAAACTAATTGCAGAAAAACATATACATTTTGTAAAGTGGAAAATTGCTAATTAAGAAATCAACGAATCACCGTCTTATTATTTTTACTTGTCGCAGCGAAATTAAAATTATGTTAATTTGAAATGATATTAATTATAAATTATAATTGAAGTCATATTAATTTGGTAATTAAAATATCCTTTTAGTAAAGGTCACTTCTATGCGCCTCAAAATTTTAGGGCGCATAGCACTTTCGTTAAATAAATCTGAGTAACTTATCAAATGAAATTATAGAGAGCATTACCTGCTGAATTTTTGTTTCAGTTCTTAATTAAATTCATTAAATTTAATATTCACATTTCACACCGGCGTTTCAATATGAACATTTGAATAAATATTATCTGAGAGAGTATTTGTTTATTTAATTCACCGTTTTCAGTTTATTTGATTCAACATACTGAATTTATTTAATTTGAAAATGTAATGATATCTAATTTTTAGGGAAAACGGCTGGATACCGTCCTGGCACCGGGCGAATACCACATTGTGGTGGACCGCGAACCGTGTAACGTGACGAAACTAGAGGAAAACAACCTGGAGTGCCGCGTGAAATACAGCCCGGATCTGGACCAGGGCGAGGCCCTCCTGCTCTGGGTACGTCCGCCCAGACTGCTCCGTATTGTGTAAAGAGTGACCGATGACCTTTGCAGTTGGCCGTGGGCACCGCCGCCCCGCGCCGCTTCGGCGAACTGAAGCTGCCGCCGCCGAGCGCCCTGCCGACGACGAGCCACGAGGAGTACGGGAAGAGCAACCGCGACGTGACCATCGCGCTGGCCGTCATCGGCGGCGCCCTGACCCTCGCCGTCTTCGTCGCCATCGGGGTCATGGTGCGCCGCGCCCGCCGCAAGGCCAACGACACCCCGCCCTACTCCCCCACCTGGCGCGATATGGAGTCCGCCGAGACCCTCCTCACCAATGACCTCCAGAATAATTTGTGTAAGCCCTAACAGTAGCAATAAGCGATTAAAAACGAAACGAAAATTTAATAATGAAAAAAAAACAAAAAATAATAAGAGTTAATTACAAAGAAAAAATAATTTCAAATTTTAAAATTCAGGAATTTTAATAAAGTTTTACAAGTATTATCGTAACAACAGCTTAGCCTAGTTAAGCCTAGTTTATTAACAACGATTCTAGCGTAATTTGACAGCATTATTCCATAGCACCGCCAAATAAAGGTCAATTTGACAAAAATTTGTATAAAAATTGCTTTGCTCAGGATAACTCTGTAGAAATCACAGTTAAATAAGATAAAAAAATAAATCTACACATGAAAAAATATACCTGTAATAATGCAAAGAGACTGATGAAGTAAAAGTGTAAATGTGAATTACTAAAAATAAGAATAAGTTAGAACTAAGATGGTAAATAAATAAAATGAACAAAAATTAAAGTAATTATATTAAAATTAAATTGATTATATTTTTGTGTAGTGTACGGCCGCGGGCGACCGGAAGTCCCGCTGACACGGGAGTTTATCGAGAGCTTCCGCAAGGACCGTTTGATTATCGACCCCGCCTACCTGGAGTACGGCCGGGAATTGGGAGCGGGCAGCTTCGGGACGGTGTACGAAGGACTCTTGCGCTCGGAGATCGGCGAGCCGGCAGCCGACGCCCGGCGGGTGGCCATCAAGACCATCCAAGGTCGGTCATATTTCTCCGTGTCGTTAGCTGCGTAATACGATGTACTGTTGTCGTAGATCTGCCGACGCCCAGCAGTCTGAAGGAGTTCTTAAAAGAGGGCCTGGTGATGAAGGATCTGCGGCACAAGAACGTCATGATCCTCTACGGCATCTGCGTCAGCTCGCCGGACGGGACGCTGACCAGTCCGGGCCTGGTCATGCCCTTCATGAGCAACGGCGATCTCCACACCTACATCCGCAAAAATGTAAGCAGCACTGTCAGCAAAAATTTTGCCGTTAACAGTATTTAAATAAAATTATATTATTGAGCTTTGAAATATTCGAAATAAAATCCATTAAATTTTATTTGCCATTACCCACCTGCGTAGCAACAAAATCGCGTGACCTTTGTCAGTTTGAACGTCAATGTGCGTAACTCAGCCGTCGTATTTCCTTTAACAACACCTAAACTAAAAGTATATTCAGTTTCCGATAAAATTTTAATTTTGCAATTTTCTTTTAATTTATTAATTACATTTTGATAATTTTTTTAATTTTTTCGGATGTTTTCAAATCTTTTCGTTGCCTGTGTAGGAAGTGGTGTTGAAGGACATTCTGGGCTTCTCGGTGCAGATCGCCGAAGGCATGGCCTACCTGTCCAGCCAGAAGATCGTCCACCGTGACCTGGCCGCGCGCAACTGCATGTGAGCCGGTCTTTTATTGGCCTTTCACCAAATCTGGCAACTACAATCATTGTGCTATTTTTAGGTTGGATGACGAGCTGAACGTGCGCATCGCGGACTTCGGGCATTCGCGCGACCTGTACGAGTCCAACCTGTATTTCAACCCCCAATCGCAGACGCCCCTGCCCTACCGCTGGATCGCGCCGGAATGCATCCACAGCGCCTACTCCACCAAATCCGACGTGGTCAGTTCAACGAATGATTTGTTAATAATGCGCTTGCCGATACATTTTAGTACAGTGAATTCGAGAATTTCCACAACACCCTGTAAATTTTCGAAGAATTCCGGTTTTTGGTGTAGATTCACTTCACTATTTATCACTCTATCATAGAAGATTTTGAAAGCGATTCTGATCTTTGAGCACAACAGACTAATATTATTTAAATTTAAATATTATTATAATATTATTTAAATATTATACAATAATATAATATTATTTAAATTATTAGATATTATTTAAATTATTAGATATTATTAATATTATAAGATATTAATAGAAGAATAATATTATTTAAATTTTTTATCCATTTTGATTCGGCACATCTGAGTAGCCGAATTGTGGCGCGCATACGCCTTTTTCACGCCAGTTCAGACAAAACACCGCTGACTGTACAACGTGTTTGGCTCTGGTTTCTGCCGTTCTAAACACTGATATTTGAGAAAGAGAAAATAACCCTTTTAGGCTTCGCGAAGGCGAACGTTGTCGTCAGTGTGCGCGGCAGTTACTACGATGTATGGGTGAGCGTAGGAATGGGAAAGTAATTGCCGTGTGTTTGTAGTGGAGCTTCGGCGTGGTGGTGTGGGAGCTGTTCCAGAAGGGCGAACGGCCCTACGGCGAGCTGGACGCCATGGCGCTGCTGGAGTCCCTCGGCAAGGGCTTCCGTCTGCGACACCCGCTCAACTGTCCCGAAGCAGTGTAAGTGTATTCTGCGTCTCTGTTGCCTTTACAAAAATATTTATGTGGCACATATGTTTGGTTTCATGTATTTTTTGTAATAGTACCGGTACCAATTTGTCAAATACATAATATTATACATGCAAACTTTATGGAAGAATACTAGTACGTATTTATATGTATTTAACTTTGGCAGGTATGTAATTATTATGTATTTTGTAGAAGTTATGGCATATATAATTAGTATTTTAGTAAACATATAATAACCTTTTTAAATACAATTTCGTACAGCAACTCCTACATAGATAATTTTCTTTAAAAAACCTTGGTATGGAAAATTTAATTCGCGTTTTTAGAACTTTATACTAAATTTATTATTTCAAGTGCGTTTTCTGTCACTAACAATAAGAAAACTACAGCCTTATTCCTTACCAGCTCCTAAAAGCGTGGTTTGTAGTGAAGTGGCTCATTCTTATATCTTGTGTCTATTTGTAGAGGCTGTAGTTGCTTGTATTTAGCTTTAACTTCTATGCAGAATAAAATTTTTTACCTTTCCGATGCAAAAATTTCGCCACGGACGTTTAGGTGTTGTACGAATATTAATTTATTGTGAAATATACTGGGTGGCCGAACAAAATGTCGGTATGTTTCTTTGACGTGTTGCGGGTCCATCCAGCTTTTGGTTAACAGCTTTCTAATTTCATTTGAAAGAGCATTTGAAATTTCATTTTCCATATCGAAAATAGGAAAAACCAACATTATACAAAGCTCTGAATTTTTTACAAAATCTCTGGAAAAAATGGGTGGATTTTGGGGATGTCCAGGAAGCCCAAATTCAAATTTAACATTTTGGAATTCAAATTCGCCGTTATTCGACGAATTATTTTAATGGATGTAACCTTACTATTTCGAGTAGCGGAAATGTTTCTTCCTTTCTATTCGTAAAACAGTTTGACCTTTAGTGGATGTGTTCGGACTAGAAGCGGTAAGCACAAAAACCCGCACATATGATTCTCGTGAAATCAGGTAGCCGGTGCTTTAATAATAAATTTCTCTCCGACGTTTCCGAAACTGATAAGGCTTAAACGTATTTCTATAAGAGCAGTCATTTAGCCTCATTTATCATCCAAATTGGCTTATCTGGTTGCAGCTTGTTTTACATCGAAAAAATTTCCTAAAATAAGCGAAAAAATCTGACCAAAAACTTGCAGTTTTTGGGATAGCCACGAAATGCCGGAACTGCATAGCTCATTCAGAGCATGCACCATGCCAACAACTCTTTTTCTTTGAAAAGCAGAAGGTTTTCGCTAAATAAACCAGCTGAAGAAGTTAAAATACTGCGTGCTGGAAAAGCGTATTACCAGATTCAAAATTTGCGAGGTGGGACAAAATAGATTTCTACGTTCATGTTTTTATTTTCTAAAATTAATTTCATTGTTTCAAATAGCCAATTAAATTTTCTATCGAGCGACTCTAACTACTTTACGGTAGGATAAATGAACCAAACCACAACAGGAGACCGACATTTTGTTCGGCCACCCGGTAGTATATTTTATATTAAATTTATGTAGTATAATTGTAATTTAATAACAATTTATTTCACCATGAAATTGGTTTTAGAAATATTGTGACAAACCGTGGCTCGTGTGCCCTGTACTGAAAATTATAACACATACTCTAACCAGTGAAACTTTTTATTTTTAAAGATGTTTTGGTTAAATTATTGTTTCAAATATGGATGGTTTTGGAATATCATGTGTACGATAGGTACAACCTGATGCAGCAGTGCTGGAGTCAGGTGCCGGACAGCCGGCCGGACTTCCAGAGCCTGTGCGTCAATCTGCGCGCCATCCAGAACGCCCTGCAGCTGAACGGCAGTGCGCCGCGCTACGAGAACGTCTACTCCTTGTCGCCCAAGAACGATCCCGACGACAGCGACGGGGAGGACACGCCGGCGGACACCAACTACCTGAACGGAGGTTATTTCGCCGCTCAGCAAAACTGAGCAGGCGCTACCATTAAACGGCCGGGCGGAGCAATAAATATCGGCCGTGGCGTATTTTTTTCTCTTCCATTGATCTTACACAGCGGATTCCGCCGACACGGGCGCTGGATTTTTTTTTTTGGACGCGCACCGCGATTTTCCATAGCGGCAGTCGTGGGCGCCATTTTTCTTGCGGGGATGTTGATGGTATATGTATTTCGTTGGGTTGTTGTGTTGGCGGTGTATAGAAGAACCGAGATTATTTTGTTATTTCTTTTTCCTGGATTTTTTCGATATATTTTGTTGAGTGTACGCCATTGCTTGAGACAAGTTTAGGCTGTCATATTGTACAGCGTATTTTACTTTATTTTTTTTGCCGTTGAGATTTGTTACTTTATCCTTCCCATGGAAATTTACGGTAATCAAAAATTTGTACAAAAAATTCCCTAACCGAGTAGAGCTTCAGTAGAATATATGCGCTTAGCACGATGACGAAGAACTACTGCTTTGATTCCTATAATTTGTACTTATGTGTGCCTTGCTTTTTTTTAACGATTGAGTAATCCTAATAAGCTTCAATTAGCAGTCCCGGTAAAATGTAAGAAAACCGTCGCTTGTGTCGAGAAGAAAGTCGCAGCACCAATTTAAATACGGAAAAAACGGTTTTCCTAAAGGTCACAGGTTGCCTGTGCTTTTGGCGACCGCCACATGACCCATACTGCGTTCTCCCAATGCATGTAGCATTTATTCAGTTGCTGGACAGTGGACACCATACAAGACATTCAAGTTCACCATCTTCTTACAAATCGCACGCGACTGCAGCGATCACATCGTTCTTATATGAATAATTACTGTACCAGTGTATAACGAGTTCAACCGATAAAACGTCCGCGTGATGTACACAAAATCTTGGTCCGTGGGGGCGGGTGGCGATACCCCTGGTGGGTGTAGGGAGAAGCTCTTGCGGATCTGTCACCTGGTTTATTTGCCGCCACCGCCGCCGCCAGCCGCGGTGAGGGCGCCGCCGATGCCGTTGAGGATGCCGCCGGCCAGGGAGAGGCCGTTGAAGGCGCGGCCGCTGAGCTTGGTGTTGGACTGGACGAGGGCGTCGCCGATGTTGGCCACGGCCGTCATGATGTCGCCCATGTCCTTGAACACCGCGTTGCTGTCCCCGCTCTCACCCGCGATCTTGTTCGCCGACGCCACGATGGCCTGCGCCTGCGCCACGATCACACTGTTGGCCGCTTGCCCGTACGCTGTAACACAGACATCACACAATCAGCTTGCGATAAACGCGGTGCTCGTCGAATACTGACGAATATATACCGGTATTTTTACGCTGTATAACTGCAGTAGACAATAACTGAGTGCACGCTGTAAAGTCTTATGACTTACCGCAAGCCAGGAGAACGGCAAAGGTCGCCACGAAGAGGAGCTGCATGGTGGCAGAGTGTTGAGAAATCAGATGTACTGCCTCGCTGCGATAAAATGTTCAAATGAAATAAAAAAGTGATAGGAGACTGCTAAAGCCGCATTTGTACAGTGTGCAGCCTACACGCCTACATATGCAGGCAGCGCTGTCGTCAATAGCCGCGGAGAATGTATTGGCGGTAGGGTAAATCGGTTAATTGTTGGTCAGCGACCTACTGCCGCTTCTTCGCCGCCACGAATGCGCACCACTTCCGCGCATACACATACGCTGACTTTCTGCACAGATAGTGCGCTGGCAACATGGCCGACAAATGCGCGGATAGCGAAAACGGCGAAGTCGTTTTCAATGATCTTCACATCGACACACCTTGCACACGTGCATCAGCAGCAGACAAAATTTACCTTTAATGAAACAACGTAGGTTGTCTGTTGGTGACCTTTATAGTCAACATTTAATTTTTCGGCATGGCAGTTACTTGTTCGAGAACATACGGTTACCATACTATACTATTTTATTCAGGCCAAAACATCTTTTTAAACATAATAACAAGCATGCGCTGATAGACACTAATAAAATATTTTAAATTACATTTTGAAGAAGCCACGAAAATCATTACTATCATATCCGAATTACGGTTGCGCATTTATTTGTGAGCATTAAAAAATTCATCTGCATTATGTGAGCAATACTGTACAAGCACAGCTATCGTTAAGCACCGAGCAAAAGAAATCCACTTCTTTGGTGCTGTACAGATAATATTATTGCTTCTTCTTTATGCGTTATTTTTCTCCTAATGTCGTCTGAAAATCCTCTTATGTGAGTTGGCGAAGGTTTATCGCGACCGGACAAGCTGTTATTTTCTCGTTAATACTCGTACTGTACGTAATAAATTTCGTTCTCAAAATGGTTTTTCGGTTGCACTATTTTCGTTTCTACTTAGCGATTTGTATTCCGCTTTGAAAATTGTTACGAATATCTTCGTGCCACGAATCGAGAAACTCGGCGCAACTGCTACAAACAGGCTTTATTTTTACATACGACCGCTGCGTAGAAACTGATAGCAGTCGTGTTAGTATAAAATCTGGGGGCTAAGCTTTAGCGTGAACGGGGCCATTCGGATTATAAAGTCACACAGACGCAGCATTCATTATAATCTTGTATCAGTTGTTAAACCAGAAATCCAGTTAAAGACACAGTGCGTCCTGCGGAACACAAACTGGCGCATGTAATGGGTAACCAGGGCGAACGGGACCAGGACTTGGTTAGAGAAGTTTGCCGAAGCTGGAGAGGGCGCCACCGATGCCGGAGACGATGCCGCCGGCGAGGGTCAGTCCGTTGCTGGCGCGGTTGGAGGCCTTGTTGCCGGACGCCTGGCCGTCGGTGTCGGTGTTGTTGACGATGAGCGCCACCTGCGCCACGATGTCCGCCATGTGCTGATACGATTTGCCCTTGCTCTGGATGTCCGCCTGCATTTGCTGCGCGATAGACACGATCTGCTTGGCCTTGTCGATCGTCACCTGCGTGTCCGACTGCACGTAACCTGCATCGTGGTAAAAGCGTAATTAAGACAAATGCTACGCTTTTTTAATGCGCACACTTACCAATGCACACTGCCACCAACACGAGCACGACCAGCTTCTCCATGGCGAAAGGTACGGTTTTGCGTTAAGTTATTAAAAACGACAGCAACGCCGGAAAAAAATTATGAGAGAAAAGCAGAAAAGCGCTTATTTGCAAGAAGCGTCTTGTTCAGTGTAGTTACTGGTGTGCTGATCGGCGATTTGGCAGTGGGCGTGGACAAGACGGCAACAACAGCAACAAGCAGCGAAAGTTCATTAGCACATGGTGCTCCTAATGGGTACCGCGTGCGGCAATTAACCTGTTGCCGGCAGCCATGACAGTTCACTGCTCCGCGACAACACAGCAATTTGCAATGCAGAGTGGCTACCACGTTTTTCGCTGAATCCGAGGTGCGGCCGGTGTAAGAAAGACACCAGCTACTAACCGTTCCTGGCTGATAAACTGCCGGTTACGCCGTCTGCCGGCCTCGCCTACAAAACTTGTTTTGATCAACAACGAGACACCGGCGCGCCTAATTGTTGTTTTTTTGAGACGCAGTGATAATGCGGAAGCAGTGAGAGTCTCGGCGCGCGACACGGAAACACAGATGCGTGGTTGATTAATGACCGGCAGAGGAACAACCTCGCTTACAGCTATCTCGTCGCGTATGCGTTACTATCTGTACTCACACTGCTTCGCTCTTACATTTCGCCGGCACGCTAGTTTATTGTGGTGCGCTTTGCAAGTGTAATTGTTCTAATTTTGTGTGGAGCTGTGCTGTGACGACAATCGACGACAATGGCTTCCTTGGTGGCTCTGCTGTCCCTTTTCTGCGTCGTTGTTCTAGGTAAGACGAACGAAGCATGACCATTATTATGTAATCAAAATATATTTTATTCTGCTTCTATTTTTTAAAAAAACGTTTATACGTTTTAAAAAAAACGCTTTTAATAACGAGAACTAGCACAATAAAAGAGTGACCTTCCTTTAACCTACCGTCCAACGGATTAATTTCTGTTTGCAGTGGAATGCCAGATCACCGTTCCGCCGGGCCCTAACGGCGGTCTGCAGGCGGCCAAGGCCATCGAAGCGGCGGGGATGGCGCTGCAAGTGGGCGCCGGCGACATCAACCAGGTGCACCAGTACGTCGGCGACATCATGGACAACATCCAGGCCGTCATCCTGGCCAACTCGCCCTCCGCCACCTCCGGTCCCTACGGCCAGCCCGGCCCCGTCAACCTGCACAGCGACGAGGACCTCGGCGCCGCCATGTTCCAGGGCATCGGCAAGGGCCTGAAGGCGGCCGGTACTCCCGGCGGCCGCTGAACGCTGTGATGGCATCCCCACGTGACCTTTGTTGTAAAGCTGCGTGTTAAGATCAGATTCTGTCAGCCATGTGATGCTGCTACCGAAATGATACGTTTTCCAGCTGAATATATGTGTATACTTATGAATTACGAGTGTATGTGACGAAGACGGAAAAACGTTTTTTGCCAAGAGAGGTTGTGCGATAAAAATTACTGCCGGAATTCGGTGTCACTATATGCGCCAATGCCGGCACATCCACGGCATGCCAATTTAATCATAGAAACCTACCCGAGCATTTCAGCCAATAGGAAAACTGCATTAAGTACGAGCACAGGTAGCCCAGTTGTACCAGTCCGGTTCCAGTTTTGTAGACTTTTGGGAAGATCTGCTTGATGTGCAGTCATTCTTACGTTTTCGTGATGGCTTTCCTAACATGTTCCGAAAGTGGTAGACTGAGCATTTCGAAGATCGTTCCGGCATTAGCTAATCTGTAACTATAGTACCATAAATGCTTGCAAGTTTCCCCAACGAATCATCAGAATTATTTTAATCGGGGTACGGAGATACCGTATAACCCATGTCACTAGTACCAACTTACACCTTCTGTTACTAACAATTTCCATTGCACTTTGTAAAATGTACAATTCAAACAATCGCATGTGATCACAACGCAACAAAAGCAAAACTAATGTCGTTACACTGATCGAGAATGCTAAAGAAACACTTTCATGACGAAGAAACAAAAATGCAGTCTAATCGCAAAACGAAGCTATACCCCAGCGCGAATTTACCTTACGAAACAGCAACGGCATTGACGCAACAGGGAGGAGAACTCATTCACGAATAACAACGCCACGAGCGGCCGCGTCGACGATTTGCCTCACCGAGACCGCCGACATCCCGTCCATTACATCTCGCGCACCGTTTACCGCCGTGACCTTAACACCGTTCCCCGGGACAAACCATTCCTTTGGAACGGGAGCCTCCGCGTGGACCAGTCCCGGTTCCTCGGGGACCTTCTCCTTGATCTTCACATCGATGAAGCCGCAAACTTTCTCGCGCATTGCCCCAATCGCTGGGTCTTCCTCCACGGCCTTCCGCTTCCTCCCCTTGGGTTTCTTCTCCGGAGGTGCATAGTAGGACACGAACAGCTCCTCGCCCGCCTGCAGGTGGCGCGCCGCAAAGAACCCAATGTGCTGCTGACCGCGCACCGTCACAATGTGCGCCTTCACGTTCTCATTGGCCAAGGAATGATTCACGAAGCGCATCGTATTGCCAAAATCCGCGGCGTCCACGGCCAGCTGCTTGTTCAGCACGAACTGGTACGTGCCGTAGCGGTCGAGAAAATAAGCGGCCCGCTGATTCGCCTCATCCACACTGATCATCTCGCCCGTGTACTCGTCGATGAACTGGCCGGCCTTCACGACTTCCATGATGAACGTCCCGATGCCGGACACGGCAGAACGGCCGCACAGCGTCTTCTTCCTGTGCCCGAAATCCGCGTAGACACCGCACTGGGCGCAGACGTAATGCAGCTCCAGGCATTTGCACCGGTAATGGCGCCGCGCCGGTGTACAGCCCCGCGTGCAGGGATGCGGGCGACGGTATGGGCAGTCGGCCGCGCAGGCGCAGGCTTCGTGGCAGAGGGTCGTGCCGCCGGTTTCCGGGCAGTGGCAGTTGCTCTTGGGGTCTGAACAGGGGAAGCCCGGGTGGTGGCACGGACGGTACTGCTGCCGAAAGTTTCCTACATGTTCCTCCTCCATGCTGATGGGTTCTGGCGGACTGCACGCGATGGCTGTCAAGCAGTTATGATAAAAATTAGCAGCTTACAAAAACTATACCATTTTTTAAACATTAGTTTTAAACGTACCCGGTCGAATCATCTTGGGTTTGGAGTTCCTGCAGCTCCTGACCACTTCCCCAGCAATCCGCCAGACATACCGACACGGCAAGTCCACCAGCTCCGCCAGCTGGCAGTACGTCGGCTGCCGACCGTCCACATCTTCCATCAACCACGCCTTGATGATGGCGCGCGTCGACGGCGGTTCCACGACGCCCACCATGCGCTTCTTCAGCCGGTGAAGATGACACTCCGCTCCGCACGGTCTGCCGGCGGTGTTCGGCTTCACGATGGGACCGAGTTCGATGGGCCATACTTGAGGCGGCACCGGGCAGGCTGCACACGCGAACCGTTTGCAGCGCGGACAGAAGTGTGACGCGGCGAACGCCAACAGGGCCAGCATGTCGTCCAGGGGTCCGTGGCGGGGTTCCTCGACGGCCTCGGACTGGGTGGGCGCCGTGGTGTCGGCAGATTGCGCCGGTCGGGATACATGACGCTCATGGAGGACAACGTTACGCGAGACCAAGGTGAACGCCCTGGCGGTGGGAAGCGGCCGGATCCACGGCAGTTCCTGACGTTCCTCATCTGCAACATGGTCGCAGCTATAGTTTTTAATTTCATCCGCTGCTGATTTCCTTGTTTTGCTTTTATTTATTCCCTTAAGTCTTACCTGAGGGAATATAAAAATTCAAAAAATCTTTAAATCAAATGAATGAATAAAAATTTTTTAAGTAAAGGAATTTACTTAGGAAAAACCTCATTACGAGAAACCGTATTTGAGAGCCACGGCTGCCGTTATCGATTCCCAGTTATGGTAATTGTAAAATCGACCGAGATGGCGTTTGTCTTTTTGCGTCGGCAACTTACCCATGATATAGGAGAACTTGTCATGTCCGAATCCCTCCGGGATGACGCCGTTCTCCGGGAGCGACCGGGGATTCATCCAGGGATTGAGGTAATCCGGCAGCTCCAGCGTTTCCACCTTGACGATATCCAAGGCGCTGAAGGGTAACGGACAGCGCAGGTGCTGATGGAGACCGTCGCTTTCCACGTCGCCGCTGTCCACATCCATGGCAGGAAGATCTCCAGGGGGCGCTAGCGGAGTGATGGAAGATCCTTCCTCTTCGGTGGCTACCGCTGCTCGACGGGCAGCGGTGAAGCGCTTGTTGGCGTTGCGTAGCGTCCGACGGCCGACGGATCCCGCAGTGGACGCCATTCCTGCAACGCTGATACTTATTACATAAAACTATACGCTTTAATAGACAACAACAAGCAAAATAAAAGTACGTAAACCCGCGGTGACTATTTAAACTAATATATCAACAGAAAAAACTGCAAACCAACAGACAGAATAATTATAAAAGTACCTTAAAACTACTACGCGAAACAATTAAACTGAAATTGCTGCTGGAGAACTGAGCATTCAACCAACAAAACGAAAATGATAGTTAAAACAAAAACAATTCAAGAAGTAAAATTCACTGGCGACAGCCAACATCCACAATTCCACACTGACTGGCTCGTTGAATCGGTCAACCCCTGCGCAGTTACTTATATAGACTTTTTAGAAGCGCATGGAATCAGCTCAAAAGCTCTAAAGAATATGAAGCCTTCAACCCTGATCCCGCCCCCCGAGATTCCAATTATGAGGCCTTCTTTGAGAAGCGTTTTTAACCGGCTATTTCCGCACAACAGAGTCGCCGCCCATTCCATGTAAAATGGACCGGTAAATTCCATGTAAATTCCATTGCGGGGCGCCCAAAGTACCACCCAATCTACTTCAGTTTTTCTTCAACCGTCAGCTAAAACATCCAGACAACACAACGGTCAGCTAGAAAAAAACGTTCGGCTTGCAATCGCAGCACGGTAATTTTTTCTGTGCGCCGTGAAATCGGATCAGCAGTGCATCTCATCAAAAGACGACGACTGAATGTGCAAAAGGTCATCTTCGCTCTATCCAGTGCATACGGTATTTCGATTATAAAGACAGTTCTTGGCGTTGTGGTGATTTCCCCCCCCTCACTGTGCGCAGTCCACTAACACATGTAGCTGGCTACAAGGGCGGACGGACCCTGGTTCTGCGCTCAGCGGCCGCCGACGCCGAAGCGCTTCCATTCGCACAAGCATAAGCAGTCCAGTTTCCAGTCACATTTTAGCCGACAGAAAAAATTCAATAAGTGCGAGCACAAGCAGTCCTGTTTTACCATAGATTTGATAGACTTTTCGGAACATCTGTGTCATCTGCAATATTTCTTCCTTTTCGTGATAGCTTTCGCAACAGGTCCCGAAAGTGGTAGACTGAACAATGGAACATTAAGAAGATCGTGCCGGCATCAGCTAATCTGTGCCTAATATAACTGCTTTCAAGTTCCACAAAAAAACCATCAAATTTTTTTTATCGAAGTACGGTATAACTCACGACACCAGCACCAACTTACAATTTCCGTTGCACTTTGCAAAAAGTAAAACTGCAAGTGTCGCTCTATGCGCCAGTACCGGTAAATTCAGAGCATTACAATCTTGAATCACACGATCCAATCCGAGCATTTTGGCCAATCGAAAAATTCTCAGTACGAGTACAAGTAGTCCAATTTTACCACAGGTTTTATAGACTTTGGGAACATCTGCAACAGTTCTTTTCGTTTTCGTGATGGCTTTCGTACCAGGGTGCGAAAGTGTCAGACTTCGAAGATCGTGCAGGTATCAGCTAATCTAGCTGCATAATAGCTTTCAAGTTCCCCAGCGAACCATCGAATCCTTTTAATCGTGGTACGGAGATACCGTATAACCCACGTCACTAGCAACAACTTACACTTTCCAGTACACTTGGTAAAAAGTAAAACTGCGAACACTCGCATGAAATCAGGAGACCACAACGCAACGAAAGCAAAACTAATGCAAACATTGATCGGCAACGCTGAAGAAGTACAGGCATCATTAAAAAACAATAATGCAGTCTAATCGCAAAATAAAATTACGAACCACCGCGAACTCACGCAACAGCTACGGCACTGACGCAACAAGGAGGAGAAGTCATTCAAGAATAACCACATCATGGGCGGCCGCGTCGACGATTTGCATGACGGAGACCTTGGACATCCCGTCCATCGCATCCGGCGCACCGTTAACGGCCGTGACCGTAATCCCGTTCCCCTGGGCAAACCGCACTCGTGGTGCGGGCGCCTCCGCGTGGACTAGTCCTGGTTCCCTGGGGACCTTCTCCTTGATCTTCACATCGACGTAGTCCCGAACTGTTTTGCGCATATACTCCGCCGGCGACTCTTCCGGGCAGGCCTTCCTTTTTCGTCCCTTGGGTTTCTCCTCCGCAGGTCCATGGTAAGACACAAACAGCTCTTCGCCCGCCTGCAGGTCGCGTGCCGCGAAGAACCCGATGCGCTGCTGCCCGCGCTCCATCACCACGCAGGCCTCCACGTTCTGGTTGGCCAGGGAGTGGTTGACGAAGCGCATCTTACTGCCGAAATCACTGGCATCCACGACCATGTGCATGTTCAGCACGAACTGGTACGTGCCGTATCGTTCCGCGAAGTAATTGGCCCGGTGGTCCGCTTCCTCCACCCCGATCAGCTCCCCCGTGTACTCGTCGATGAAGGCGCCCTGCTTCACGTTCTCCATGATGAACGTCCCGATCCCCGCCACCGTGGACCGCCCACACAGGGTCTTCTTCGTTTGCCCGAAATCAGCGCGGACATTGCATGTGGCGCAGACATACTTCAGCGCTCGGCACTCGCACTCCGGGTGGCGCTGCGTCGGGGTGCAGTCGAAGGGGCAGGGATGCGGCCGACGGTATTCGCAGTCGGCCGGGCAGCCGCAGGCCTCGTGACATATTCGACTGCCGGTATTACGAGGGCAGGGGCACTTGCTCCTGGGATCGGAGCACAACAGTCCCCTGGGGTGGTGGCACGGGCGGTACTGGAAAGCCAGTCCTTTTCCCCGGTGCTGCTTTCCCATGTTGAATGGCAACGGCCGACTGGAGGGGATTACTGCAAACATACCTCACTGGAACACTGTACAAGTGTAACCCGTAGGTTCTCTCGCATCAACGTCAAGAAATACAAAATTACGGGGTACGCCAAACTCTATACTACGGCGCCATGCCGAACTATTTACGCTTTACATGCATCTGACCTGGTCGATGCATGCTGAATAGAAGTATCGATTTATCATAAACTACTCTAAATCCGTGTTGGATTACTAACTTTGTCTGAGTTTTTTTAACGTACCCGGTCGAATCATCTTGGGGTTGGAGTCCTTGCAGCTCGCGACCACTTCGTCGGCAATCCGCCAGACATACCGACACGGCAAATCCACCAGCTCCGCCAGCTGGCAGTACGTCGGCTGACGGCCATTTACATCTTCCATCAACCACGCTTTGATAATGGCGCGCATCGCCGGCGGCTCCACAACGCCCACCATGCGCTTCTTCAGCCGGTGGAGATGGCACTCCGCTCCGCACGGTCGGTCTGCCTCGGTCGGCTTGACGATCGGACCGAGTTCGATGGGCCAGACGCGAGGCGGCACCGGGCAGGTGCTGCACGCGAACCGTTTGCACCGCGGACAGAAGTGTGCCGCGGCGAAGCCCAACAATTCCAGCATGTCGTTCAGAGGTCCGTGGCGGGGTTTCTTGACGGCCGGGGACGGGGTGGGCATCAGTGGTCGAGATATGTGACGATGTGGCAGGAGGATGTTCTGCAGTAGCAATGTGAACGCTCTGGATGAGGGCAGCGGCCGGATCCACGTCAGTTCATGACGTTCGTCATCTACAAAGTAGCAGTAAGTTCTGATTTCGGCCGCTGGAAGTTTTCGTTCTTCGCTTTCTCTGTGCTAAGACTGTTCTAAAATTTAATTAAAATTCAAAGCGGTCTGCTTGGGCAACTTCTGATTAGCCGAAACCGCATTCGAGAGCCACTGACTGAAGTCACTGAATCATAGTTTTCGTAATTTGACAACTGATCAAGCGACGCCATTTGCCTCGTTGCGTTTTGCATCCTACCTAGGATATAGGAGAACTTGTCATGTCCGAATCCATCCGGGATGACGCCGTTCTCCGGGAGCGACCGGGGATTCATCCAGGGATTGAGGTAATCCGGCAGCTCCAGCGTTGCCACCTTGACGATATCCAAGGCGCTGAAGGGTAACGGACAGCGCAGGTGCTGATGGAGTCCGTAGCTTTCCACGTCGCCGCTGTCCACATCCATGGCAGGAAGATCTCCAGGGGGCGCTGGCGGCGGGATGGTGGATCCGTCCTCTTCTGCGGCTATCGCTGCTCGACGGGCAGCGGTGAAGCGCTTGTTGGCGTTGCGTAGCGTCCGACGGCCGACGGATCCCGCGGTGGACGCCATTCCTGCAACGCTGATACTAAATACACGAAGTTAGACGCTTCGATACACAACAGCCAACAAAATGAAAGTGCGAAGTCACTGCGAACTCGATGACTATTAAAATTCAAACAACAGAAAAATTGCAAACCAACAAATAAATAATCATAACAGTATCTTGAAACTACGATGCGAAATGGTTAAGCTGAAATTACGAACCTGCTGGACAACTGAGCATCAATAAACAAAATGAAAATAATGGTTAAAATAGAAAATCGAAGAAAATATCAATTTGACTGGTGATCCAGCAGCAACACTGACTTGCTCACTGTATCGGCCAGTCGCTGAGCAGCTCTTTATATAGGCTTGTCAGAACCGCAAGGATTTAGCTCAAAAGCTATAGAGTTATGTAAAGCCGCACCTTGACCACGCCCTCAAGATTTCTGAGGTTGTCAGAGTGGACACCTGAGAGAACCGTTCTTAGCCGGCTGTTTCCGTTCAGCGGCGTCGCCGCCCATTCCAGATAAATCGGCAAGATTCGGAGCCACCCAAAAGGCCACGCAATGTGCAACCGTTTGGCTGCTTTCGCAGCATTTCGTATCATTTTGCTTTACGGTCCATTTTCCTGTGCGTCGTGAAAGTACAGTTGGTTTTGCATCGTTCTCGTTTAAAACGTCTTATTTTGCAATACAAAATGGTTCTTTGTGATTAGCTGTATCTGTATTGCAGTACTAGCAATGCTAATGGATAGTTGTACCTTCGCGCTACAGATTAATCGCGGCTTGTGCCGTGACCGCCGATTCACTTACACATCGTAGAACATGAAGTTAATATTGCTTAAATTCGGTATGCCGCTAACAGTACATCTTTGTTGGTAGTTCGGAAGCAGGCGCCATGTTGCGGTATCTGAGAGCGAGCAGGTCGGCGTATCGGGGCAAGTGCGAAATCGGAGTCGGTGCAGGCGGACCTCACCACCACGAGTTTCCGACATCCCTTCTATGCCCGACTGCCCCAAACAATACCGGCTACCCGCCGTGGTAGTGGTTGACTGCTACTGGGCCTTCATTGCGGATGTAGCGTGCGTAGCAGCTGCTTTTCCATCTCCCAGCGCGTTGGATCAGGCGGTCTGGTACGTTGTTGCTAGCAGCGGTGGTCGCGGCGCCGATCCGGAAACTGTGCGTGTTAATCCGGTGCTGATCCGGGTGCCCCTCTAAGAGACGGTGAAGTGAGGCCTCAACTGAACGCCTGGTAAGGAAGCGGCCGTCTTGGTGAACGAAGAGAGGGCTCCTTCCAGCCGGCAACATGAACTGCGCATGGGCAAGGTACTTCCGGTAAGCCTGCACGGGACAGACCGAGCGGCCGGTCGCCGCCAGCGCTACGGTGCAGCCTTGCCCGGTTTGGTCGGTCTTGGTGATCTTAAGGCGCACGACGACTTGGTTCCCGCAGTCCGTCAAGTCTTCACGCATGAGAGTGTGCTGAGGGTCGTATCGGTTTTCCCGTGGGCTAGTCACTTCGCCGATACGTAAGAAACCGAAGTACAGCACGGTGAAGACGGCCCATAGCAGCGACTGTTCGAACGGGGAGATTCCGATTCGGCGAAGGTTGTGTTTGAGACGCCGCAATATCTGCAGGGTTACAGGCTGGCGTGTGTCCGGGCGCGGGGCAGCCAGGCGTCGGTAGCCTTGCAGTGCCCGCACCACGAGGTCGTGATCTGTGGGTGGTTTTACGTCCGCTTCGCGATGGCGGTTGTGGATGCCGGCGAGGTACACAGTAACGGTCCGGAACGATTTCTTTATAGTGAACAAGTGAGCGACGTATTCGGCAACGGTGTCCGGTATTGCCGGCAGGCAGTTGACCGATCGGCGGTTACAGAACGCTGCAAACTGGTTGAATGCGGCGTCGTACGTCTTCCTTGTAGATTCGGAGACGTGGGCGCTTAGCAGCCGGTCGAGGTTGACTGTTCGCCGTACGTTTCCAGTAGCTGCGGGAAGATATCCGGGCACGGATCCGGTTGCTCCAGCGCTGATGGTGCGAGCGTTCGGAATCTGTGGTGCTGAAAACGAGACAAAGAGTCAGCGATCGCGTTGTTAATGCCGCGTATGTGCTTTAGCGAGAAGGTCATGTTAGCAGAGGCGGCTGCCGCCAGCATGCGACGCATGATATCTAGTACGCCGGTGTTGGCCGAACGCAGGTTTTCCCACGCCAGCGTGGCGCCTTCGTTGTCACAATGGAAGATCACTCGCTTTCCGTGCAGCCTCGAGCCCCAAACAATTAAACTGAGAAGTATGGGGATCAGCTCTAAGTACTCGATGCACGGTTTTTGCAGAAGAATCCATTGCGGCCAGCGAAGTTGAAACCATGAGCCTTGGTAGAATGCCCGAGTCCTTGAGTACTTGAGGCATCTGTGTACAAGTTGAGTACGTCTGCTCGCGTCCAGTCCGGCTTAATGAAGGACGCCGTACCGTTCCAGGCAGGGAGAAACTCCCTCCACCATGCGAGGTCTTTGTGGAATTCGGCGTTGACAGCAATCGTTCTTTTGTTGCGGTTGTCCGCAAGGAGAGCGATCATCCGACGAGTGAACAGCCGGCTTGCTGGGATGCACTTGGTTGCGAAAGTGAGAGTCTCGATCAGGCTTTCGAGCTGTTGTTTCGTGCAATGATCACGGCTGCTCCACTCTTTTAGTGCGTCTTCAATGTTTCGTCTCTTGTCGTCGGGCAGGCTGAGGATCTGACGGACCGAGTCCAGTTGAATGCCCAGGAACGTCAGCTGAGTCGCGGGCCCCTCAGTCTTGTCGTGCGCCAAGGGGACCCCAAGCTCACTGCACGTCCGGGTCATGGTGTCCATTAATGTGCTGCACTGGTTGCTTCCTGGTTTGCCCAGGAACAAGTAGTCGTCGACATAGTGAAGCATACTGTTGAGACCGGTTACGTCTGACACGATCCAGTGAATTGCACTGGCGAACTGCTCAAACACGTACGGAGACGCCCTGCATCCAAAAGGCAACACGACGTCAAAGAAAAACTCACCGTTCCACTGATACCCGAGGAGGTTCCACTCCGCCGGGCGCACAGGAATCAGTCGGAAGGCGGCTTTTACGTCCATCTTCGCCATCAGCGCACCTCTCCCGAGTTCCGCCAAGATCGAGACAGCGTGGTCTACGGTGCAGTACTCGAGCGGAAGCTGCGTGATGTCGATATAATCGTTCACGCTGTCACCGTGCGGCTGCGATAAATCCAGAATGTTCCGGATATTGCCGTCTTTCTTTATGCGAGCGCCCAGGGCGTTGCAGACAAAGTGTGGCAGCGGTGGGGTAGCGAATGGTCCGATTGTATGACCGGCATCGACTTCTTTGCGTATGCTGGCGGTCACTGCGTGATGATTTTCGCGAGCACTGGCGGCATTCGGTGTTGACCGCGATTTCTGGGGTCCATCATGATAGACTGTGCAACCGTCAGTAAGTGAATTAGAAATGAATAGGCTTAACGAGGGGTCCGGATGGCGGGCGAGCAGTCTAGCGAAGGCGTCGGCTCGAAGCGGCGTCGTGGCTCTTGCCGGCACCGTCGCCCACCTACTTTTCGAGTTTTGGACAGGTAGCCGTGCGGTGCTTGCGGTCCCCGCAGCTGGCGCATGCGTGGACTCTACCGGCACGACACGGTGTTTGGCAGTTACCATAGCTGTAATTCCGGCAGATTTCCCCGTCTGCGGCGGGTGCCTGACGAAAGGGCAACCCATATCCGGGCTGGCCTTTCCTGGGCGCGGAGCAGTTGCTTATGTAGTGGCCAACTTCTCCGCAGTTCCGGCATCGCTCGTCTGCCCGTCTTTCATGGCGTGGTTTGTCGTCCTTCTCCAGTTTCCCAACAAACTCGCCGGCGTTACCCGCTGCATTTTGAATGCAGTCGATATAGGTGTCATCGTGTTGGTGTGTCCATTGGTCAAAATCAAAAGGGTGACCCATCATGTGCGCGCGGAACTGACGATTATACTCGAGCCAGTTGGCGGTCGGAACCCCACGGTCGACGTATGATGCAATCAGATCCATGTACTTAAAGAACCGGGGGCCCAGATCGGGAGCAACATGAGAGCGGTAGCTGGCGAAAACCGTGAATGCACGCACCCACGATGAGTAGGAGTCAATCCTCACTTTCCCGTCTTCTGGCTTGATAGTAACCTTTCCGTTGACAAACACCATCTTTGAGTCCAGCTTCTTCGGCTTTTCGACGCAGTTCTTAGGGAGCAGCAAATCGAGGTCCACGTATTCGGTGAGATCTAGAAGCTTTTTCTGCAGTTTCTTGGAAACCGAGCGAAAATAGGGGGGAAATGGACCTGGGCGGCTAGTGGATGGCATGGGTCCCAGACGACTGAACACGTCGGCGCGGCCCCCGAGGCGGTTGTCAGCGAAACGTAGCGGGGACCCATCCGACGATTCGTTGCTAAGGGAAGAGTGGGAGCGGCTTCGCTTACCTCTTTTCGGTTCGCGCTTCCGTTTACGGGTAACCTCCACGGCGTGGTTCCCGGATTGGTGTACGATTCGGCCGAGATCGTCGCCGATCTGGATTTGCAGCTGCGGTGGCGGCGGCGGCGGCGGCGGCGGCGGCACCGATGGGCCTGGCGGCGAGGTTGTCGATGGCCCCGGTGGCGGGGGCGCTGGTAAGCCTGGCGCCGGGTCTGATGTTGGAGGTAAGACCTGCCGCTCCATGATCGTGATCAGTTTATCGATTTGCTCTTGCTGCTTCTTTTGCTGCTGCACCACTGTCTGAAGCGTGGGCTCTGGGACCTCCGTGGCGGTGGGTTCGAGGACAGCCGCGGCGGGAGGATTTTTAGTCGAAACAGTCCGCTTTGCTCTTGTCTGTGGTGTCTATGATGCTGCCGCGGCCTGTCGTGCGTTTTCGCTTCTTTTAGTCATGTTGGAGGACTTTCGGAAAACTGGGAAGAGTAAAAAACGAGAGGATAGAGGCAGAGTCCTTCAATATGGATGACTCGTGCGGCGATGGAACTGCTCACTGTGCAGATCTATGGCTCAAGAAGGTACGTGAGGCTGGAAAACAGACGGAAATTTACAGATTGTGAAGAGTTTTTAAACATCTAAACGTCAACGATTAACACAAGAGAGCTCAAATGACAAATCTGGAATGATTCAGGCAGTTGAGAGTTAAAGAAAACTGTCAGACGTTACGGAACTACATAGCGCCCGTGTGCAAACAGGCAGAGCGGAAACAAAATAGGTCAAGCAGACGGCAGCGACGTCTGGAAGAGCTGGGCGGCCAAACAGCGGCCACCTGGAATTTAACATCAATTAGCGCGCAAATTGTCCTATTGTTTTTTAATCATTTAATAAGCTTTGTTATGGTGCATCTCACCAAAAAGCGACGATTGAATACGCAAAAGGTCATCTTCCATCTACCTAGCGCATACGTTTTTTCGATAATAAAGACAGTCTTGTGGCGTTGTAGTGGTTCTTCCACCTAGCAGACGTTGCCGAGTTAAAGGCTGGCCACAAGGGCCCAGTGCCCCGACCCATGTAGCTGGCCGCAAGGGTGGGCGGACCAAAGTTTCGCAATTAGCGGCCGCCGAGACGTTTACCAAAGCTGGAGAGGCAGTCGCCGGCGAAGGAGATGATGCTGGCGGCAAGGGTCAGTCCGGTGCGGCTCGTCAGATGCCCCGCAAATCCGTCGGTGTCGGTGTTGTTGACAATGAGCGCCGCCTGCGCCACGATGTCGGCCATGTGCTGGTAGGATTTGCCCTTGCTCTGGATGTCCGCCTGCATTTGCTGCGCGATAGCCACGATCTGCTTGGCCTTGTCGATCGTCACCTGCGTGTCCGTCTGCGCGTAACCTGCATCACGGTGAAACCGTAAATCAAGGCAGACGTTACATTTTTTTTAATGTGCCTAGGACTTACCAATGCATACAGCCACCAACACAAGCACGACCAGCTTCTCCATGGCGAAAGGGTACGGTTTTACGCTGAGTTGATAAAATAGCACCGTAAAAAACAATTATGAGAGAAACATAGAATAAGAAAAGCGTTTTTTGCAAGATTCTCGTCCATTGCGCTGAATCTACGCCCACAACACCGGAAACGCTAACAAGCAGCGAGAGTTCACTGGCACAAGGTGATTTTGATGGCTAGCGCTGCGACAGTCAATCGGCGTTTTTTTGACGAAACTAATGAACAAAAAAAACAACATTTAGCCGGCAGCTATCAGCGGTCTTTGGCCCCGCTTGCACAATGTGTTTTTTATCTATATTTGTTTCTTGATGTTCATGCGGAAGTGACAGTGCATGTCCGACGGAAATACGAATACTGTACGCGGCTGAATAAAATGGCGCAGAAGAACGACCCCGCTTTTAGGCACTCTGCTGCGCATTTCGTACATCGTCATTTTATACGACGGCGCAAACCAGAATGGAACTGATGTTCTAAAGAAGCAATACGTCAAAATTGCCGACGACTGGTTCATTGGCTTATTTTTTACTCGTATTAATTATTTTTCCCTGAATATAAGTGTATATAAGAAGGCAGCTTTGCGGTTTAACATCATGCTGATGTCGTCCTCAGTTTCTTATTAAACGCCGAGTCATTCTTCAGCTGCAGAAAATTAGTGTTTACGTAAACAAACACGCCTGATCAACTGCATCTCCGCTGCACAATCGAAAGCGCGTGTGATTATCGTAGAAACCCGTCAAATTGTTTATTTCTGCTAGAAATACACCAAGAAACGTTCTAAGCTTTGTGAACGTTTCCGGTAAACAATAAAAGCTGATGCTGTGCGTAATTTCCCCGAAGCGACATAGTTTCCGCCAAAACAGCCGTGTAACGAACGTCCTGTATCGCTTAATCGGAGAAACAGTATAAAGGGTTTCTTGGCTTTACCGGAAAACGACATTTAATGTTGACAACAGCAAAGATTTCTTTAACGGTAAACATACTCAAGGCTGTTTACTGTACTACATACATTCTACCGCAACCGATGGCTTTGCATCCCGCTCAGAAAAACGACGTTGCGGATAGAGCCGCAAAAACGGATAGAATCTGTATTCTGCATCACACCGGTGACCGCTCGATTAATAATAAGGAAGATGGCCAGTGTCCGTTTGGCAGGAATGGATCGGTAACGAACGGCATCGTAGGGCGTGATTACGGGGAATATCTGCGGCTGGATTCACTCTTATCGAATGTGGATATGATGAGCGCCCGCTATCTGCCAGAGCCGGTACATGACGAACATCTGTTTATTAGTAAGTGCGTAAACAACCATTATTCTAGCAGTACGTAATGACAACGTAATACATGCTTGTTTGCTGTGCAGAGAGGTCACAAATTTGTGACCAAAGAAAAGGCTTTACGGTTTCTTTTTTCAGCCACCCATCAGACGCAAGAAATGTGGTTCAAGCAGATCCTTTTTGAAATTGACTCAATACGCGACACTTTCCCGGAGAGGGATTCTCTGGATGATCGACAATGCACCACTATATCGCAGCGCCTCCACCGGATCTCCGTCATCTGGAACGTGCTAATCGAACACTTCACCATCCTCCAAACCATGCAGCCTGTGGACTTCATGCGCTTTCGCCACCTTTTGGCACCCGGCAGCGGGTTCCAGAGCCTACAGGTATCCGCTTATAACCACCCATCTTTTTATACCAAAACTCGTCAGAACTGTACGTGTCAACCGTACGTAACGGAGAATATAACATGGTATATTGTACTTTGGCTTTAATTTCAAAGTTTCCAATCCTGGATCTCCTTTTCTTGTTTCGAAGAATGGCCTCGGCATTCTTAGGTTTTTTCTTAAAACCAGGGACCCACTAAGAACTTTATTCTAGTTTCGGCTGATCGAATGCAAACTCGGTTTGACCATGAAGCAGCGCGGCAACCCAACAGCGGTGTGCGGCGCATTCTCTCCGCCTATGCAAAGTACTCTCACGAAAGCCATTTCGGAACCGAGCGTGCTCGATCTGGTCAACCAGTGGCTGGACAACATGGACACCGCGGACTTCGCAGCGCAGTACACCGAAGCCGTGCGCGAGTATTTATCCGACGAGCAACAACAGTTTGACCAGGAGCCGGATGCACACCGGCGCGAAATGCTAAGCAGAAACTTGGCGCAACAGAAACAAGTATTCGAAGTTGTTTTGGATCGGAGCAAGTACGAAGAAGAAGTCCAGACGAAGAAGCGACGAATGAGTTATAACGCCTTCATGTCAGCGCTCAAGATCACATTCTACCGAACCGAGCAGCGCTTCCAATCGGCTTACGCCATCTTAACCGTAATATGCCGACTGCTTTTCTGCGCTAACGGTTTTCTGATTGGACGGTTTTCTTGCAGGCGCTCGTGGACATCGATAGCGCCATGAGCAAGTGGCGGTTTGCGCATATTACAACCGCCCAACGGATGCTGGGCAGCAAGAGCGGACCGTACTCCTCCGGTTACCTCTATCTGCGCTCGACCATCGGTGACCGCTACAAGATTTTTCTGGATCTGATCAACGTCTCGTCGCATCTGCTGCCCGAACCGTATATTCCGCCTCTGAGCTTTCACCGAAATGGGACACTTTTCCCGCGACCAGTGAACGACGTTCTCTTAGCCGGCAAACAAATCTAGTGCCGCCTGTGTATGCTCGTACCGGAAGAGAAAGCGTCAAATAACTGTTCGTGTTTGCTTTTCTAGAAAGCCAAGTGCTCTTTGTCTGGTGCCAGCATGGTACAGTAGCTTCTTAACCAATGTTGCACCATTTTGTTTGCCAATAAAATCTCTGCAAATGACATAATCCACCGACCCCGGCTGAATTTCAGTTAGCCGTTAAGAAAGCTTATTTACTGCATTCTACTGCTCTCATTAAATTTTCGAAATGGCTATGCGCGCCGACAAACCGGGCGCATAGAATTAAGCTGTGCGCCCCGAGTGTTCGGGCGCACAGAATTTGGCTTTGCGCCCCGAATGAAATTTTTACGGCAAAACCAGCTAAGACGCGTAATTAATGATTAAGCTTTGTTTAAGCATCGGATGAAGACACTAGCACCGGAACACGGGTCACCGGTGCAACCGGCCCCGTCGTCCTGGCTGAAGAAACCCCTCGTCTCCTCGCACAAGAGGGTGGGAGGGAGGGAAGAAGGATCTGATACGGAGTAAATGTAGATCAGCTTTACTTCGACAGCAACTAAGATGTACTAAACACAAATGTGCAATCTCTATCCAACATCGTCAAACAGCGTTGCATTACTTCCCTTTAATCAGAGTATCATACTGCGCAGTATCGGGGTGTGCATCCCGATTCCCAACGACACACCCTAATGGCTTTTCTCGACGGGACACTGGCCAGCAAGTCGTCCAGCCTTGTAACCACCTCCGCTGCGTTAACCGACCGGAATTAGCCTTGCTGTTTTGCTACATTTTACGAGAGTTCTGCTAATTCTATTTTGCTACAGTTTTTTGCAAGGGGTGGACTTCGGTGCCATCCTAGATGACCTCTGACAACAGATGTTTTGGGCAACCTCTTCAACAAACCAGGCGATAAAAAGGCAATACACAAAACGAAAATTTAACTATTATGGGTTCTCATATTCTGCAGTTCTCTCTCAACTTCTGTTCTCCTGCAACCAACCTTAAGGGTTAATCGAGTAAAAAAATTAAGTAAAAACCATCAACTACCGGTTTGCGTTAACGCAAATAAATTCACAGGTTGAGGCATATGTAAACTGTGGTCCTCGTATATGTGGGAATAGTACCGCTACTTCAGGACTGACACAATAAACTAGCAACTTTCCTATTATTTCTCCAGATTCTTTTCTGAAAAGCGCATATTACTTATATGAGTTACAGCTTTTGTGTGTTCTGGCATTAAGATACCTCATCAAACAATACAGCGTAATAATTCGACAGGAACAGGACATTTGACTATACAACAGGAAAAGTGAGTGGTTAAATAAGTAAGAAAAGAAGCCAAATACATAAAGTATAAAACCTTCGGAAAAAACATCAAATCGCCGATATTTCTGCGCCCGGAAATTCGGGGCGCAAAGCCAAATTCTGTGCGCCCGGACATCGGGGCGCACAGCTAAATTCTATGCGCCCGGTTTGTCGGGGCGCATAGCAGTCACCTTAAATTGTATGGTTTTACTGTTTTTCGGATGTGTCTTTCTGGGCACCCGCAACGTGGTCGGTACGAGCGTACATTTTTATAAAAATTATTGCGCTCATAGGTTTATATCGTCTGGATCCGTTTTTCCGCGGTTACCCGGAACATCAACGCGTGGAAAACGGTCCCCTTATCGGCGTCAGTTACACCATCCTGACGCTGGACTCGACCCACGCCGCGCTTTCGCTAGTAACCGCCACCGGAGAGAGGAATCCTACCGGCTCTTTCGAGTCCAACGGCTTACAAGCACAGGTGGAGTTCACGGTGCCGACGGTGTCTTCCGGATAAAGGTCATCGAGACGGTCAACCGCACAGCGTACCACCGCCTTACCGACATGATTCGGCCGACGCGGGCCAACGTCACCGCCGACTTTCCGCGCCCGGTGGAAGAGCAGGTGACTACCCGGGTACACATGATATTCGGGGGAAGTACCAGCGTTAGAATACCGGCATGGGACACCCTCGGATTCATGGACAGACCCGGCACTGATCTTGTCAACGTAACGCTGCCATACGATGGCGGCGTGGGCACCCCCCACCAGCTTCCGTACCCGCTGGGCGTCAAGTGAGCGCGAACTACATGGTGTTCGCCGTCGGCGACAACCCCGCTGGTCCGGGTGCCCACCCGGGGAACAACGTGATGCGTCCCATGGTTCTGACCCGGGCGTCGCTCCCACGCTGCCGCAGTGCACCGCCGACTACACCTCCTATGCTCGATGCTCGAAGGGTTACCTGTGCGTCCGCGGCACCTGGGACGCGGTCCTAGAATTCACAAACGAACAACGAACATCCTTACAAAACAACATACAGGTATATTTTCATCACGCTTAAACTGCCAGTTTGTTTACTGCTTTTTGCTACAACACTCTCTTTCTGTTCTAATCGCAGTGTGCATTGTACGATAACGTATCAGTGCGCCGTTATCTTCTTTAGTAACTAATGCCGGATCTGTTTTTGCAGCTTTTCATTGTGTAATTATGCGTATAATTATCTGAGATCATCACCGCAAATACCGTTTTTGTTGTTTTGGTGGCTCTGACCAATAAAAAACATTGTATCCCGGATACCGATATCACCTATTGACATCGAATTCCTACTTCAGCAGCTGTAGTTCTGTTACCCAAACGTTGGCAATATATAACGCGCGACAAAACGCTGCTTCGAACATCCTGAACGTTTAGTTGCCACAAAGTTACCAGGTTTCTAGAAGCTGTTGGTTTGTTCTGGATTAATGGCACAACACTTCAGGCAACCGAATACTTTTTATGTGTCGCTAGAATGTTGAAGTTTCTTCTAGTGGTGGTTCTCCTCAGTTCGGTGTTGAGCCGAGCTGCACCACGTCCACAGGCGACGAAGAGCGAAGCAGCGCTCGACCGGACAACAGCCAGTACCGGGAATTCAACGGCGGCCCCCATAACGGTTTCCGAGGGCCTGTCAGCCGGCGCCATTGCCGGAATCGTCATCGGATCCATCGCCGGTTTGATTCTGCTTATTTATGTAATATTTGTTGGAGGGGTCTTTCTGGGTCGATTGCACCGGATGTACGGGGAGGAGTTCGACTGACACCCGTTTTTGAAGGAGATCAACTAACCAAGACCTTTATTTACATGATTTGTTGGGTTGTAACGCGTATTATAACGCATTGCCCTGTCAGTATAGATTGTCAACCTATGTCGCCGCATTAATTGATTGCTCGATTAAGTAGCCAAACCCAGAACGAGCACAAAACGATCTTCCACGCCACGAAGACCATGAAATGTTAGTCTCATAGTTTCTCTTCGTTAAAAAAATCCTCCTATGTCATCCCCGATCGATGCCAACCCAGGCAAGGATGGATATTCGGCGCCGAGAAGCGGAGATTTACAGAAAACCATGGTGCAGCAGGCCTTGGGCCAACCAACCTTGGGCCGGCTAACCGGAAAATTAACCGGTGTTACGGATTTCTGCCGCAATCCGTCCTTACTCGATGTGATGGCGAAGGCTGGCAGTTTTGCGATGGAAATGCATGGGACTCTTGTCCTTTTTGGCAAAAAGGACAAGAGTGTTTGCCGCTTATTCTCTTGTTATGAATTCGTCGGAAGCTATTAAGAGTCCTTCAGCGAAGAGTGTGAGTAACGGCTGTCGCTAATAGCTACTCCACACCATGCTTTTTGTGGTTTCCTGGTAACCCATGACTTGTGTTAGCAATTATAACCTTGACCACCGGTTTGCATGTACCTCTAACTGTCACAAAATCAGTCAGTAAATATCCGAGCGAGAGTTCACGACACTTTTGTTGCGGAGCAAGTTAGTATCTGCACTGTGGCCGTGTGGCCCGTGTCCCTATACAATCATAACATACCGCCACTAAAAAAATTGCAGACCGCAAAAATACGTATATAAAGTCTTGACTCCTCGCTAAACGATGTTCTTAAGCTGCCGGGCAGCAGTTAACTACAGATGGCCTACCACACACACGAAAGCACACGACAGGCTGACTCACCTCGATGATAGGGTCTAATGCGACGTCTGCAGAAGCACGCATCGGTTTATCTTATCAGAACAATGTTGCGCACACCGGTAACACAGACACTTTGTTTTCAATCCACTTGTCGATGCTTCTGGACGCATGAGATACGATTGGGCTGTTATTGGTTGCTAATACAGACTCCACCATACAGCCCAGCTGACAATGCTCAATAATTGTCAGCGTTATAACACGGGCAAATGGTTGTGTTGCTTAAAAGTGGCTAGCATCGCTCAGCGGCAAAGCATTGCACCCTTTCCCCGGCATTCGAAATTCGAATGCACCTATTACGCTTTCTTAGACATAATCTAGAAATGCACAAGTTCTTTCTCATACTATCCGTTCTCTTCAGCGTGACGTTGGCGCAGGATGCAGCCCGTCGCGAGGCGACATTCAGCGCACTGGTAAAAATAACCGAGCTGCTCCTCAGTGATCCGACCTCCGGATTCCCCAATCCCAACCTCCCACCGCTGCCGTCCACGAATAGTCTCGACGGCGCCAATGAACTCTTTCAACTACAATTCGGCTTCCCCGCTACGCAATCGTATTTACACGCGTTGCAGTCGATTATGGACGCCAACGTCTTCATCGACGGTGTAGCCAGCGGCCGCCGCGACAGCGTCGTCTGGCACGCCAACACCGAGGCGCCGACGCCCGTCGCCGAGCGGATTCTCGAAGAGTGGACCCGCGCCGCCATCCAGACCATCAACGCGCGGCAGTTCCATGAAGCCCGCACGCTGATTGGTCAGGCGCTGCACGTGGTCCAGGACCGCTCCAACCACTCCCAGGACGCCGCGGTGACCTTTCTGACCGGTGTCCGCAACCAGACAATCGATCTGTTCCCACGCGTGCTGGGCATTCGTGGCAATTTTCCCGGCAACGATTTGGTCGTCGTTGTGGATACCACGTACCAAGAGGCCGCGCGCGTACGCTTACGGATGCTGCTCGCCCGCGTAAGGATCCTGAACAGCTCTGGAA